GGAAGACGGGGAGAATCGCGAGGGCGAAGGCGTATTCTATAATTATAATTAAAGGAAGGCCGGTAAAGGGATTATTATTAAAGTTTGTAAATACTTCTACGAAGTTATTATAAATTGTTTAATTTACAGGGTTAGAGATTTAGATAGCTCCGATTATGGTAATTAAAATAAAATTGTTTATAATAATTAGAACGCCTAATATTAATCGCTAAATTAATTATAACGGCGGTAATTTTTTAAACTTACCGTTTCAAAAATAGGAGGGGAGAAAGGATTAAATACTTAATTAATTAATTAATTCTTAGCTCGGACTTGGGATCTTAGGGTCGAATCTTATATTTATCCTATTAATAAAGCTTTAAATTTTAAGAGGGTCGCGATATAAGATTTACAATTGCTTGAAAATTTGATTAATTAATTTCTCCCTTAGGCACGCGTAGCGTAATAGTTAGGTATAATAAACTATTATGGGGCGAGAGGGTACCGTTAGGGGTAGGGTAAAATATACGTTATTATACGAAGGAGAGGAAGGAAAAAGTATACGTAGAGGATTGGCTATATAGGCGAGAGCTTAGGCAGGCTAGTCCGTGCGCGCGCACGTAAGACTACACGTGATTAGAATATGTAATTAGTACGTAAGTGCATAGCTTTGGGCTATGGCACTAGCTCTAGTATAGCGTATATACAGTTAGTGTAGTACAACTACATTATAGGCTAGCCCTATAATAGAAAGATTAGGAAAAAAAGAATCCGAGTAAATAATAGTCCGTCTCCAATAGAAGGATTATAATTACTTACGTAGTATTAAAGTATTAGTAAACGTTGCAAATGGATAAAAAGAATATAATAATCGAATCTTTTAAAAATAACAGTTTATCTATCCTTCTAAATAATAGTAAGAATCACCTTATTAACATTAAAAAAATCGACCGGGCAATCATCGATTAGCATAATTAGGAATACACTATTAATATTATAAGGGGTATTAACAACTTTAAAACTATCCCTAAAAGGGAAGATAATTATAACCTTTATTATATAGAGGAGTAGGCTAGAACTAGTTTTAATAATATATTTAAGAAGGATTTAGTAGTTTAATATAAATAAAGAAGGTTGCTATCGTATAGTAACAAAAATATACTTATTGCCCGCCTTCGAGCGTATAAACAGCAGCAACTATAGCAACGAAAGCAACCAATAATCTAAATAATAGTAATTAAACCTTATTACCAACTTCGCCGTCGTTAGAATTAATAAATTCGCTATCGTCAATATACTCAACGATATCAATATACATAAAAGCAATACTCCTAACTTCCTACCACCAACGAACTACCTTAAAGCGGTTGTCCCATTTATACTAGTACTTACCTTATTCAATTATATAACAATAAATATTAATACCCTTAAATTTGACTTCGAATTCGATTTTTTAATGGCTTCTATTACGAACCCAACCAAAGTAGGTACATTTATCCATATCTATAAGGGTAAGGCCTTTTAGAACGTTAAGAAATAAGGGTATTCGCAGGACAATAATATAGTCGGTTCGTTCGACGAACTATTATTAGGCGTTAAGGTAATCGTCAATGATATTTATAAATAGGGCAAGCGAGTTAGCAAGGGAGTTAGAAAAATAGAGAGAAAAATAGCCTCAATACTAGGAGTTTATTTACTTATAAACGAAATCGATATTACTAAAGATTAGCTTTATCTTTACTATAGTTAGATTGCTAGGGTTTAGTTACAGGGGATAGTTATAGAGGAGAATAAAAAGATAGGGGGAAAAGACAAGGGAGAAAAGATAAGGTACAAATTGGGCATAATAATTTCGAATTTACAGTGCTCTGGGGTAGCAATATATCAACTGTATGGGAGTTGGCAGGCATACATATGCAGCGCATCGGGCAGAAAAATGGCATATATGTGCCTCTACAGTGTTTACCCGAAAGTCAATTTCGAGAGATTATACAGTACTTCAGCCATAGCTACATTGCCGAGCTCCAATTTGGCTTCACACCCCTTTGCCTATGTCTCTGCATCGCCTAATCACCAGACACTTCACCTGAGCCCCATTCGGTGCACCCCCAAAGTCGCTGTAATGGGCGGATAATTAGTTGAAAGTCAATCGAGAACTCAAAGCGTCCAGAACATTGGAATGGGGTCCCATGCTTGCAATGTTTGAATTCTGTCCCTGGCCCCGATGTCGTCGATACGGTACATGATCCTTTGCGATGGCACAGTGTAAATTAAGCTAAAGGTCATCCGAATTGGTCATTAAGTACCCACGCAAGCTTGTCTACCGCCATTTGTACCGCCTTTTTATTGTTGTCGTCCCTGGCCCTGAATAAAGAGCAATGCGGCCCTTTGGAGCGTGATCAGCTCGCGTGCGCGTGAAGACTTCTGGGAAGACTTCTGAGTTGTGCACAGCCTAAACATAGCCCAAAAACTTCCTTACTATGTAACCTTCCTTCCTTTGGTTTAGTAAAATGGAATCGGTTTTTGGCCTTGTAGACTTCTAAAGTCTTCTGAAATTATATAAAAACCTACTCGTACTTCCAAAATAGAATCGTAACGGGGAATTTAAAGTACATATACTAACTTCAAGAAGTTTAGCCACCATCCATCGCCTCCTCAAAACGGTTTGGATAGCCCTATTTCTACACATTAGTTTCCTCCACCGCCCCATTCAGAAGTCTTATACGCAAAAGGCTTCCAAAGACTATTACGCGCACTTCTCGAAGAAGATCAGCCTTTTTTGAAAAAGAATGGGAATAGCGGCACTACTTTTCGAAGCCCCTAAAATATAAATAGCTTAGAAGATCGGAATGCTAAGTTCTAGTACGTACTATAGTACGAAGGCAGGCTCTCCACTTCCCTTGAAGTATCTTTTCCCAGAAGTCTTGCACACTTTTTACGCACGACACACGCGAGCCGATCAGGGCCTTGGTCTCTGAAACGAACCGTACCTGGTATCCCCGCCGTAGACGGCTGAGCTCCTGGGGAACATGCCACAGTTGCGATTGGAAAAGTCCAGATGACGGGAGGTCATGCCAGGTGGTGCGGTCCGCAGTCGGATGTGCCTACAAGTATGGTATATGCGGGCATTGAACTTGGATTGACAACATCGATCTTACAAAGACCACATTTATGCACTGGCCGCAGTGCAGAATGCAAGCAGCTTTAGGAAGCTAAAGTAGACATCACAGAACAAAAAAGGAGAGATAGAAAAATAGTCCTCAACACAAACATCAATGGTGAGTGATGGGCTAGCTATGTATCCTAGTCGGGACCAAAGGTCTAACAAGACACATGGCCCGGAGCCCAGGAGTAAGGTAACCTCTGGCACATTTTGGGCTCGAGGCTCTCCCTGGAAAGGGGGGGAGGGGTGAGCAAGGAAACAAACACCAAAGGCAAAGAGCGGAAGTTGAACCTAATCCGTAACCAACCGGGCGTTCATACACTGTGTCAGGCCAAAAAGTACTTCGTCTCCTGCCTCTTGCTCTTGTGGGGTACCTGTCAGTGCCTCCCCCAGTCTTTGTCGAGTCCGTTAAAACGACTGTGTCCCATATTAAGACGACTGTATACCTGACATGCTATCATATAAGTCGCCCGCCGCAGAAGTAGGGTCAGGGTTAGTTATTGTTAGAGTTAGCGCTTAGGGTTAGTTAGGGTTAGTCCCGGGGGTGCAGGGGGCCGGCGAGAGGCCCCCGCGTGTGAATGTGAGTTTGACGCTGAGAAAGACGTTGTTTTGAGCTTTGAATGTCGTGATGTTGAATGATGATTCTAGTCATGACTTTGGTAGTGGTTTTGGCACCAATCTTGGCAGTTCAGCATGGTGGACCGCGCCAAGGCCGATGGATTTGCGTGGTCAGGGACAGTCGTTCAACTAGGAGACACAGTCGTTTTAACGGGCCCGGTCTTTGTGGATATGGGTACTCCTCTCGTACCCAACCGGGCCGGGCTTTTGTCAGTTCCCACCTTTTTCTGTTCTCGCAATCGGAGGACGGTTGGAGCTGGCACCGCCGGCCGGCCCTCCTCCTTCTCTACCTCGTCTACCACCATCTCGGATCAGCGCACTGGAACCTGACGGGAGCAATGAACGAGGTGCTTCCACTTGGTACCATCCCATCCTGCTCAAGAAAGTCTCGGACTCTCTCCATTCATCCAGGGCTGTCGACAAGCCAGTAGAAGTGCCTCATTCAACCCATCCATCCAGGACCCCTTGCTGCGTTCTCGGCTGTCTGGTGTCTGGCTGCTGCGTGCTGCGTCTGCGTCTAGGCTAGAGGCTAGGTAGCTTCCACGCCATCCCATTTGCGACCAACCGTCTGCAGCCAACCAAGATCCAGTCCGCCGACCAGGATAGAACCACCTCAGCGGACAGCAGAGGCGCCTGTCCTGTCTCTCTCCAGATCCTCTCTTTCTGGATTAATTTTTGGTGACAGCTTGGACTCGTACCTCTTGCACCTCCCATCATTCCTCGTCTGAATCGCTTCATCCCCCCAGAGCCCCCGGTTATCAACCTCACCCATCCAAGGCAGCCCGCAACCATTTCTAGTTGGAACTGGCTGCGAATACCACCGTTCCCTCCTACACAGTATTGATCTCTCCGAGGCACAGCCACTCCTGCCTTGTCCTCTTGGACGAACAGCCATCTGACTGGTGTTGGCGTTGCCTACCTTCTTCCTGCTACCCAGCTGGTTAACTTTTTTTTTATTCTCTCTTTCCATTTCGACGTACCTCATCTTATCGTGGTGGGAGACGAGCACCGGTTCACCAACCAACCCCTGGCCGATCCCGAGATTATTATTATTTCCCCGCCTTGCTCCTTGCCTGGCCTTATACGGACCACCACACGCTACTTCTTTGTGATCGACACCCGGCCGCCGAATTTCACGACATAGCAACAATATTTCCCGAGCCTTTTCTACTCTTACCTTGTCATCTTGCTGTTTACGCTCGACGACGGAGAAAAAGGGGCACTTTTACATCGCTTGGCAATGGCTTCGTTCAAGGTAGACTTCTGCTAATATCCAATGACTCCTCCTCCCTCCCTTCCTCCCAGTAAACCCACTTGCGAACCAACCCCGTTCGTTGCTGATGATCTCGGCTATTCTTTCAGGAAATGCAACAAACCTCACGACCGCTCTCGCACCGTCCCTCGGTGTCTTCCAATCCCATTCCAGCCCTGTCGATCGCTCGACAGCCGCACTCACGCACCAACTCCCACTCCCTACTTTCCGGATCTCTCAACGGCACCCACCGCGTCACACGCCGGAAGAGCATGACAAACACGGGTGCTAACGTCGCTGCTCTTGCTGCCGCCCTCCAACAAGAATCCGGTGACAAGGCTATGCCACTGCCCATTTCCATCAACGCACGCCGCAACACGATATCCAAGAACGGTCTTTCGCGATCCGCTGTCGTCGGCAGCCTGCCCTCTCCACCGGCCAGCCTACCAACACACAAGTTCGTAACATCAGACGGGACGGTCAACATGCAGGACAGCGCAATCGATGATGAGGTTCACATGTCTGGAGACGAAGGAGACAACAGCAACAATAGCAGCAGCGGGGCCAACAAGAGCCGAAACAGGAGGGCCAGTGACGGCCAGCCGGCGCCCAAGGAAAGCCGAAAGATCAACCGCCCGGAACTTCGCTGTGAGAAGTGCGGGAAGGGATACAAGCATAGCAGCTGCTTGACCAAGCATTTGTTTGTGCCCATTTTCCTTTCCTCCCCTTTCCCACTCCCTGTTCCATGACTGTTGAGTGTAAAGGACTGGTATTGGCCACGGGACTCGGATAGTGCCTTTGGAGAGCTTTTGTGTTGACTTGTCTGTTCCGTCAGGTGGGAGCACACTCCCGAATGGTCATATACCTCTAAGCTGTTGATTTCCAAGCACCAGCAAGTGCAGCTTCTCGAGGCTGCCTCTGTCCTGGTAGCGATGAACAACAAGCCAACGACCGGGACCACGCCTCCGGACTCGACCCACGACTTCAACAGCGATCAGGATTCGGCATCCCCAGCAGCATCAGGCTATTCGGATCAACCAGAGCGCAGCTCTGCGGACACGACCCCACCGCCCCAGCTGGATACCCTTAGCAACATGACTGGGTTCCCCATGAGCTTCACCAAGAGACAGAGTACCCCAAGCGGGTTTGCGCAGTCGTACCAATCTGCGGCGTTCGGTAGTTCGGTGGCGGGTAGCGTGCCGGTTGGTTCGCCATTTGCAGGTCATTTCCGCCAGCTTAGCCTGATGAGCCAGGATCAAAGGCCAACGTCGTCTGGCAGGAACGTAACTGGCAAGGAAGATCGGGATTTGGCTGCGGCGGTGGAAGGTCTTAGCTGCAGCTTTAACAGCAGCGCTGGCCCCCGGTCGTTCCACCTCTCGGCGGACGCACCCCCAGTGCCACCTCTCCCAAACCAATACCTGGGTCAGTCTTTGAGTCTCCTCCCTGGTAGCTTCATCAACAGCTATCCTAGTAGAGCTCCGGAAAGCTTTACCAGGGGGGAGCTGCGTCAAAGCTACCGGACGAGCGAGCGGGGCGACGTCAAGATGGACGAAGATAGCGTCATGGACTATGACGACGACGAAGACATGCGGTCCCGGGCAAGAAGCGACGAGGACGACGACGGTGTCTTTGGAAGGATGGAAGAATGAGAAAGGCGAAGCGGTTCGTTGCCTGTACTATATTGCGGAAGCAACTCGTGTTTGGTTCGGGAAGAGAAGGAACTTATGATGTTGATGAAGGATTTCCTTTTGTATATCTATATCGAAACCATGTTAATGAGGCACTTTGCTCCGCCGACGACACTTGGCACCGAAGAGTGGAGAGCACTGTGGTTGGCGAGCCATGGCTCATGGGCTGAGAGATGCCAGCGCCAGAGGTGTCGCGGGACACAGTCATAACTCCACGAGGTTAAAGTGAGTGTTGTGAGCGAGCGTCGAGCAAATACTTGGAAACACATCTAGTTAGCGAGCGAACAAATACCATATGAACAACCTACGTGAACAACAATACACCAAGGTATAACACAAGCACAGATGAAGAAGTGCCGCCGTGTGGTTTGTTTGGCTGGCGAGAGTGGAAAAGGACGGGTTACACAACAGCAGAGATGTGAGGTGTTGATGGTTGAGGACTGTTCCTGGCTGTCTCCAGGGTAAGTGAGATTGGGTTTTGCTTGGGCTCAAGCCAAGTTGGATGCGACGAACAGGCGGGAGAGTTGCTCGCGTAGGTTGTTTCTTGAAAGAAGAAAAAAAAAGGCAGAGGGCGTAGAATAAATACTTTTCGATTTCGGTCGATAGACCGTGGACTGGCACAGTTCAGGTTCGTGACAAGATGTTATGTACTGATAATGCCCGGATTTTGTTGCAGTGGTAATATTTTCTTGCTTGATGCCCGCCCGGCGGCGCAGGTTTACCTGGCAGTGCTGCGTGGTCGGGCGGGTGATGAAGAGCTCGACCTGGGGCTGCTGTGTTTACCTGAACTTTCCTGCCTCCCCCAGCGGGCGGGCAGTGGGGTCGATGCGGAGGTTAGCGCGGCAGGACGGGAAGGGGGACGTCACTGCTCCACACCACCTACCCATCAGCTTCCCTCCCGAGCCTCCCTAGCTCTTTTCCCCATTAGCATCGATCTCCATCATCATCCGACGCGACTCTTGCCGTTTACACTCAAACCGAGCAAGTCTCTCTTCATTCTGTCATTTGCCTAATTGGGAGCTCTCTTTTCATAACACAAATCACCAATTGCATTGGTTCGTACGAATCCCGTGCACATTTCGGTCAACGCCCCGTTAGTGAAGCTCAACAAAAACACAAAACTCGCGCGTCGCCTCTCATCACGCCCGTCTCCCCCCGCGCAGAAAAAAGAAGCAACCCGCGCCCCGCTCGAACACTTCTATCCCTGACGAGTATCTCGCATCGATAACCACGAACGGCACTAGGTACCGATGGCTCGACAAAAGTCTGTGAAGAAAGTAGTGGACACGGTGGCGGCAGCGGTGGAGGACGCAGCTGGAGATGCGGTCAAGGCTGCGGACCCCGTCGCACTCGCAACCTCGATCGCCGTGCCCGCCGTGGAGGCTGCTGTCCAAGTTGCCCAGACTCACGGAGTGGTGCCTGCGCCTGTGAAGCGTGCGCGACTGCCGGGTGCAGTCCGCTTTGCCCTGGTTGCCGTCCTGAGCTTTTATCTCGAGTCGCTCGGGCGGTCCCTGGTGGTGGAGTACACCCACGGCGAGCTGGCCAAGGTTGCTAGGCCCGCCTCGTCTCTGACACAGACGGAAGCGCTTGCGTTGGCGGGTTGGAAACTGTAAGAAACTCCCTGATCTTTGCCGAAGAGGCGCGCTTCTTCGGCAAACAAACCCCTGTCGTAGGGCTGGAAAAGAGACGCATGAGGTTCAGCTCCATCTTACTAACGCCAATGGCATGGCAGATTTGGACTTGCTCTGGGTTGGTACGGAAACTATGACGGTTTTGACCTTGCTGCTCTGGCTGTTCTCTCTCATGGTCCGATGGTGAGTTTCCATCCGCTGTCTACCATCCCATCCCTATCTTGGCACACACACAACTGATATGTTCCACAGGCCTACCTGATCTCTACTTACTATGGCATCCGTGCTTCGACTGCCGGCGCCTACCTCGCTGTTGAGGTCGTATCGACCTTCGTTCCCTTCCTCCTCTTGCGCCGGCTTTCGGGCGCCCACTCAGCCGCACCTGGTATCCCTAACCGGGACATCGTTGTCGACAGGCAGATCCAGGTGCTTACCTCGATGCTTTCCGCCCTCGTCTACAGCGTTACACTGTTCTTGGCCTGCCGGACTTTCCTTCCCACCAACTTTGTCCTCTACTTTGAGGGTATCCGCACCATTGAGCCTGCTCAAGACGCCCAGCTCTTCAGCTTCAACCGTCCGCTGACGCTGATCCTTTGCCTGCTCTTCGGCGTGGCTGCGCGGACCTTGATCTTTACTCCTTTCGTCACCGCTTCGCCCACCGTCAAGGACCAGGAGGTTGCGGAGTTTGATCCGGCCACCGCCACCCTTGGACAGACCATCTGCTGGAACCTTTGGGGGTACACCACCCCGACCAAGGTCTCGGTCAAGAGGACTGCCGTGGCCATGCTTTTTGCTGGAGTCGATACCTATCTGCAGGCTACCACTGTCCTCAGCGGCGTAGACTCATACGGAGCAGCTGTCTATGCGAGCGTCTGGGTTCTGGCTGCCGCGATCACCGGCCTGGCCCTGAGATATGTAGGAAGTGTGTAAGCTACCTCTAACTACGGCATGGGGATGTTGGAGATAGGCAGCACTTGCTGGATATGATTTGCTTCGCCTTGGAGAATGAAGTCATTTGTCATATTGCATGTTCTCTTGGACGCCAATGGTTTACCCTTTCACATACATGTATCAAAAAAAAAATATGAAACTACACAATAGGCTCACCGTCTCACCGAGCGTGATAATGGTGATCTGATGCCCAGATATGTATGCCACGTGGGTTGGCTGGGGAAGTGACCCATGTTAACCCCATGCTTGGCATACTCGGTCTTCTTAATGCTTTACCAAATATCTAGCAAGGCTGGAGTCGCAGTCCAGGACCAAGATGGGCAATCATCGCGAATTCTCTTTTCTCGGTTCATATCTTCATTATCCTTGTTGCAGTCCAAACAGAAATGGGCGTTTGGCGTTGAAACTGTTCCGTGGGATGCGGTCACCACTTTCGGTATGTCATCACTGCAGGACGGCGTATCTTGACTGGGGTAGTAACACAGGCTGACGTCCAGCCAAGGCAGCTTAAGCGCGAGGCAAGGCTGTTTCAAAGCTGAAGATCTCTCAATCGGGCAACCAAGCTAAGGTCTGCAAGCCATGCATGAAACGAACTGCCCGGAACTAAATGGAGAAGTCTCACGATCGGTCGGTGTGTTCCGTTCGGCAAAAGTCACTGTCACTCTTGTCAAAACAGGCAAGACAGGGTGCTGTGCCGTTGTTCCCGATCCCCCCTCTTCTTCTTCTTCGTCGTCGTCGAACTGTTAGTTAGCCCTGCTGCGCCGCTGCGCCATGAACCTTATCGGCAGCGGCCGGCAAAGTCGGCGAATGGCAAGCTGTTGTAACCCTCCTTATTGAACATAACGACGCCTCATTTCTAGCGACAGAGCCGAACGGATCAGGACACCGGACTACCACCGTTTAACGCGATCCACCCCCACCGAGCGCCGCGAACGGGTAGCCGGCTGCTACACTACTACCTACCTAGGTGAAGTGCTATGGGCGGCCTCCTCGAGTGTGTTTCGTTGACGACACCAGGGCGCCAAACACACGCCCACGAGGGCCCCGTCCGTCCGTCGGTGGCTTGTTGTTGTTGTAACGCCAGAGTTGCAATTCTACGCCGTCACGCCGTGTAGACGCAGCTTTTCTTAAGCGAAGAAGCGCGATCTGGCGCTAGGTACATACATGGAGTAGACTAACCTCGACTTCAACTTCGGTCGGCGAGAAAGCAAGACATTGACTACATTACATACCTCTAGGTATACCAGACTATGTACTGCATCTCTATGGCTCAGAGTTAGGACCAGTACCAGGACCGGCTGGTTCCTTGCTTTGCCTTACCTTGTGTCAATGACATGGCGGAGTTCATCTTCCTACCCAGTGCCCTAGGACAATATCAAAAGTCCTGCGCTTCTGACTGCCTCAGTCCCATCAAGTGAAGGTTGATATCCAATAGGTGACTTTTATGCTACCCGCAATTTCTGTTAGGGAATACTCACAGCATTGTTTTTTTCCGGGGAAAAAAAAAAGAAATCTTGTCTAGCATTCCATTCCTCGATGCCAAGGGACTGGGGGCAGTGGGTTCGGTACACATTCCGGGCTAGAAAGACATGGATCATTGATGGGTGGTGTTGATGCGCAAGCCTGGCAAGGACGTGGGTGGCTTGCTGTGTACGTACATGTCCAATGTATCATCATGGGCGAGGCACAGAAGCGGAGATTTTCATACTGATGTTTGCTGTTGTGGACATATCTGGGTGCAGTGGCAGTAGTAAGACCATGTATGTGTGATAATCTGGTGTCATGGCTTTGCGGTCCGTGGCTTGATGGAGAACCACCAACATGCCATTGTATGTTAGGGTCCTTGTGATGACATATCGGCCGGCCGTTGACTCGCTCCGTTACCGTTGCGCCCATGGGACATGGGGGGCGCATAGCTTCTCATAAACCGTCCCAAAGGGGAAATGGTAACGAAGAATTCTCGACTCCATAGGGCTCCGAAGGCTCATGCCACCGCCATATTGATACCTCTATCTTCAGGTTAGGCTGGGCGAAGCTTCGCCGGTCGGTGTTTGTAATGTAGACTAGGTCAGAGTTCCGACAGACAGTCCTAGAAAATTTTCGAAGTGGACTATGACGCTTTCGTCTGGGTTGGAGCTTCACTATTTTCTCACTCCTGTCCTCCATTGGGTCATGAATATCTAGTGTCTCTACGGCCATTCGTTTCTGTAAGGCTACAGACTCTGGTCTTCGACGTCTACTATATAGCTGCACTTGATCCCCCAGTTGACAACGGAGGTTGACACTCTTCGATATCATGAGCTTCATCAGCAATTAGGACTCAACAACATCAACAGCAGTCATATCCTCGAGGACATCACTCAGCGGATAGGCCACGAAGACTGAGTATTTTGGCAACATGTTATGAGAGAGAGACCACATCAGCATCCTCCTACTTCTGACACTACTTCTTCGTCTACTTCATCTTCTCTTCCTGTTGCAGAAGTAGCACCAGCAACACCAGCAGCACCAACGGCAACAACAGCATCCTCTGAGCCCGAAGCGCCATCGACAACAATGTACCAATACGAGCACATCATGACTTTCGATTCCCAAGGGCAGGGAGGAGTCTACGGCACCAATACCGGGACGGGGTCTTCCAACACAAACAACCAGCAACAAGTTGCCACTGTCAAGAGAAAGAAGAGCATCGAATCAGACAGCTCCATCGAGTTGAGAGGACCAATGGAAGTCGACGGGTCAGTCAAGTCCGGCGGAGGCGTTGCTTTCTCGGGGAACTTTGCGGTGAGGGATCGGATTGAGGCGTATGGGGATATTGATATTGTTGGGGATTTGAGGTGCAGGTATGTTTGTTCTCTTCTTCTCTGACTTTTGGTTTCTGGAAATGAGGATGCGAAGGAAGTGGGCGATGCTAACGACGTTGGAAATAGTAATAAGATTAAGGCGTATGGGAATGTCAAGGTTAATGGGAGTGCTTTGTGTGTGTAAGTCACTTTTCACCCCCTCCCTCCCCCGCCTCTCTTTTCTCTCTCTTTTATAGAACCATAAAAATTCTAACCGTCCATCCTGCCCAAAACAGCGACAGAGTCAAAATCTTTGGAAAACTGAAAATCACCGGAACTTTCGAGGTCCAAGGGGACTTGGAAGTGTGGGGAGCCATCACCATCAATGGGTATCTGTAAGTTTGCTCAGATTTTTATTCAGCCACAGAACAAATGACTCCATACTGACCGAAATCACAATTACAGAAAGTGCAAAACTCTGACAGCATACGCGTCCATAACTACCGTCGGTGACCAGTCTTGGTATCAGACTGAGCAGGGCGAGACGGTCCATGGTGCTAAGCTTATCCAGAGGACTAACTATGAGGGATAGAAAGTTCATTGGATGTATTCCTTACTTTTTTTCCTCGGTCGCTTTTTCCACTTTCTTTTATTCTTCTTAGACGCTGGAAGACTTTTTTGTGTTAGACCTGGTATACCGTGTGTTATTGTTGGTTGTTTTCATTTCCTAGTCCATGGGCTTGGTGTTCGTTGTTGCAGTTGTCATTCCGGCCACCTTCACTTGTTTCCTATCCTTCGTTCTTTTCCTCTCGCGGTTATCTCATTTAGACTTTGAAGATGGAGTAGAGGCAACATGATGTGAGCGGCGCGCAGGATCAATTGTTTGGAAAGGAAGTCTTTTTCCTTTTCGGTTTTGTTTTTCATCTACATGTTTATGTCATCAGCTAGAGGTACAGTCGAGATTCTGATGGGTGGATTCGATAGATATTTAGAGGGACAAAATCAACAACGCTCGTTTACACGGGCCGTGCTTGAACAGCTGAGGCAATCATGACGATAACCACTGGGGGATCTACTGTCAATGATGGGTTGGGGGAACAGCAGTCTTTCCTTGGCTCGCTTGGTCACTTGCAGAACCAACCAACTTTGACCATCAACCAACAAAAAGGGAGCCAAAACTGGAGGGAGACCAACAACCTTGAGTTCAAAAAAAGGCGAATAAATTGTTTACAAAACACGCTAAACCTGTCAAGGTATTCGTTCCTGAGCGCTGCAGCTGACTGCAGGAAAGTGGGGCGCCAAGTTTCCAGCCCACGGTCCCTTCTCCACAAAGGCCGATCATTGGCAAACTCCACAGGCCCGTTTCACAAGCTAGGTCCACGCCCGGACTTTCCACTTGACCTCACGCGTCCCACGACATCATCGCCCACTGCAGCTCAGCAAACGGACGGCCATTTTGCTGCCAACCGCCCGCAATCGCGTGGGACCTTTACCCTCAACCAAGCCTCGATACCTCGGCGACTCGGACAACAAACCAAGGCGACCATCTTGCAGCGTGCGCGACGCCTAGAAATGAACCTGCCCGCCGATATATAGCCCCTTTCCTTATCGTCCTCCGAGCCTCACAACACTCCCCATTCGAGATGTCTGCTGCCGAAGCAATCGCGCAGTCCAACGCGATGGACGAACCCATTTCCCCGCGTCAGGACGCGCCGCCCATCCAGCAGGCGATTCAGACCCTCGGCGCCCTCAACCCCCTCAACTCTCTCGACATGCCTGCCGACCCCGATGCCCAAGCTACCGTCACCGATTTCCTCGACTTTACCGAATACCTTCCTGCCGACATTATGCGCTCCCTCACCCTCATCGGCAAACTCGACGAAACCCATATTAACGCGTCCACCAATGTCCACGAACTCACCAAGAAATGGTCTCAGCTACCAAACATCCCGCCCTCCGAGCGGACCAGTGCCGTCGATCTGCGCGCCGACATATCCGAACAGCTTCAACAAGGCATGAATGCCCGTGTTTCCGCCCACGCGGAAGCTGTACGAATGGACGGAGAGGTTAAACGACATCACAGTCGCATCAAAACCATTCTCGCCAAGCTGGAGACCATGTTTGAGAACTACCCGCCCCCAGAAGAGATCAAGAGCCCCGTCGCAACGTTCAAGTCGCCCCAGGCAGCAGCAGGATCCAAGGCACCCCTACGACTTGATGGCCAGAAACCACGACGACATAGGGTCCCGAGAATCACAGTCCCTGGAGAAGTTTTGGCACCATACGAGCTCAACTACGAACCGTTTACCAGCGACAGCGAGAGCAGCTCCGAGGACGAGGATGCGGCATCTCTGTCCACCAGCCGTGTAACCCCAGCACCTCAGCCACGCATCAAGGTTATGAAGGCTCCTGCCCGTCCCCCTAAAGCTGGAAAAGCCCCCAAGCCAAGAACATCCGTACCCCCGCCGCATATTCCAGGCGGCGAGCAACCGCTATCCACGAGCGCTGCGCTGGCACAGCTGGGCCCGCCTCCAGTGAACCCTGTAATCGGCGGTCCAGACGCTCCTTGGGGCCAGCTTACACCATTCGAACTCGCCAAGCTGAGAAAGAAGATGAAGAAGAATGCAGCCTGGACCCCCTCTGTTACCATGATCGCTCGAGAACTCCAAGCTTTGGGCCGCGGTTATGAAGCCTTCAAAGCTGCACAGCAAAAAGCGGAACAAGAGGGAAGGGTCTTTGAAGGAAAGATGCCTGTCCCAGTCAAGAACCCTACAACTGGAGAGATGCAGATGCCCGTGGGCGCGGTCTCGGAAGAGGCCTTGGCTGCAGACGAGGCGAATACCTATAATCGCGGCATGAAGTTGAACGAGGCCAAGAAACTCAAGAGAGTCCAGTTGGCACACCAGGCTGCGATTGAGGCCGAAGAATCGGCAAAGCTTTTGGACAATGTTGCCCGGATACTGATGAATAACTCACAACCTGCCATTACCCAACCAACCCCAACCCCTACGATAGTCAACAACAGCCGACCCAAACAACCAAAGAAGCGCAAGAGGGAGTCTGTCATCGAGGCCGATGCGACGAAACCGGAGTCGCAGATCAAGCGGATGAAAAACGAGACTCCTGTCCCTACTCCGCAGCTAAATCTTCAACCACACCAGAGAACGGCAGTGCCTACACCCGTCTTGCATTCTACAACCCCCATTCCTCTCCCCATTCATGCCCAAGATCACTCCAGCGCTGCCAAATCTAGTGCCTCAGTCGCTTCGGCGACATCTCCCGCCCCAAGCAGCATCGCCGGTAGTTCCAGTGCGGCCCCTCCAGTTCCACCCATAAAGCTACCACCCGCTGAGACACCGATCCCGCCGCCGCTACGGTCGCCCAGAAAGTCTACAACTCCGATTCTTCCTCCTGTTAGAGAGACGAGGAAGATGCAAACGACTCGCACCCAAGAGCAGCAGCAACAACCGCAACAGCAACAACAACCGCAAAATCAACCGCAAATACAACCACAACCACTACAACAACAGCAGCACCAGCCGCAGCCGCAGCCGCAGCCGCAGCAAAATCAACTACCACAGAAGCAACAACTACAGGTGCAGCAACAGCAGAAGGAAACAAAAAGTTTGTCCCGTAAAACAACTCCAGCTGCAGATGTACCCAGTCACACACCAGATCCAGATGAACAAGCAGGATCCACAACGGCGACTGCGCCTCCCAGTGTGGCATCAACCACGTCTATCCGTCGCAAGGCTTCTAGTATAGAACCCCAGCCATCTCTTGCATCAGATCGCCCTCGTCGCACAAGTACTGCCCGGAACACCCCTGCACCAGACAAGGCTCCGGCAGAGACGACCATAACCACACGGACGACCGGAAAGCGAACTAAAAGACCAGCGCCAGGTGTCATTAGCCGGACTGTGAGCGGCGGCAATAGTGCTGTTGGGAAACGAAAAGCCGCGCCAAAGAAGAGCGCCCGCACCGGAAAGGGTAAGGACAAGGCAGCTGCGGAAGGTCGGCAAGCAGCGGCAGCAGCAGCAGCAACAGCAGCCGCCGCCGGAACCAAAAACGAGACGGAAGTCGAAGTGGACGACGAGGGAAACGTGATCGATCCCGACGAGCCGAGGTACTGCCTATGCAACCGTGTGAGCTTTGGGATAATGATTCAATGTGACAACGTTGATGTGAGTAAACAACCCACCAAGAAGAAGAAGTCAACATCCAAAAAGTCCGGCAAGGCCGCAGCAAGTCGAGCTTCGGCAACTTCTACGTCTACCATGTCCATTTCTACAAGGTCAAAGATCGACCAAGAAGGTCTCAAGCGAAAACAGGGAACAAAGGGGGATGAATATGATGAAGAGCAAGACGAAGAGCAAGCGCCCAACAAGGAAAATGAAGAAGAAAACGCAGAGAGCTATCCCTCTCAGACGGGAAAGAAGAGGGTGAGAATCGCCCGGAGCCAGTGCTCGAACAATTCCGATGATGAAGATGATGGAGAGAGTGGTGGAGGGAATCAGAACAACCAGAAGGGACACAAGGCTAACCACAATGTCAAACCACAGAAATGCCAGCAGGAATGGTTCCATCTCGAATGCGTAGGACTCACCGCGATTCCGGCTAGGACGACGAAGTGGTATTGTCCCGACTGTCGCAAGGCGCTGAACATTGGCGAGAAGGGCGAAGTCAGTGCTAGAGGCATCAAGGCCTAAAGAGCTAGAGGTATCAATGCCTAGAGAGCCTAGAGAGCCACACAACAGGGCCAATTGAGGCCTTGAGATACCTCTAGGGTCGGTGGGATTTTTTGCCTCCTGTCTTGTTTATGTCCAGCGTGGGGCTAAGTTTGGCTGCGTGATGGCAATGCATTGGAGCGTTGGTTTTCAGTTGAAGGCGCTGGTGTGTGAGAAGGGCGTTTGGTAACGCGTTTTTGCATTTTAACCTGGCCAGCCTGCCAGGCGGATGGTTGACTTCCCTTTTCACCATATTCGGTGATTAATCAAACTTGCGGAGCAGTACATTGGGATACAGACTTTAGTAACATCGCTATGCCAGATCGAAGCTGCTAGTAGTTTCGTTTAAAGGCCGGGAAGAGGAGGACCCTTGGACTAGATACCAGCCCTTGTTATAGAGCGAAAAAGTATCCCATAGCAAAAGTTGGCAGGCGAGAAAGCGGCGAAGAACATGTATAGGTAATGTTTATATACCAATCATATACCAGACGTTGCGATGAATACGGGCGGTGATGATCTTCAATGTGTGTGCCTGCCAAGCCAGAACGACAATCGCGGGGATCATCGTCGAGATCAATGGAGCAAACGGCAAACGCAGTTCCATCTGGCGATCCACGTGTCATACCCGACATCGCAAGGAAACTAAAGTCAAGACGAGCAACTTCCCTCTACCTACCATGGCTTCCTAAAACAAAACCCCACAAAGATCAAGAGAACTGTGACGTTGGGAAGGTGCATCACACCCTGAATTTCCATTTCAGTACCTGTATTTAGACCTGGTCTGGCCACGCATTCCTCGTCGTTTTTCTCCTCAAGACACCAATCAAACATTTCCCCCATCATTGGAATCACTTCAACTCAGAACCCGCCTTCTCCGACGACGAACCTACTTACCTGGCCCACCACCAAGAACCTGACGGAATCTCTCCCCAGTCTCACCCATGTCTTCGTCGTCCCAGATCCCTACCTCTCTCCTCTCCAATTACACCATCTCCGACTTCATCACCCACTTCTTCCAAGTCTCCGACAACCCAGACCTGACGGAGGAATGGGTCAGTTTCTTCGGGGTGAATGCCAAGCTTGTGATGGGTCATCAGGTTGCTGAGGGGAGGGAAGGTACGTACACTATTCTACATACATTATCACATCCCTCCTCCTATCGTGGTATTCTCAGCTCAAACCACCTACATACACTATGGCCACAACCATCAGTGTAGAGTGAGCATAACCCACCAGCAACTAACTAAGAATCGAAAACCACACATAGAAATCCGCACCCTAAGAAAAAGCATGTGGGAAAGAGTCGAGGCGAGGAAGCATACAGTTGAGAAGGTCTTTTCGGGGGGGTTCTCTCTCCCTTGGCAATTGGGAGGAGGAGGAGGAGGAGGAGGAAGTGTTGAGAATTTGGAGTTTATGGTTTACGGAACGGTGGTCTATACAATGAAGGATACGGGAGAGGAGGAGAGGATGGATTGGGCGGCGCATGCGGAGTTGGTTCTGAAGCATCCTAGGGATTGGATGGATAGGGAGTGGGAGGTTGACGGTGATGGTGGTGAAGCGTCGTCCGAGAGGGGAAATACGTCGGTATATGTGTTCAAGGGCTATAGAGTTTATCTATCTCCCAGCGTTGAGTACTCGTCAGGATAGAAATGGGGAGGTTCCCATCGTATGATGACGGGATAGTAATGAAGGGTTTGATGGGGGAGTAAGGTCTGCTAATAGGATCTGGATTGCGACTGTGGTTTGGGTTGATATTCTTTGTAAACAATCAGTATCAATCTCACAGTTTCAACAGATAGGAGTCGTGACCTAGATACGGGGCTTGCAAGAATGTGTTGAGTCCGGTGTTTGCATCACGGTGTCTCGGATCTGATGCTCCTGGACGTAGGAGCGAAGGGTGTTGAGAAGTGGAATTTTCAGTATTGATTGAGGTGGGCCTAGTGTACTAACACCAATCATCAGTCTACACACCAACATCTGTTAGTACAACAAGACAGTACTAACAGCACTTACACAGATGGCACGCTGTTTCTTCCCATTCTACTCTCGACAACTTCACAATCATAACGCTTGCGAATTGAAAGAGTATATCCCTAGTTCACAACGACCAAGCATTCAATCCTACGTTTGTTGTTTTCCGACTACAAGATTCTAAACAGTTCGATTGCCAGATGAGCCAGGCATTGCCGCAAACCCCCGAGGTCTACCTACTAAACAAACCCCACCTCCCTTTTCGATACGTAACTCCAGCAACCCACATGACACGCCGAGCGTCACCCGCCCAGACGGCGGGATAAGAGACAAGGCACATGCAGCCAGCTGACTGAAACCCCCCTTGCCTTGTTTCTTCTTCAGGTTCAGATTTGGCTGTCTTTCATTTGTCTTGCCTTCAGCCTGGCAAACTTCCCGGCATCTGGCTGGTCTCGCTTTCGCTTGATAGGACAATTCTGCGTCGCCAGGCAGAGAGATCAGCTACCGTAGGTCACAGCTATCAGGATCCTCGGAGCGGGGTATGTATAATTCGTCAGGGTACATATCGGCGAGAGGCAAACGGCCTCGACGACTGCGGGGGACATGGAAGGGAGCACAGCGTCTTATTTCTACCTCAGCCAGCCGCGGATCAGGCGAGCGGCGTATCACAACCTGACCTAAGATGACTCCTTTTGGGGTTACCATAGCCTGCGAGATCGGCGGGTCGGTTGCTTCCGGGTGACCTTAACAACTGGATCTGGATGGACATTGAAGGGCCTCTTGCGTTTGCGGACGGAATACATACTCTGTACACCTCATGGTTGGCACTGGTGTGCCAGGTGAGCAATGTACGTACGCAGCAATGCGGACTGCCCTGTGAACTTGTTGAAGCACCAACACCACCACCGTCTGGCTTACCGGTACCTATAGGTACGATGACGTGATGTAAGACGGACCTCCTGTCCTTGAATACCAGCAGAAAGGATTCAAAGGACCTTGAGATAACAAGACAAAAGCCCGGAAGATGTGAGCCCGGCCATGTGAATGTTGAAAGACCTTGGGTCCCATCATATAACCGACAATGGTGAATACGCTTTGTAGATCCCGGAATGACTAAAACAAAGGGCATTTCGACCATGTGCCATGTGAGCCCAACAGTCACCAACCCTGGGCGGCTATCTGTCTCTTTAAGACTTGACTTGAGCATCAAGACGTTGTTGGAAACCTACCAGTTATTAAAGGTACCCGTGAGTTCCTCGCGGTCATGAAACACGGATCCATGATCCATCCACCCATCTGGCATCGGAACCTATGACGTACTTTTTGAGTGCTTGTGTACGAGATGAAATGAACGACCCTACCACAGAAAGAGAACTGGTCCCTCGCGAACCATTCAACTTAAGCCATGCCCATCATAGCAGCAGCAGCCACTTCCGCCATTGGAGACTTATGGCTCTTTCACCCGTTGCCACAAAGAAGGAGTCAGCTGGTCTCCCAATACAATGTACAAGAGGAGAGAAGAGAACTGAATAGAAGCGCCGAAGGTCGGTGTGTGAGTGATTAGGTGATAGATACCGAGCGGTGGGAGCACCGGGGAGGGGACTGGATAGAGGTATAGATCGCCCCGCCATCGGCGTCCATTTAGCGGTTTCATGGTACATGGGGGTACTTGTGCCTTGTTGTTGTTATGGAGATAGGGGCTCTCTGGCAGTCTGGCGCCGTCCAGTGGTTTCTTATCTCGGGACACTGGAACCGTCACGCTATCCCGCTCACGGGTTGAACGTCACGAATGGAGATCCAGCACCCGGTGGGTACCTCATGCCTCGTCCCTTTGCACCTGCATCACGCCCCACACGCTTGTACCACTCACTCACGACAACCTCGCTGAAGATCTCCCCGCCTTGCCCGCTTCCACTGTCTTGGGTTGTCGTCGCCTCTCAACTGTTGGAATCCCGACTCCCCCGGCCGAACCCGCTGCTCTGCCCGGACTTCAAACGACATCCTCCAAACAGGCTGATAGACCGTAGGGTATCTCCAGGTCGTGATAGCCAACAAGGCGCCTTAACTGGACCCGTGTGTGGGTTCCGCTCTTTCTTGTCCCGCATCCCAGCTGTTCATCGCAGCCAGTAGCAGGCCTCACAGTGCTCAGGTTCCCTGGTGACTGGTCAGTCTGGGCAGTCAGGAAGGGGAAGGTCCTCACCCCGTCACCCCGAGTCACCGCCCACGCAAGGTCTAACCAGCAGGAGCCAGGTACTTCCCTCTACCTCCCCTAGAGCTCGTCAGGCACTGTCCAGCAAGGTGTGGGCAGTTGCTGGCTGATCCTGGCCGTTGACCTGTAGACTGCCACTCACTGGGGGGGCTGTTGACGTCGGCAGTCACCACCTCTCTGACTCCTCCTGCATTGCTTCACTTCCATCCGACCTCTTCTCTTCACACAACTTTACACTACACACACACACACAAGGTACCAGCTTCTACTTCATACCAGGAACAACAGCACCGAGTTTCCGACCAGTTACTATCACGAACGTTCAACGACTAGCATACGCCGGCGACTTCCTTCTCTTTGCTTTGATCACGACACATTACGAGCTTGACACGCTGCTACTAATCTACCGACCATCTGTAATATCGCGTCACTTCAACTGCTGCTTTACTTTCGCTTTTCTGCCTTGCAATCATCCTCTTTCTATCTGTCTATCTGTCGCAGAGTTGGCTCTGCGATTACACTCCTTTGTCCCCCGGTAACGACACCACAACTCCCGGACACAGCCCAGTGCTCAACTGCCTCGACGCTCTCGATATCACCGCTCGAATTCACTAATAGCTTTCCTGTCTTACGTCTCTCCGAGCATACACCGTACAACCCACGTATAACCATCTAGTGTACCGAGTCTCTTGACCATATACATAGCTGCCGTATTCATTCTTTGAAGGTCGGCCACTTGTGTCTCTGCGTGCCTTGAGAGCTTCCGACGCTTGTTGCTTCTCCCCCCGGGCAGGAACCTGCTCGACACTCTCCCGCGTTGCCATTCATGCCAGGTTTGTTTCGCTCCTTGAATCAATCAGAGTGACCACTGTGATATTCTAACACAAGACTCTGTTTAGCCTCTAAGAAAGACCGGAAGAATGGCAAGGACAGTGGCGGAGTGGTCGCAGCGGTGACGAAACAGGGCGCCAAGTTTTCGTGGGTTCCCCTCCTGTTCAACGGATGATCCTCTGTGCTTGAGTGCCCGTCACCACTTGGACTGTTTGATCTAATCATCAATTGCCTCCTTAGAAACACAACCGACGCCACAGACGTCTCGTCTAGCCCGTCGCCGACCCCTACCCCGATACCGGCAGTGACAGTTCCCGAAAACATGCCTATCGCACCCTCTCCTAGGGACCGGATCACCTCCCCCTATCTTGACGCTGTCTCCACAGCTTCGTTCGCAACAAGCCCCTCGCCGAACGCTAGGGAATGGATAAAGAACCTGCCAGCAATGGCCGGCTCGCCCGGGAATATTCTCAGTTTGGCGGGCGAGTCGCCTCCTACGGCTCCCTCGTCGTATACACCTTCATCCTTCGAAGACACGCGCGGGATGTCCTCTGGCTGGTCTTCTCCCAGGCCTCCCAGCAACCTCTATGCAGCTTCGGTATCGCCTCCGACTGCGGGCCGCCGTCCGATGAGCTTTCACATGGCTAAATCCCCTGCTGAACTTCACGGACACTTGGGCGAGCCGGCATCTAGGAGAAGCTCAATGCACTCGCACTTTGCACGTGCTGGGAATCCGCCGCTGCCTCACCAACCGCAACCTCACTTTTATTCTGCACCCGGTTTTAACCTGGACACCCATCGCCATGATGGCATCAAGGCGGGCGACAGAGGCTACTATTTTGGATATGATACTATTGCCTCTCCATCCCTGGACCATGTTATGAGGAACGACAAGGTCGTCTTGGCTGGATACGAGGGTGGTTTGGAAGTTCACAAGCTTACAAAGGGAGGTCATTTGGAAGCCTTTGCGAGTTTGAAGGGATTGCGCGGAGGCGTGTATCACGCCAAGGTTCTTCCTTGGACGGCTGCGCAAGCGGACGTCTTTCCGCTGATCGCAGTTGTTGTCCACGGTCCAGATCTTCCTCCTATTCAATCATCTCCTAATTCGGCCCCTAAAACCGAAGGCGACTATGATGCCGTGTCTGAGGATAGGTCCGAGGCCATGGCTAACGTCCCACTTGATGCCCCTAAGGATACGCCTGGTGATAGGGCGGTACCTGGTTTCATAGAGTGTTACCAGACAACCGTTGAGATCTACTCGCTTAAGACCAACAAGCTAGTCGACATTCTACTCGAAGCACCGAAGATCCCCTTGAAGACTTCAGTTCTGAGCCCGATCTTCCAAGCGCCTCTACCGTCTGGTGCTTTCCACATTCACGCAGATGGCGGAAGTGTGGTTATATCATCTGGAATCACTGGCGAATGCTGGGTCTATCAACAGGTGGTAACAGACGAATCCGCGCCGCGTTTTGTTTGCCATGGCAAGCTTTGGACTACACTACAACAGACTCCAAGAGGTAGTGATGGATCACAGGACATGGATCGGAATTACACTCCAGTGCCGCCTCGCCCGCGGCCTCAGACTGCAATCCTGAGCGTCAGAGGCAAATGGATCGCTTACTGTCCGGCTACGCCGTCTTCGCAGATAACTCTTCGAGCGACTGTTCCGGTTCCAATCTACGGTCGGGCTCCGAATCTGTCTTCGTTGACGCCTGGTCAGCTGCCGCCCGCTTCTTCCGAGATCGATCTTCCGTTGGGTGACAGCGTTGTGAACAAGATCGTGCGAGATGCGACCCAGGAGCTTATTCAAGGTGCCAAATGGGTTGGTAAGCAGGGCTGGCAGGCTTGGAACAGCTACTGGAATCCGCAAACGAACCCAACCAGCCGGTCTCCTGTTCTCGCCCCTCAAAGCTGGGGAGGATCTGCCCAGCCAGACCCTTCCCAGTTTCCTCCGACACATGGTACCATTACTCCGCCAGTCGCGAAGGATCCGAACATGATCTCGATTGTTGATTTAGAGATATTGTCCTCATCGGCCACTATCCATCCGGTTACCAGCTTTCATATTCCCCAAGGCTGCAGCTTCCTGTCTTTCTCTCCGTCTGGCCTATCTCTCTTCACTGCCAGCTGCAAGGGAGATGTCCAGACTGTCTGGGACTTGATGCGTTTGCAGTACACCAAATCATCGCCCTTGCAGGGTACTGGCTTGTCTACTACGGGAGGCCCAAGAGTGCGCCAGGTTGCGCAGTTCTCCCGTATGACAGTGACACGCATTGTTGATGTGGCCTGGACTCAGCCGAATGGTGAGCGCATAGCCATGGTAACGGAACGTGGAACCGTTCATATCCTGGATCTGCCGGTAAGCGCCTTCTCGTGGCCTCCTCCACGTCGCCGGATCAGGCCGAGTGAGGCAACAAACTCGGTTTCGGAAGGAACTTCTGCGATCGCGATTGCTTCCAACGCCTTGAGCTCGGTCCGTGAAGTCGCCCGGCCACTCATCAGCCGACCTCGCAGAACTAGTAGCAACGGACAGCTTGTAGGGTCTGGAATTGGCGATTATGCAACACATGGTGGAAAGGTTATCGCTGCGAGCATTAGTCATTCTCTTGGCAAAACTGGACATGCCATCAGCCAGCTGAGGCACACAGGTGAAAACCGGGTATCTCTACCAACCAGCAACTCCGCTCCAGGGATGTCATGCGTGACGTGGGTGACGGGTAAGAGAGGTCACTTGCTCTATGTTCTGGGCAACGGTCTCGTTCGCTCGTTTGCGGTCATGAACCGCAGGACATCCGGAGGCGAGAGACGGGCTCCACGACTTTCTAGACATAAGGATGTGAAGGTTCCTCTGATGCCGGACCTCTCCTTGGCAGCGCGTGCGAAGGCTTTCGTTGACCAGGAAGAGTATTACGAATTCACGGAGAGGGACCTCGATACGGGCAATGAGACGATGGTCCTCGACCGACATCGAGCTAGGGCAAAGATAACCAATCTTGCCATCCGATCATCAATCCCCCAGGCGGAGATAGAGTCTAGCGCGCCGTATCAACCCTTCCACACTGATCGGCGTGTTGCCCTATACGAGGTTGAAGACGGGTCAGGAGCTTCTCAGGCATGGGCTTTCGGCGGCAGAATCCAAGGAAGAAAGTTGGATTTGGGACTTCACCAGCTGGGTGATGACGATTTCATGTTCAACGACGACTTGAGGGCTCTTCCTCCTTCTGCGATGGAACGAGTCCTGGAACGGAACGGGGACACCGACCAAGTCGTTGTCACGACCCGTCGAAAGCGCGGGGCTTCCCGCTTGACCGCCGCGGCCCTTGACTATGACGGGTTCTTTGAGGATGATTGTGAGGTGCTCGATTTTGCGGACCAGCGAGTTTGAGCAAAGCCAGGACAGTCGTTCTTTTCCCACAGGCGCAGTGTGTACTTGCTTGTTTGACTTCGTTTACGGGTTCTGCTTTGCTGTTTACGGTGATGAGATCAATGACCACAAACAAACAAATCAAAGCAAAAACTTTGGAATAACGATCAATCTTGGCCTATTCACATTTGCCATTGGTGGCTCTGCTTTTAGAGTCCACATCCTGCTGGCGCTGGGATGGAGTTTGGGCACCGGCTTTGTTGGAGATGGTTGTGCTGTGAGCATGCAACTTTGATAGGGAACACTGGGCAAATACTGGGTTGCTACTTTAGTAATTAGCATAAACGGAAACCAGCAACGCGAAACAATAAACAAATAATAGACGTGAAAAACATGGTTCGAGGTTCTTGATGATAACATGTGATACTGTGTGCACTAAAGTTTTAAAACTGCTGTTCCTACCAACCTAATACGCATGGAAGGAGAGTTCACAGACATTTCAGGTCCCCCATAGCCCCTTTACAGAGCAACTTGGAGATTACATCCAAGTCACCGGGAACAGTACCCTTATCCCACATGCTTCATGTTTTCCTCGGTTGCCGTTTCAAACTTTCCCCCTTTCATATTTCCGTTATCACCCAGTATAGTATACATTGCATCTACGCAGTAAATCCACCTGATCCTCCCTAAGGTCAGATCCAAACCCCCAAAGCCAGCCGCTTTGCGCCTGTCCTATCCTGTCCTTTCCTCTCCTGTCCCGTCCAGTCACGGAAGAAAGGCTCTTAAGAAGCTTTTACGCCTTCTTCTTGGCCGCCGCCGCCTTGGCCTTGGCTGCCTTCTTCCTGTTGCTCTTGATCATCACCATGCTCAAAAAGGAGCCGACGACGGATGCGCCCAGGAGGATGAGGATCACGGGGATGCGGATGGCCCACTCGCGAGGGGGGAAGACGTTTTGGAGGGGGTGGTCGGAGTCGACGAAGGGCTGTTGGTGATTCCAATATTAGTTTGTTGTTGTGTGAGGAAGGATGGGACGGGTATTCCTGGGGTCTGAAAGGGCGTTTCTAGCCCAGACGAGTAAGAGGTTGGAGTTGGGGGACTTTTGTGAACGCACCATCAACAGAGTCCAGATGGTGTAGTAGAGGAAGACGAAGGTGGCGGCCACGAGCATGGCGAGGCCTACGAGTTTGTCGAGCTGTGGTCGTGATAGGGGTTAGCAGTGTTCGGCCATCTAGTTTCCAGGCTTTGGGGGTTCGGATAGAACAGAGCTCGAGTTAGCAATTGAAGCATACCATTGTCAATTGATCGGAAAGGTTGTTTAAATGAGTGACGTGGTAGTTGGACAAAGGTGGTTTGGTTGTTGGAACGGAAAAAAAGTGAAGTATCGTCAGTTGTGATGACACCTTGACGGAGATAGGGAACACCAATACACCTGCACTAACAGCGACCTGGCCACTACGGAAAGCTCCAGCTGCCGTCGCGAACCGTAGCGTCACTGTTTCAGGGGTGGCGCGTTGAACACAAGCGGCTCGCTGACGTTAGTGGGCCCTGATGGCTTTCTCAGAAGGGACAGCCCCACTCTTTTAGCGTTCTGGCCACTAAACTCCACACCAGCCTCGTCAAGTTTTGGTTGCGGCCACTCCCGTCACGTCCACAGTTGCCTTGCCTTTGCCTTGTCGTAAATCGGGGTTCCGTTGCAACTTGCGCGAGGCACCATAATTCTTTCCTTTCTTGCATCTTAGTTTCCTTCCTTGACGATACACTATCAGCCACACGCAGAACATATCTGGCTCCGACAAGTCATTGACGAGACCTCAGGACGCCCAACTCAACTTCCAGCATATCGAATACTTGGTTTGGACGAAAGAAAACAGAGACAAGGGTAGTTCTTCACGATGGCTTCGGCAGACAACATGTCTCCGTCGCGTAGCCATCCCGACGACGAGACCCGGTCCCCGTCTCCCAGGCCCCAGTCACCTCCCCCTAGGGACGAAGACGGCTCTCGATCCCCCGGTGAACGTACACCCTCACCTCCTCCCCGCGATCCGTCGCCGTCTCGATCACCAGGCGAACGCACCCCTTCGCCATCTCCTCGCCGTGATCGCTCGCTCTCTCCAAGAGATCGGTCGTACTCACGCCCACGATCCCGTTCGCCTACACCTCGCAGCCAATCGCCTCCCCGACGCCCTGCCCGCTCGCCATCTCCGAGAGACGGCTCACCGGCGCGCCGTGATGACCGCTCACCCTCCCCTCGGGCACGCTCGCCGCCGCCACGCCGTCATTCCCGTTCTCCTCCGCCGAGACGACAATCCCCTCCGCGCCGTCGCGATGCCGGTGACGACTACAGACCGGCAAGGAAGGAGCGCACCCCGACGCCACCCCCTGCACCTGTCAAGACCGAGGAGGAAAAGCTTGCCGACGCCAGAGCAGAGTACCAGAAGCTCTTGAACCTACGCAGTCAAGGTGTCTACCTGCCGCCGCACAGGCTTCGTGCCCTCCAGGCCGCTATTACCGACAAGAAGACCAGGGAATACCAGCGTATGGCTTGGGAGGCACTGAAGAAGTCTATCAACGGTCTGGTCAACAAGGTCAACACTGCAAACATCAAGTTCGTAGTCCCCGAACTCTTTGGCGAGAACCTCATCCGTGGCCGCGGTCTGTTTTGCCAGAGTCTCTTGAAGGCGCAGCATGCCAGTTTGCCTTTTACCCCCATTTATGCTTGCTTGGCTGCGATCTGCAACACCAAGCTGCCCCAGGTCGGCGAACTCCTTGTCAAGAGGCTCGTCCTGCGTTTCCGCAAGGCATTCAAGAGAAACGACAAGGCGGTTTGCCTTTCGTCGACCATGTTCATTGCCCATCTTGTCAACAACCAGATTGTCCACGAGATGATTGCTGCCCAGATTTTGCTGCTGCTGCTTGCAAAGCCTACCGATGACAGTGTCGAAATCGCCGTCGGCCTCATGAGGGAGGTCGGCTTGTTCTTGGAGGAGATGTCACCGGCCATCGCCCATGCCGTTTTCGACCAGTTCCGCAACATCCTCCACGAGGCCGATATCGACCGTCGTACGCAGTACATGATCGAAGTGCTCTTCCAGGTGCGCAAGGACAAGTACAAGGACAACCCGGTTATCAAGGAGGAGTTGGATCTTGTCGAAGAGGAGGATCAAATCACACACCGGATTGGGCTTGACGACGAAATTGACCCGCAAGATGGACTGAACGTCTTCAAGATGGATCCTAACTGGGAGGAGAACGAGGAGGAATACAAGAAGCTGAAGGTGGAGATCTTGGGTGAGGCTAGTGACGACGAGGACGAGGACGACGATGACGAGTCGGAGAGCGAATCGGAATCAGAGGATGAGGAACAGAAGGCGTTGGAGATCAAGGACCAGAGCAATGCGGACCTCGTCAACCTCAGGAGGACTATCTACCTCAGCATTCAGTCGAGTGCCGATCCCGAAGAAGCGGCACACAAGCTCATGAAGCTGCGGCTCCCTGCCGGCCAGGAGGCCGAGTTGGTGTCGATGATTGTCGAGTCATGTGCCCAGGAGAAGGTCTACTTGAAGTTCATGGGCTTGCTAGGAGAGCGGTTTGCCCGTCTAAACAGGATGTGGATGGATTTGTTTGAGGAGTCCTTCGCCAAGTATTACTCCACGATTCACCGATACGAGACCAACAAGCTTCGTAACATTGCTAGGTTCTTTGGGCATCTTTTGGCTACCGATGCCATTGGCTGGCACGTTTTCTCGGTGATTCACCTAAACGAGGAAGAAACGACCTCCGCGAGCCGTATTTTCATCAAGATCCTGTTTGAAGATCTCCAGGAGAATATTGGCTCGGCAAAGTTGAAGGCTCGCATGAGTGAAGAGACCCTCCAGCCCAGTCTGCAAGGCATCTTCCCTCATGATGAGCCCCGCAACATTCGCTTCTCTATCAACTACTTCACATCCATCAAGATGGGTTATCTCACCGACGAGATGCGCACTTTCCTGGCGAACATGCCAAAACCTGCCCTGCCAGCACCCCCAGCGGACTCCGATTCCGAGTCCGTGTCTAGCTACTCTTCCTATTCTTCCTACTCATCCCGTTCTCGCTCGCGTTCCCGGACGCCTCGGAAGGACACCCGCGGGCGTTCGCTCTCGCGCACTCCTCCTCGTCGTGGCAGGGGCAGATCCTATAGCCGGACACCGAGCCGGAGCCGGAGTCGTAGCCGCAGCTACAGCCCCTCCGTCTCTAGGTCCGTCTCGCGGTCTCCTCCTCCAAGGCGAAGGGCGGCAGACTCTCGGTCTCCCAGCCCGCCACCCCGCCGTGGCCGTAGCTACGACCGATACTCCCGCTCACCCTCGCGCTCGCGCTCTCGTACCCGCTCGCCGGCGCCTCCCATCCGCCGCGGTCATTCGGGAACCCACAGCCGTAGCAGATCATATTCGCGTTCGCCATCGCCCCCGCCTGCTCGTGGTTATCCCACCCGTGGTCGGCCCCCTGTCAGCAACAACGACAGAGCCGCCGCCGCTCCCGGCAAGCGTCACAGGGAAGGTTCCTATTCGGCAAGCCGCTCGCCACATCCCCCTCCCCAGCAACGTCCTCGCCGAGGGAGTTACAGCCGGTCACGATCGAGATCCCCAATACCCATTAGAGGCAATGGGACGAGGGGTAGGGTGACAGGCCGGGCTGGCCCACCTCCCTCTCGTGGTGGGCGAGATCGCTCATACTCGGGATCGCGAAGCCGGTCACCTCTGCCACCAGCAGGTGCCGCCACGGGGTCTCGGAGAGCTGTTAGCAGGTCACCAAGCCCGGCGGCGGTGGGAAATAACAAGCGGAGGAGATCGTATAGCAGCTCTAGGTCGAGGTCGAGGTCTAGGTCACCGGTTGCCAAACGGGGCAGAGTTGATTAGAGGTCCTCTTACCGTTATTAGGTGCTCCTGAAGGGCGACATAGGGGCTAACGGGAAGGAAGTGAAGGAGGTGAAGATTGTTGACTTGGAATATAGAATAAGCTACGAAATATGTATTGATACCAGCAAGCATTTGTTGTGAAAGAAAAGAAGGAGAAAGAAGAAGGGCTAGTAGTAGTACCAAGGCAAGAATGAGATGAAAAAGCGAAGGACGGTCGCGTTCACATTGGTTTGAGTGCTAATCATCTGTGCCTTTCTGATGACATAGTGACATCTCGATCGATATGTTGACTTGAGGAGACCGTATTTGAACATAGAATAAGGGGTATGATACTTTCTAACAATGCTACCTTGAACATCTATAAACCAGAGCTCCATCACGTATATGCCGAACTCCTCTACAAAACCAACCACCGGCACCCAGTTATGCCCAAACCAGTGAAGAAGACATGGAGACTAGCCACTAACCAGCTCGCTCTTGGGATAACTCGTAGTAGTCTCCAATGACTCCACCGCTGTCTCCGCGCCATTCTCTCCCTGAACAGGAACCGGCGCCTCTTCAGTCGTCTTCTTCACCTCCCCCTTCTCATCCTTCTTCTCCTCCTTCTTCGCCCCAGTCTCACCAAAAACCGAAGCCACAGCCACACCCGCAGCCGCAGCCGCAGCTCCAGCAGCAGCAACAACCCCAGCACCACCGCCAGCAGCCTTCTTCGCCGCCTGCGCCTTCAGTTCCTTCTTACTCAACTGCAACGCCCCCTTGGCCAACGCCTCCTTGGGCAACGGCCTGATAATCGGCTGAACCACCCACCAAGGCCTCTTATTCTCCCTCCTCGCTTTTGCCGAAGATTCCGGGTCGTTTTGGGAGTCTTCCGTTTCCTTGATCAAGGTCTCCAGCACGTCGACGTCGAATGACGAGCCACCGGTGCGTTCGTATTCCAGAAGTCCCTGGGCGACCTTGCGCTCGACTTGGGACAGGATGGCTTCGTATTTTGCGATTTCGGAACCGTTCCGCGCGCGGGCGAGGAGGTCGCGTACGTCGGTGTGGGTTGTCACGAAGTGCCGGAGGAGGTGGAAGCAGTGGGGTTGCATGGAGACGAGGTTGGGGGAGGTTTGGAGGGCTTTTTTGTCTAGGTGGGGGTTGTTGGTGGTGGTGGTGGAGGGGGTTGAAGCGGTGCCGTTGGCGGATTTGTGTTTCTTTCTTGGTGGTTCGTCACTGTTGTTGTTGGTTTGTGTTGTTGTTGTCTCGGTGGAGGTGGAGGAGGTAGCTTCTTCAAGCCAAGCAACATCATCGCCCGGCATGAACAGCGGTCTCCTTGCCGGCGGCTCCTGCTCCAGGACGTACTTGTAGATGATATCCATGTATCGCCTCAGCACAGCGTCGACGCGCCAGCCGCCCCTTCTGCCATCCTTGCTGCGCCAGTACTCCCTCCCTTCCTCGCCGACGGCAGGCGACCGGGCGAACAGGCCCGGGTCGCTGAGGTTGCCCTCGGCGCTCATGACGCCGTCGGCACCTGTGGTCTCCAAGCACTTCTCCAGGTCCGAGTGCTGCAGGATGTTGCCGTTGGCGAAGATGACCGTCTCCTTGGGCAGGTTCTCGCGCAGGTAGCGGATGTACTCCCAGTCGGCCAGGCCCGTCTGGTGGCCCTTTTGCTCGCGCCGCCGGCCGTGAACCGTGAGGATGCTGGCGCCGGCGCGCAGCACATTCTGGGCGTATTTGAGGGTGGCCTCCTTGGTGTCGAGGATGCGGATCTTGGCCGTGACGGGGATGTCGAGTTCCTTGTGCAGGGTGTTGATCAGCTCGAAGATGAGCTCTTGGTTCTCCTGCAGGAAGGAGCCGTATTGGCCGCGCTTGGCGATGCCCTGCGGGCAGCCGAGGTTGAGGTCCACGGCATCGCAGTAAGGGGCTACGAGCTTCGCGGCGGAGAGCAGGTAGGCGGGGTCGTTGGCGCAAAACTGGACGAAGAGCGAACGGTCGATTTCGGGGTTGCCGTCGAGGAAGGGAACGTAATCGGGCGAGCCTGGGCGGGGGCTATCGGCTGTGAGAGGGCCGCGGATCGGTTGGAAGTGGGAGTCGCGGTATTTGGGTGCCTCGGTAAACAGTCGGGCATGGAACATGGGTGTGTAGCAAAGGAGCGTATGTTGCTCTTCGGCGGGTAGGAAGGATCGAGTCAGCATGCGCCAGGCCTGTCATGAAAGCAACTTGTTAGTCGGGTTTTTTTTTGTGTAAATCGTTGTCACTAGAGATTGTCCACAACGGTAACTCACAAACTCCGACTGGTCCACCATGGGAGCAACGATGTACTTCGGGCTACCGATGCTCTCGTAGAAGGCCCTGCCATGGAGCTTCGTCTTCTTGGGCGCTTGGGTTGTCGTAGCCGCATTGGCCTCTGTTGCGCTCAGGTTGGCAGCGGCAGAGGCTGGCGAAGGAGATGTTGCCGCAGAAGGGGAAGCCATGGTGACAAAGGACCTGAACGGTAGACGAAGGTGGAGGAGAGTCCTCCTAGCGAGTATCGAGAGTGTAGCCACGGTGGTGGCAGGTATGGTACTTCCTTGAGCACTGGACGTCTGTGTCTATCAAAAGTTTACTTTTGTTTACAGGGCACTCACTGCATCAAAATTTAGGCCTTCTCCGCAAGGCTGACGGCTTATCAGATTCGGGGAGTAACCACCGATGATGATTGGTTGCCCCGCAATTTTCCCCACGAACAGGAGAATGCTACACCGAACAGGGGTCAACCCTCCACAAGGCGTGGGGGTTGTTACTTGTTAGGGATTTGAGCAACATTGTGCATTGCCTCTTCCACCAATCTCGGGGAAGAGTTGGGCAGCCAAGAACTTCCAACTCTAGCCTCGGCCGTTCTCCGAATCATCACAGTTCAACCCCATCTTTGTGTGTCGTTTTCTCCTCATCTTCCTGTTTTGTCTGACAAAGGTGTCAGTGTGAGCGTATGTGACATAAAAAGATTATGGTTCAAGGGACAGTAAAGTGGGTATGTCATGACAATAGACAGTCAATGAAGTCTCGGACGGATAAGTCTCAATAAGCTTTCTCTTGGCATTGCAGTAGTGTCAGTCAGGTACGGGCACGGGTTTACAGGAACAGCCGTCTAAGTGAAGATCAATTTAGGAATAGGGCATCTAGGCATATATACATACCCGTTTGTGCAGGCGCTGTGCTTCTACATACAACCACATAATAAACTCGGATATCGGGTCATTGAAGAGTCTAGGACGTTAGAGATGTGGAATCTTTCTCGCTTTTATAGGTATTTACGTGAAGGCTTTCAGACTACTTCGCCATGTAACTGCTGTTGGCCCCAGACCAAACTAGTACTACCAACAACCAGAGGCGATTGAAGCCATGGCAAATCAAGAATGCAGCAGGAGTTGCCAACCACTTGGACGAGACCAATTCAACATATTAAACTGTAAAAGATTCCACTGGTTTCCTTGGTGACTAAATTAGATAAAAAATGCTTAAGACATAAAAGAAAAATCAGAGAGGCCGACTGTGACGGGCACAACGATATCAAGCTGGGAGTCCAACAAGCAACGAAGATGCCACAATCTCAACAATATCAAATGGCTGTAACGCTTCCTGTCAAATTCAACATGCTGTGCTGGCTTTGAAATGACCCAGTTGTAGGTTTGCTATGACGTACGAATTTTGACTCGCTTCTCTTCCCGAAATAATCAAGGAAACTGAAAAACAAAATGCCACACCCACTCACTAAAAGAGATTTTGTTCGAAGTTGTCGATGCCCTTATTTCTTGCTTTTCCATATCACCTCGCTTTGGGCCAAATTGGACCCAGACTCCAACACCAATTCCGTCCAGATAGCTCAAAGATGACCAAGAAGAGACGCTTGCTCCTTTGAACATTTCTTTCTTTTTGCTTGACCTCCAACATATCGAACAGACAACTGCACTCCACCTCTTTTGTTGCACTTCGGGCAATTCACCGTCTCAACTTTCTGTCCAACCGACGCCCCGTGGGATCCCCTGTGTCATCGTTGTCGCCATCGGTCCAGCGCGAGTAGCCCAATGAAGGAGTGGTTGAGGCCATTGGAGGACCCTACACCCATACACGCGCCAGACAGTCGCTCGCGACAGCGACAAACACCGAGTCGTCCATATACACCACCATGCAGCCAGCTACCGCCCCATTTTCAAAAGGAAAGATTAGGATACTCTTGAGTGAGTCTAGAGGCAATAAAGCCTTGCTGAAAGCGACAAAATCCGAATAACGCCATAAACACCGAACAATGCTCTTTGCTGAGAGAAATAGGAAACGCCTCGGAAACGAGAATTATGGGTGAGATGCACGTTGAACCGCCGTAACGTTGGACTCGTTAGAAGAAGTGCGTGTAGATTTTAGAGTTCTCGTGAACTTCCATTTCCTAGTAAGAGAGCCAAGGTAAGCATACGACCAAGGCGAAGATAACGGTCAGTAAAACGTACCATCTTGAAGCTGTTGAGTTCTTCCTTGATTTGTTGGGCCAGCACAGGTGTCAAGCGATTGCAAGTGGCGACTTCACCGCGGCGATCATACTCCTGGCTGGGCCACGTCTCATAGAAGGCAATCCGTGGGCTGAATGTGGCGTTTCGCTTCATGGATCCCTGAGGTGTCCCAGGTGCGCTCTTGGTGTCCTGCCGAAGGCGAAGTGCTGTCACAAAATAATCCTCGTTACCAATCGGAACTTGGCCAGCTCGGTCGTCATTGTTGGGTGTGCTGGGTGCGCTGGAGTTGGGAGAGTCAGTGATGGCACTTGGGGCATCAAGTCCTCGGTTCTCCGCAGGTCGGGGAGATGGGCTCGGCGAGTTGCTGTTGGTGTCTGTATCGATGGTTAAGTCAGCAGCAGCTAACGGGCGTAATCCATGGAAGAGCCTTACGTTTCAAGATTCCCTTGCGAACTGCAGCAAGCACTTCGGCCCTTTCTCGTTCACCGCTGATAATGCTCTTCCTTGCAGCTGATCCCTCACTACCCAGGCTTCCCGCACGCTCCGTCCTAAGACCTGGCGCTCTGCTAGCATCGAGTGAATTCCTTTCAAGACGGGGAAATCCGGTACCGCCTCCGTTCTGGGAACGAACATCGGCGTTGACGTTAACCCTTTCCCTTTCAGCTTCAACAGTTATCATGGACACTGCAGCTCGCGAAGCGTCCGGTGCCTTTGCGTCGGCAGCAGGGACACCAGTAACGGACTTAGGTCTGAACAGTCCAGCAAGTGACCTGGTGCTCTTCTTCATGCCGCGTCCCATCTTTCGAATCATAACCGAAGCCGAGGAGGCAGTTGAGGAGATGGAGAGATTGTCGGTCGAGCCCCCAAATATCCTGGGGCCATATATGTTGCTTCCAATACCAGCTGCCTCTTGCTGCTGTGCGATACGGGCCTGCTCAGCATCTAACAGCTCATCGGGGTTCCGATCCTTGTGCAGTTTAGATGGGCCATTCTCGGCGTCCTGATGATAGACCGCTTTCCTGAACTCAGCCGCACTGCCGAATGAAAATGCCCGACGAAGTCGTGACGTCTTGCTCTTGGGCTTGCTATCGTTCTGACTAACAGCAGCGAGTTGCTTCGCAGCCGGGCTATCAACCCGCGGCGAGGGGGTCGTCTTTACCGGCGATGCCGAGCGACCAGCGGCGGCACCAGCGGTCGCGTTGCGTCCGGCCTCAGTGTCCATAGCCACGGGTTTAGAGAGAGGAGAGGGGTTAGCAAGACGCTTCGTGTTGGTAGCATCGGAAGAAGATCCTCTTGGGGGGATGTTGACCAGTCGAGCGTGATCTTGGCCGTTGCTGTGATGTTGTTCTGGGATAGAAGAGTGGGCGGGGTTTCCGGTGGGGTTGGCCACATTGGCGCTGCGGTTGGCAGACTGGGAAGGAGAAACCCTCAGTTAGCGAATCCTACTGGACGACTGCACGTATGATTGGACAATGTTTAAATGGGGGGGGGGGCGTGGCAATGGATAAGTATCCGGAACGAAGTAACTTACAGATGCTGGGCGGGTTCCACTGCTAGCAGTGCTGCGGCTCGACGAACGGCTATCAGTACTGCTGGTACGTGTATGAGCAGCAACTCGATCAACACTCAAGTTGTTGACCGTTCGTCCAGAAGTTTTGATTTCCTTTTCGCCAGTCTTTCGTGACTTTGAGGACATGTCGGCGGGCTGAGCAGCGTAGAGGGGGTTTAGGGGCACCGCAAGACCGGCGGAATCCAATGCAGGCATGCTGCTTCTCCTGGCTCTCTTGACATCCTCCCGAATTTGACCATGAGGGAGAAGCATGTCATCGACCGCTGAGCCCCCCAATGAGAAGCTATTTGGCCGGTGTGCGAGTGATCCGTTTGGACCGCGCAGCATACCGCTCTTTTGCTCCGATGTGTTTGACATGGTTGGTGCTGATTCATTCGCCCGTTGCGCTGGCCGGCGATACCTCTCTGGCGACACCTTGGCCGGGCCCGCTGAAGCGATCAGAGGTACCGAGAAAATTTCGCCTAGATGCGCCGAATGAGGCCGAGGTAAAGGAGCGACTCTCCTACTACTGCCCACTGAAATGACCGAATCGTCTCTCGAACCGCCGGCTGATTGCCCACTGCTAGTTGCAGCGCTGGGAATACTTGACATAGAGTTGCTGGATTGATATCGGGGACGCGCTCCAGACTGATCAAAGTTCTGTACTTGGGGAACGGATGGCGTTGACGAGGTACGGTGTTGCCTGAATTGGTGGTGATGTGTTCCGTGGTTGAGAGCTGGCGCGTTGGTAAAAGCGTATTGTTGCACAGAGCCAGAAGCTGGACGGTACACCACTGGTGCGCCGACCACACCAGACATCCCGTGTATACTGTTGTTTCTCTGGGACATGTTGTGACCATATTGTGAATTTGACTGCGACTGGGTAGGCTGGATGATGCCGGTGGAGGAGGCCGGTCTTGTCTGAAGCATGGTAGCAGTCCCGGATTGCCGGGGATAGCCTTGCACCAAAGCAGCCATTGTCAAACCTGAGCGATCTGTCGTCCCGCCGCCGCGATGTGAAGCAGGACGTTGAACGGTACTTGTAACTGAACGAAGGAGATGGTGTGATTTCAAGGAAAGTAACAGTGGAGCCTTTCGCTAACGAGGAAATCTGGTTACGGCATGTATTAGCATCTTTCGCGAAACGAAGTCAAGTTTGACAAGAAAATAGGAAAAGCGAAATGGCACAGGGGCCGAAGTGCTGTCGAAAGGCTGTCTGCCAGATTCGCAGATTGGTAGGTTGTGTTGGGGGATGCGGCGTCAGGGCTCCCGTCTTGTTGTGATTGACGGAACTGCTTGACATTGGAGGCAGTGCTAAGGGGAGAGTGGTGCTGTTTAGTTTGTTTGGGTACTGGCACTCACCTTTTTCCGCCGCTGATGGAGGCGAGAGGATGTGTTTTTCGACCTCGAACAGAGTAGGCCTTGTTGAGGGGATAGGTATTTGAAAAAGGTTGGAAGAACGATTGTTACTATAAAGCGACTGAAGGATGCCTGCGGCCAAGGGGGAAGATGGGTTGTTGGTGTTGCAGGGAAGAAGTCCACTATCACCGTGAACGTCTTGCCCTTCGGTACAAAGTCGAGTCTGTCACGACCCGCCCACAGCGATAAGTGCGATGGAGGATGGACGCAGGCAATGTCACGATTGACACCGGAAGATGGTCGATTATTGGAGCGAAAGCATGGGGGATGACCAGATGTCCGGGCTACTAGAATGGTCGACGCAGATAGTGGAGGAGAGAGGAAGCGATTCGGTGGAGCTCTCGAAGAGTCTCTCAGGCAGTCGAGCCTTGGATCCGCGGTTGTTGCGGAGTGTCGTCGGCCTGATCTTTTCCCCTTCCTCTAAGAGTCGTTGCGAAGAAGCAATAGACGACAACAAAGTTGACAAGAGACGGAGCAGATTGGACGGAAAAGTCGGAGAATGGCAAGAGGTCCACGACCGGGAGGAGGGAAGTGGAGGGCGGAAATTCGAGAAAGCAGGGGCGATTCCCAAACGAAGGGCGAGGCACTTGAGATGGAAGTTGAGGTTGGCCGAACTGAGGCCGTTTCGTTACGCGGTAGAGGTAGTGGTGACTGGTGCTTGTGCTTGTGCCTGTGTTGATAGGTAGAGGTAAGGTAGGTAGGCACTCCAGATATGTAAAGGCATGCAGGGAAGCACGGGAACCTCTTGTGCAGGACAGAACGGAAGGGTCCGACGAAGAGAGTTGACTGTGTCAGGTCAGGGCAGGGCAACCTCAACCTCAGCGCGAGAAAAATAAAAGAAAAATCCGGGGAAGTAAACAAACGTGTGTCGACAAGCTCAGACCCAAACAAAAACGCAGGGGAGATCGAGGGAGGCGGCGCAAGAACGAGAGACTGATGACGATTGGGGACAGATGGGATGGGCCGTGGCGAGACGAAAGTTTTGACAGATGACAACTTCACCACTGCAAAATGTCTGTGGAGGAGCAGTGGGAGCGCGAGTGCGTTGAGAGGGCACAGCGGACGGGCACGACGGAGAGTTGGGAGGACGGGCGTGCAGGCAGGTGTCAACGGAACAGAACCTCAATGGCCACTGGTGGACAGGAGGGAGAGTGGATGCACAGGTGGATGCCCTGGACTGATGGGCCGTTTTCTGCTCTCGACTTTCTCGGGAAACCGGGGGAAACGGACACTCAGAGGTGGACCCGATGCCCCCTGTCATCTGCACTAGGATATGGGAAATAGTGGAGGTGCAACGCTCGATACAGTAACAATACCGTTCATAGCAGCAGCAATTCAATGTTACGGCTCGAGTTCCTTTTCCAGTCCATTGACTTTCATGTTAGTGCTAGTTGACGCCGTGTTCACATTCCTGTCTAGCAGACTGTTCTAGTAGGTAGAGGTATGGATAGCCGGGACACTTTCATCATGTTCCAGCATGATACTTATAGAAGGCGCTCAAGGATGCGGACAAGAGGGACGATCGATGTAAATGGGTAAGGTAGGTTCTTTCTTTCTTGTTTCATTTGTTCAAAGGCTCGGCGCAATTCGATCCGGGTGGGAAGTTCAAGACACGCAGGCATGGCAGCGCCTTTACTTGGCAACATCTTTTATAAGGTAGCGTCCAGACAACCGGGACCAAGAACACCACTGCGCTTCCATCTTCAATTACAAGCAATCTTAGCAACCGTACATGACCCACCAGAAGAGAATACGCTTATCTGAAAAGACACTGGTGAATACCTTATTCGGGGAGTGGAAGCGCCTTCATCTTTAAATATATTTTCCGTAATCTCTCTCATCAGTCAATGCGCCGTAGAGTCCTATTCCGGTTCTGGTACGGTGCGTTCCTGATCCCTTTACAGTGAAAACATCTCTGCAGCTGATTTCAGTCTTGCCTTGCCTTTACATGTTGCTCTCGTCGTCAGAGACTCCCGAATCATATGTCCGATCGATGAATCTGTCGGCCGTTGAACAGCGAAACCGAGACGATATCATGTGTACATAGCTATCAGGAAATACCTAATGTATCCATCAAGCAACTGAGAGGGGGAAGGATGCGCACATGTTGTTACATGGTGAGAGCTGCTACTGCAATTTGAACCGCAACGAGCACATCCGAATTGTAGTGCAAATATTGGATATTACCTGCATATATCATCGTCGTTCGGTCGAAATGACCAGCGCAAAACAATACAACGAGCTGCTTAAAAGCGGCGGATAGAAACCGGAAGAAACGGATGCTTAGAGAAAGACAATGGCAGAACCAGAGGAGTCAAGACGAACAAGCCATCAAAACTTTGAAAAACACGGTAACTTGACTGATATTTGTTTTCCCTTTATTGCCCTTTCCCCGTGTTCTCGCTTGCTCAGAGTAGGTAAAAGCCGCAGAAGTAGGTCTTCGCTACCACCATCTCATCTTAAACATGGGCCTTAATTGGCACTTAACAGCCGCTTGATATTGCCCGCGACGCGCCATTAAGACTCGTCGTCATCATCATGAAAAGGACATGTAGGGTTTACCCCAAACTGGACCCAACCCCAGAAAAAGCTTTTTTGCTCTCGGCCTCGGGTGTCTTCAAGAGTAGGGATCGATCAGTAATAACTGCAACTGGTAATTTCTGAAATTTCCAGAAATTTCATACAAAAATGGACATTTTTTCATTAGTTTCAGGGCACGTAACTAAAATGCGGGTTTTCCAAAGTAAGACTAGGCTCGACTGGGCTCAACTGGGTATATAGACTGGGCTCTTAAATCCCCTAAATCTGTGTAAAATCGATTTATCCAGTGATAAATGTTGGCACTAGATTTTACTAGCTTTTACTACATTTCAGGGACTAGTTAATCGTACTGCAAATCGGTTTATTTCGTAACTATACCTCTATATATATACCCTCCTCTTACTTACTCCTCCTCTCCCCTATCTTCCTAATTACCTTCCTATATATATTTATACAATTACTCCTCAATTTACAATAGTAATTCGTCCCTCTCTATTATACTTGAACCGGTGAAAGATTTATCGAAGTTTCTAAACTTCTTGCCATTCATATAAATAAACGTAGCTATATCTATCTTATCAACAGTAAGGCGGTTACGCCTAGGATTTTCGAAAAAATTTATAGCAAAAAAAGCTCGTTTACAAGGTACGCTATTAACTAGCGTATTAAATACTCTAACGGCGATAGGGGCAACGACAAAGCCAATATCGAATAGTATACTCTATTATAATTTAAGATCGAACTAATAATAATTCTAAATATTCTAATTCAGAATATAAATACCCTTACGGATATAGAAGAATAAGAAATCGCCCAGCAACTATTCCTCTATAACGCTGGATAGAATTTAAATATATCATTTAGAGTAATTTAATATAGTAGTTATAATATTAATAACTATAAGACGTACTATAATAGTATAATCTGTAATAGTTATTAAGTATAGAAGAAATCTTAACTAATTGAGAGAGGTTATTTACTTTACCTTACGAACTATATATAATTTTTCGAACTTTTAAAAGTAATAAGGATTTAAAGAGGCGTGGTCGCGCTCCTAAGAATCGTAAATAGAGACCCAATATAGTATAATATAGTTAACAGTACTTTTATTGGATTTTTATATTAATTAGACTTTATAAACCGGCGCTATAAACCTCTTAAAGGTTCTTAAACTGTACTAAAAGTACGGGCTCTTAATAATATTAAATATAATACTTAAATAAATAAAGTTTCGCCTACTAATACTACAATGCGGGGTAATTTATTCTACTAATTATTATTATAACGTACTTATTTAACGAATGTACATAATATAAATTCAATTCGCTATAAGGACTATACCGATTTATATTATAATTCCTATCGTATAATTATACTAATTTAGTTAATATACAATATATTTAAAATAATAAATAAATAATAAAAATAATTTATTACTTATTTAACTAATATAATAATAATTTTATTATAATATTCGACTATAAACTAACGTAACCATATAAATTGCAATTTAGAAGCGCGAAAGAAATTTATAATAACTGTAATCTATTAGGTTAAAATCTTAAAGGGTTTAATATTAAGTAAATTTTTTATTAAAAGCTATAATAAATACGAATCACTCAAAATTTAAAAAAACGTTTTTAAATCAGTTATTAACCACTTTAAATATCGTATAGCGGGCGGCAACGTAAGTATCAGTAATGAAAGTATTAATTTTAATTAGGAGATTCATTATATTATTATAAATATTCATAATAATATTAACCAAATTTATAATAATATATTTTACAGCTTCAATATACTAATTATATTAAAAGAAGAATACTTTATTCAATAGGTAAAGGAAGGAGATATTAATAATATAATGGCTAACGTAATTATTAAACTTATCGAAATAAATATTAGTAAAGTTAGCGGGCGAAATATATTAATCGAATCTTTACTTCTTTATTTACTTATAAATAAAGGGTAGCTAATTAATAATTATAACTATTGCGTTAGGAAGGGTATAAATAGGGATAAGGGTATATAAGAAAATCCTTATAAGTAAGCTTTTAAATAGGTTAAATAGGCGGCTATCGAACAATATAGCTTTAGTAGTATATTAGTCGACCTTCTTCTTCTAAGCGCTATTCAAAGCGACTGCGTACTAGCGAATATCTTTGTACTTTTCAATTTGCTAGCGAAGGTGGTAAATATAATCTATCTTACACTTTTTGAAATAGGTTTGTAATCTAGTAACGTTAGTAAATTAACAGTTATTATAATAGTTGTATTAGGCAGTTTAAACCGCGCGCCCTAGTTCATCTGTTAAAACGAACTCCTTGAGAATTGCCTCGCTTCTAGCTTGTCGGACTAGGGGCATCACTAGAGATATCATCAAAGAGATAGGGAGAAGGCTACTAGGTAGAAGCTGGCAATAAAAGGGGATCAGGAAGCAAATCGGTATATTGAATAGTTGTGAAATAATCAAGTTGTGTGCAGATTCACCAGAGTGCACGGTCCCTCGTTTTAGCGGTAATTTCAGCAACTGGTAATAATGTGCAATAATCTCATTATTTCGGAATCAATCGATCCCTATTCAAGAGTCCATATATTCTGATGGGGGCATGCGAGCCGGATTGGTGTGATTGGCCGGGCTCATCAGCGCTCCCCATGGCAATGGCATTGGTCCAAGTCGCGCTAACCAGGTCCGTTTGATGCAGGGAGTTGGGTATTCCGCTTACAAAACAGTGCTGCAGCCGATATGTCGCTGAGCTGCGCAGCCTGCGGTGGTGTCCGCAATGTGGTGTGCTGGTGGTGGATAGGCATTGAATATCATCCTCTCTTCGTCCATTCATGGATCTCTTTGCTATTATGATCTGGCCGTGATCAGCCTTGGGCTTTGCTATATCCGTTGGGTCAGCTGATAGCAATGGTATTGTCGGCAATAACGTGGTCGACTTGCCGGAGCGTGCGGAGGACCAAAAAAACATGAGGAAACAAAGAAGAAACGTGTGGAATGAGCAAGGGGTCCGCAAACCTGGAGTCCCGGACTGATGCCAAATTCGATGGTGGTGACCCCCGTGTTGTTTCCCCAGGCACTCTTGCACAGTGGCTGCCTCGTCCATCGAGGCCGGGAATGAGGGCCGACTAGGTAAGTCGCATCGAGCATTCAACCTCCGGGTATCGTGGGATCGCGCGATGCAAGAATCGTTGCCAACGAGCGTCAAGACGCTTACGCGATTGAAGGCGACGGCCAGTCAACCAGTCAACAATTCTGTGTCTTTCGAGAAAATATGTGACGATATCGTATCGGCTGCCAAGAACAAGGTGGGTGGTGCTGTGGTGGTGCCGTGGTGGTACCCCCGTGGTGGTACCCTGAGTGAGCGCGCAATATGTGACCCCTCTGCGGCCCTACCAGCTCTACCACCTCTACCACACCTCGACGACCTCTGTCCCGTCTTCGTCTCCATTCGGGATACTCAATCGGTCGGCCAGATCTGGAGTTCGGCTCGTCGTCTCTTCTTTGTGCGACAGGAATATCGTGATCATCAGGGGCAACATTCCGATCTTTATACCCGCCGTTTTCTCACCACATTGATGGATATTGTCGATGCGCAAAATCAAAAGGCTCTTGCTTTTGTGGCTTTGGCCATTCTGCCTGCTAATGTAGGGATTTTAGATGATGCATTACGACCGCAGGACAGCGCAGGACCGCGCAGCGTCGTAGACCTAAGTAGGAATGGGCAGTGCGGGAGGGTCAATGCCTACCGATACGGGCTGCAGTACATGATGTAAGTTACTGTACCGTAAGTACAGTCACGGCTTTAAGTTCCATCTGCATGTTTCCAAAGCCGAACTCAACGTCTCGACATTCAACCTCGCCAGCGTGGACAATGCAATCACATTCACGTTCGCCGCATTTCGCAACGGCAGCGGCAACTGTTCGCTCAACGGCTCTGCCGACTCCGCTTCCTTTGGCAACATAATATGCGCAGATCTGTTACATTAGTCCATCTGCCAACCACCGATCATCTCGACAAGTAATGTCAATCCAACATCGACCCAAATAAAACAATCGTTATCAGTAGTATTTGTGATTCAACAAGTTTTTGTCCGTGTCTTTATTCCGGTGCTTGACCGTCAGAGACCTAGACCTACCTAGCCTCTTAGCCTTGGAAGCTGCATGCCCCTTACGTGTTGTCTCACTTGGGGGACGCCCAGGGACGGACTCAGGAACGCGAGGGTCCAATTGAGACAACAGGAGTCATGATGCTGACTGTTGCTGACTGTAGGTATAATTAGCGAAAGGATAGCTGGATATCGAGGCTTATCAGGGATGAAAATACTAACAACACGTCAGTGAGTTCTGGAAATGTTCCGATATCTTCAAATCGTGTGGAATGATGGCCCGATATGGAGACGCTCTTCACCCCCTTTCATCAGCGCGGTTTCATGTTGTGATAGCCGGTCGACATCAGAACAGTCGGACGGTGAACGTGGGAGTTTGTGACTGTATTGGCAAGTGCTACGAAAGTTAAAGCCAGCAGCAAGTCCAATTGGTATCTGAACCCGGCCTGGAGCAATTAAAGTGCGGGCTAGTGCGATTGTTAATCATGTTATGCAATTACGCCATAATGCGGCCCTTCCTGCTGCCTCCATCCCGTGCCTGCCTCCATCCCCAAGACCCAAGCGCTCCTGGCACTTCAAACCTCCCGAGAGGAACTTCAACATGGCCACTTCTGCTTTTTAGACATGGATCCCTGACAGGAGTTCGTTATTTTAGCATCGAAAAGAAGAAACAAAAGCCAACTCCGTCTACGATCGGATCTCTATTCTCGTCTCGTCATCATGATCTTCCCCCTGATCGCCTCCCAATCTCCTTCTCGTCTCAGCAGCCCCATGTTCGGATGATAGCGGAGCATCCACCAATCCACCGGTTCGACGGGAATGTTGTTGGACGTTGGGAGTTCTGAAAGGTTCAAGGCAACCTAGTCAAGGCAAACTCAGAAACCCCGACTTTGTGTGCTCGGAACACAAGAGGAACTGGAGGTGAGAACCATAACCGTGCCATGTCGACATGGACAGGCATTCAAGTTCTACCGCATCTCCATCATCGTCATCGCCCTCCAGCATCATCATCCAAACACACACACGGGCCATCAGTAGCCCAAGTCTAGGTACTTCTACGTAGAGGTAGCTGGCAGCTGACAAGCTGGCTCCTCTTCAGTTCGCCTTCTCCCCTGTTCATCCGGCGACGACATGCCTCTTCCTCCTGTGCAATGCAGAGACACAGCAGCGGAAGGCTGTCGAGACGGGCCAATCCCGCCCGCCGTATCATGTCCTCTTCATGCCCTCATCCGTCTGAATGCAAGTGCCTTCAGCCCGCTTCGGAAGGCAAACATGTCCATCGCCAGTCTGGACTGTTGAGCTTCGCCAAGCTCTGCCCGATCAATATAAGCTACCAGCTCACCACTGCATCACCGGATCCCTCCGACCAAACTGATGACGGTTCAAGTCGTAGGCTTTACCGTTCGTGATGTTGCCGGGTGGCCTAGTGTGGACTATATATATCATCTGGTAACACGGCGATCAACGGTAGCAGTAACGACCTGCGAGCTCCTTCTACGGCGTCGGCTTTGGTGGGTCGGCCCCCTATAGCACCCACGGCACTCGTGGTTATACACGTACCAAGCGGCCAGTTATCGTCCGATTGTGTTTGAAGCTGGACCCAGCACGTCGTCGCCTCCTCGACAACTGAGGGCCCCTCCATCAGAATACGAAGAACGGCGGGGCAAGCACGTGGGTCAGGTCTTGTTTTCCTGCCCTATTGCTGCTCTGTGCCCATGGCTATTGAACCCTGGACATACAGCACTTTGCTATATAACTCGCAAGGTTATGGCTTCATGTATGATCGAATGGCCCTGCTGCGCAACAATGCACTGCATATCTTGTCTCCGAGCGGTGACCGGTTTGGGAACCTGTACTCAAACCAAGTCCCGTTCTCAGATCCGTGAACAACAACAAGCATTTACCCAGCTTGGCGGGTTTTTAGCTATCCCGTCCGCCTCATATGCTTCGCCAGCAGCGTTTCAGTCCGAGCAGCAGGAGTATCAGAAAAATCAGCGAACAAGGGTTACGCCTCGCCTTTACCGTCATCGTCTCACTGCGTAGAGGTAACTATAAGATGATGACAACAGTCAGTCAGAAAGTGAATGGCCAGTGTATAAAAGACACTCCCCGCCAATAACTCCTATAGCCTTGAATGCCAAGGCCAGGCCAGCCAGCCATCAAGAGCTTTCCTTACCCAGTTGGAATCTCTGAGTGAGCTGACGACCTGGAGATACCATCAGCTAAACACATCACAGAAGACGACGACGCCATTGTCAGTGTCCAACCATAAAACATTTCTCCCTCCCTCCCGCGGCCGGGAAACCACCAATGTCTCGCCAAGAGTTTTTCCTGTGACACCCAACCCAACAACGGGCGGTCAAGAAGCTAGACATACATCTTGGTGGTGGTGGTGTAGTAAATGGTGGCTTGTTTTACCTACTATGGCTTAGGACCCTACCAGTCCAAGGTGCCTGCCTCATCTTGATTACTTCCCCTCTTGACTTGGTTGTTTCATATTCCGTCCGCCTATCGGAACCTTGGATACTCCAATCAGATAATATTTTACACTTTGATATGCTATGCTTGACTTAACGTGGTGCATGGAGTACACGCATCCCTCATCTGCTAGCTAGTAAGAGGCCAAACTCAAACTCGAGGAAACTGTAAGTACTACCAGGAGACGCGGTGCTTTCCGTAGTTTTGTACAAGGCCGTTGTGTAGATGGTGTAGATCGGATGGTCTAGATGACGCTGGTAGGCGTTCAGGCAGGAAAAGTGCCGGTGGTTGTAGGCGGGCAGTAGTCTAAGCTCAATGGATAGATAGGCTGGGAAGGTGCGAGTCGATAATTCACTGAAAGTGGCTTCAGATCGCACTTGCTACTTATTCTCATAGCATCACAAACAAATAGTAGTCACTTGTGTGAAATCCAGTCAACTTGACACATTGTAACATCACGCACAGCAGCTGAGCTTAATCAGATCAAGTCTTGCCCCTTTCAGAAGCACTTGCCTCGTAAAGATCACCTCACTACGCAATTCGAACCATGGTTTTCAACTTCCGGAAACGCAATCTCAATGTCGGTAGTTCAGACATAGCTTTAGATCAAATGCCGGATCTAAATGTACGGTACTTGTCTTCAATACCTATGCTTGAAATGATCCTGGAAAGAAAAGTTCGCATAAAGTCCTGCGAGTTGAGTCGAGTTATATGAATGACACTTTACTTGGAGCAAGATATGAGTGCCAAACCGGGGTGTTGCAGTTCGGAACCATCGTTGTGGTTAAGTTTGGTCTAACATAATATGTATGATTCTAGTCGATCTGAATAGGAGGATATCGAAGGGAAGGTGAGTTTTGGTGAACTTTGTAGTTTGCCATGAAATAGGGTGGGAAAGGGTACAATTAGGTAGCCTTGGTATTATAGTCGTTCCGGAGTTGTTGTTTGTATGTTCTATTCGTCACCACGGGGTGTTCATAGGTAATGATTGATAACCTAAACATGGTTCCGTCTCTTCCTTGGCCCTTTCGGGAAAACCTATCTTCACCACTGGCTCTTCACCTTGATACTTTCCTTGATTGACTGTGCTGTGCTATATTATACCATGCTAGAGACCCTTCCGTTACGTTCACGGTTTCGCGGGCCTAGTTTTAACGTCTTGCGTGGGACGCATCCTTGGCATCTTGATGGCTTAACAGCTTGTAATTGTTGTAAGCAACATCGGAAATAACATACGATACTTTCCAATGGGTAGCCATATGTAAGAAACACAAGCGTGGCATGGAGGAGAACAACCAATAAGTAAAGTAACGCCGGCTGGGTAATCATTGGCAGTAGTCACTCCCCCGGTAAACTGGGTACCTCGTGAATAATACTCCAGCTCCTCTCCTCATTCTTGGGTAGACCCCGGCAAAGGGAGTTGCAACTACCGCCCTCTTCATGATCAAACCTTCAGACACCCTCACCACTGGAATCACTTAAGGATAAAACATCATAAACATGTTTATGTACAGCCAAACCTCACCCTCCTAACGCCATTGTATGTAACAAATCCACTTACACCCGGTCTCTCTACCACAACCACCCAGAAGACAAAGCAAGCATACCCAGAACCGTCAAAGAGGGTATCCAAGTGATCAACCCTCCACCGACCATCCTCACCCCTCCATTATTCCATAACGTCACCGGCTTCCCCCTCTCCGTCGTCTCATCAATACTGCACACCACATCACAGCTCCCATCCTTCTCATCATCATCATCATCTCCATCCCTCCCTCTCAGCATCCCGGTCCCGCCGTTTCTTTTCCTCTTCTTCGCCGGATTCTCATCTGTGGCATTATACACAATCTCCAACCACTGAATCTGCAAATACGCCGCCTCATTAACCGTCATATTCCCGCTCCACTCGCCACCATCGCTCCAAGCATTCAATATGACCTTGCTAGGATCCCTCGGCGTCTGGAACGAAATAGTCGCTACCTCGGTTCCATCCACATACCAGACCGTCTCCTTCGGTGTCCAGTCGAGCCGGTGCACAGCCCAGTGGGTCCAATCCGGGAGACCTTGGGGAATCGTGACGTTCTTAGTGGCGTGGTCGATCTCGTCGCCGTCCTCCGTGTAGGACGGCTGGTTGGTGTACTGGATCGTGTTGCGCGGGTCCATGGTGCGCACTTCGAGATCGGACTCCTGCACGTCCGCGAGGCGGTCGGAGCCGCGGTAGGTGAATAAGGCGGTGATGGCTCCCGGAGATCCGACGGTGCGGGCGAGCATGCGGACCGAGAGGTACTGGAAGCCGGGCGCGACGGACTCGATTTCGGAGGCGGTTTGGAAGTCCTTGAGACGTTGGGTGCGCAGGGTGAGCCAGGTCTGCGAGGACGGGTTGCGGTCGCCGTTGGCTTCGATGTAGACGTTGTTTGGCGAGTTGACCATGAGCACGGTGGCGTCCTCGCGGGTTTGGTGGCTGTTGTTCCAGCTTTGCACCCAGAAGGTCTCAGTCCATTCTTTGGAGGTGAAGTATTCGCTGGTTACCGGCGCACTTCCGCTGTCGTTGGGTTTGGCGATGGTGGGCGGAACGCCGGCGTGCTTAGCAAGGTTTCGGAAATCTAGAAACCTGTGGGTGGCGAAGAAGGAAGCTTGTGTACCGTTTGTTAGATAACACTCGCATTTTGAATCGTCGGTAAGAGAGGGTGCCGCTGATGCTAGAGGGGAAGCGATGGTGATAAGGGTGATGAGTGAGGATAAACTTGTATGAGTTCTTCCTCTCCTTTGATGTGTCTCCATCTTAGCTCGAGTCGAGTTTAGCCCTGTCACCAACAATTTCGAGTGTAAAACAGCAGAGAGGAGTGGCCCACGCCGAATATCGATCAGTCAAAATCGAGATCTGAGTCAAGGGGTAGCCACGTGTAAAATGAGACTCAACCACAAAGCTTGATGATTCTCACGAAGGAGACAAGAATTGAGGAGTACACCTGGATGCAATGACACAACAGTGGGCTGAATGTAACAACAGGGGGTCAAATCAGTCCCTATGTGGATGCCGTGTATAAAGCAGCCAGAAGGGTATAAAGATGCAATAAGTTGAGTAATGCGAATAGTTCAACCAGCTTTCGAACGAAAACTCTCGAAATATTTCCTGAGCAGAATCGTCAGGTAGGTCAAGTACAGGAGGCCGCCGGATCAAGGATGAATGAGAGATGTCCTGCTGTTTATAGCTTACAGATGCTGTGTTTGGTGCTACCAAGTCCCAGGTCGAGGCATCTTCGTCTTCGGGTCGATTGGCCAATGTTAGTGCTGGTCGACCACGGAGACCAGGAGAAAGTAGCAGTCGGAGGAGTGGTGATGATAAAAAAGGGAGATCTGCGTATGCTTTTTAGACGTTGACCCGTGGAATGGAGTGAAGCTACCCATCTTTTCTGGTACCATACCACTCTTCCTAGCCAAGTTTGCCTGGGCCTTTCAGACATGAGAAAACAAACAGAAGGTGAGTAGGCTGAGCAAGTTGCGGCCATCGACAGATGAAACCTCTTCTCCAAGGTCCAAGGTCCAGGATGCTTGGATCCGCATTTTGCCAAATAGCATATGTGTGCAGTTGATGGGGTTTACTATCCGGTTAAAGACGCAAAGGCGGTACAGCCAGTAGGTGCTCGAAGAGGGGAAGACGACCAGGTCGGAAGTCAATATATACTCACGACGCTTGCGCCGCCGAGCCCCAACACCAGGAACCACTTCCTGGCTTCAGGACCAGGTCAAGCTTATTAACTTGCAACCACGGCAAGATCCGAGGGAAGGGGCTTGTATGTGATGAAGAGGTCGCCTGCCGCACCGGCTTCGATGCGATGACACTATCGCGATGTCCATCATCCACTCTCTGTGAGAATCAGGATGGTCACTCATCAAATACTCCGCAATGTTTAGCACAGCCTGGTGAAATCTTTGATGTCGGGCAGTTAGATAGGGAGATGGGTTGGAGTCGACGTAAGACTCTTTTTGTTGTTGGAGTTTCGTGGCGGAGCTCTCGACATTCCGATTGGAGGCTGTACTCGCACTGATGTGCTGCAAGGGGAAGACGAGAAGGGAGCTGACAGTGACGCCTGGAGGGAGTCAGGTCCACTGCTGAGTGGTTGGTCCTTGGACGTTGATCATGTCGATATCACAGGCCGCGCCTCCAATCGATGTCACGAGTTGGAAATGCGTGAGACTTGACAGCGTCAACTTTTGGAAATTCGTAAAAGATGTGATGACAGAAGGGAAGTTCAAGGGAAGAGATGGAACGCTTGTGTTTAAGCTTAACGAGCATCAATGGGTCCCGATCCACATCCAAGACACCGTGACCCACCTTGTCCTGACACGGACCATGCAGGACGCCGCTGCAAACGCCAAGGCCCCGATTCTATGGCGACAGTCCATGTGACAGCTGCTTGCCAACTGCTTTGACACGCACAGACAGCTGTAGCTCTGATTGCCGCCGGCATTCAGCTCTGGGGTGCATTGGTACGATGGCGCCCTCTGGACGACACTGCAGACTCTCAGCTTCCCTTCCAAAACATCATCTTCAAATCAACATCACGTAGGCTCAGCGGCAGACGTGGATCGCCAAACTGAACCATATCAAGCTCACACTCCATTGTTTACCGCAATCAGCTTAAATCGCCTTTGCAATTCTACTTGGTACAACACAGCGCCCTACAGCTCCTCCTCCGTCTGCAGTAATCTTCTTCTCCGGCACAGTAAGGCAACTGAAACCGTCAGGAAATGCATATACTCGCTTTGAATCTACTACACTCAGACTGGTCGGCGTTTCATTGACAAGATCTAACTCGGCAGTTCAATTACCAAACACAACCCCAATAATCCGCCATGTCCACGCCACCTCCAACTTATTCCGCTACCGCGCAAGAAGTGGTGCAGGAGGAGCGTAAAGAAGATGGAACAAAGGTCACAGAGGTTACCGATGGCGCAACAGAGGCGCCCGCCGCCGCCGAACAAGTGCTCGACAGCAATGAAACGGTAGAGGAATCGAACCCTCAATCGGTAGAAGAAGACCGAAAAGACCAAGAGCACGAGGACGATCCCGCGCAAAAGTCGAAATCCGAGTCCCCAGACGGTCAAGCTTCGTCGCAAGGCGACCGCGAGTCGTCCTCGCCATCGCCATCCTCACCAGATCGGGATGAGAGCGCCGAACCCGGTGAAATCGACGAAAGCGCCCCTCCCCTTCCCGACGAGCCTCTCCCGGACCAGACAGACAACGGCGAATCATCGTCATCTGCACCTCCTCTACCCGCTGAGCCGGCGCCCGAACCAGAAGACGACGGCTGGGAGTACCATTGGAATCCCAACGACTCGTCTTACTGGTTCTACAACCGATTTACTGGCGTATGGCAGAAGGAGAATCCACGAATTCCAACCGCGACAGCAGCAGCAGCAGCGGTGGTGGCGCCGGTGGTCGTCCCTTCTGCCGTAGAACCCACAACCATCAGCAACCCCATCTCCGTTGCCGGCGGCTACAATCCCGCCATTCACGGCGACTACGACGAGAACGCGTGGTATGCCGTCAACGCTCGCGCGGCTGCCGAGGCCGCCGCTGCCGCCACCAACCCGCTCGCCGGCTTGGACCCCACCGCTGCTGGGGCCGAGTTAGCCAGCACCGGCTACTTCAACCGGGCTACGGGCCAGTGGCAAGCGCCGGACCAGAACGTAGAGCGCCACTCGGACGAGGCCAAGAGCAAAAGGCAACTGAACGCCTACTTTGACGTGGATGCGGCGGCGAATATGCACGACGGCCGAAGTCTCAAGGCGGAAAGGTCGGGCAAGAAGCCAAGTAGGGCCGAGCTGAAGGCGTTCAAGGAAAAGAGAAGGGCAAAGAAGGAGGAAAAGAGGAGGGCTTGGTTGCGTGATTGAGATACCATTCCATCGTCAGCCAAGCGTGGTTTGCTTGTCGCCTGTCCTTCTGGGTTTGCTTCTAGACGTAGAATCAGGCGGGTGGAAATCTTTTTTGAGGCATACATTTCATTCTATACCCGGGGGTTCTTGACGTTGACCACGCTTGTTATTCTTTAGTTTCGATTGACTAGAGGTTTGGGGTAACCTTTGAGCTGGATATTCTGTCTTTGGTTGGATGAAGTTGACTGGTCTTATACAGAGTCTCTCAGATACGTAGGTGGGTTTGCGCTGAGTCTGAGAGTAGATAGGGACAAGCAGATCACTTTCCTGAATATATATCTATTTACACGAGTACTTTCACATCCAAATTCCCAAAGGTATCAAATCTACTCTTCATCCTCCTCATCCTCACTGTCCTCGAGCGACATATCGATCTGGACGCTCTCCCCACTATCGCTATCCTCACTATCATCCTCACCCTCTTTCTGTTCCATCACAGCCACAACTGGTTTCGCCGGGGGCGGGGCCACAGCGGGCGTAGCGACCTCCTCCGCGACCTCAGCAGCAGTCGTGGAAGGCGTGTCCTCTTCAGCGTCAAGAGTCTTTCTCCTCGAACTCCTGGTAACTCTCTTAGAAGGAGTCGCAGCCTCCTCTTCAATTTTACGCTTGGGTTTGTTTACCAAGCCCTGCGCAGCCCTCCGAGCCCTCGATTCGGGACTGTCGATAGGGACGGTGGCAAACGGGTTCGGTTTGCTGGTGGTCTCTTCAGCAGCACTCTTTTCCGCAGCAGCACCCCAGACCCCCTTAGCAGCAGCAGCGGCGGCGGCCTTGCTCTTCTGGTTCTGATCCTCAGCAGCGAGCTGGGCATCCGCCTCCTTATCAGCGTCCGCCTCAGCATCCTCAGCATCAACCATCTCCTCATCCTCATCCTCATCTTCATCCTCATCCTTATCACCAGTCTTAGCGGCAGCAGCAGCCAACTCCTCCAACCCCTCCTCGGGATCCCAACTAGTAGCCACAGTCTGGCTCACACCCGCACCAATTCTCATCAGATTCGTCCGCAACACTTCCACCTCCTGATCGGCAGGGAACTGCCTAACCAAGAACGGCAAAATGGTAGGGTAATACCTGCCCCGTGTGTCCTTGTACGGGTTCAGCACGCTGGCTAGCATCGCTTGCTTGCTGTTGGCTAGGATGGCGGTGCGGTCGACTAGGCCGCGCGCTTCGGGGGAGAGGTGGCGCTGCGGGAGGCGGGAGAGGAAGAGGGGGAGGAGGGAGAGGGCGGCAGCGAAGATGGGATCCGAAGAAGGAGAGGAGGAGGTGGTGGTGGAAGCGGTGAGGTAGGCGTCTGCGTTACCGGAGGACTGGGCTTTCTGGGGGTTCAGGATGCCGGCGCCGTTCTTACCGGCAGTGGGTTTCTTGGGGTTGGGGTTGGGGTTCATGGTGGTGCTGGTGCTGTTGCTGTCCTGCTTGCCGCCGGCGGGGGAGTCGTAGTGGCCCGTGGCGCGGAGGATGTCCTGGCAGGTGGACTGGATGACGGGGGCCATGGAGTCGACGGTGAGTTTGAGGAGGCCCGGGCCGGAGATCTCGAGGAGGTCCTTGGCGAGGACGTAGACGGTCTCGCGGATGGCGGCAATGTGCCGGCCCGAGGTAAAGACGCGGACCATCTGGTCGAGGATGTCGGTGGCCAGCGGCAGGGCGTTGACAGCCAGGCGACGGAGGAGGACGGTGTGCAGGTTAAGGATGGCCATGTGGACCTCGGGGAGGACGCTCCAGAGTTCGGCCTTTTCGTCCCTGCTGATGGCCGGGTTCGTCTCGACGCTGTCTTCGCCGGTGGTGGGCTTGGGGAGGGTGATGAGGGTGATGCGCGAGGCGAGGTCGAGGAGCTCCCCGACGGGAACGGTGACGGGCGCCTTGGTGGGCACCTTGAGGTACTCAATGAGCTGGCCGACGAGGCCGGTAAGTCTCTCGGAGCCGGCAGTGACACCGGTCCAGGCAGGGAGTTCGTCGGCCTCGTCACCTCCCCCGGAAGGCTCACCGTCGGTACGGGCTGTGTCCACTCTGTAGCCGGCGGTGGATTCCCAGGACTCCCGGACAGCACGGAAGACTTGGTCGGCTGTGGCATGGGCCTCCTTGATATACGACTTGATGCCCTTCACCCACTCGTCGCTGCTACCGTTCTTAGGCGCCGTATAGTGAAGCACAATAAGCAGCGAGCGGGCGCTCTCTCTCAGGCTCTGGGGGACGATGACGGCGTCAGACATGGTAGGGGCGACGTAAGCCTTGAAGGCAGCTCGGATCTGGGCGTTGAAGGGTCTCGTGGTGGTAGGATACAAGGCCACGATCTTGGAAAGAGAGCCAGCAACAGTATCGACAAAAGACGTGGGAACCTTGGGTGCCTTGCTCGAGGCAGGCGGCTTGACGAGGTTCAGCATGGCAGTGACGAAGCTGGGGAGAGTGGGCGTGGCCATCTCTCTGACCAGTGTCTGGTAACCCTGGAGGAGAGAGTAGATCTTGGTCAGGGTGATGACACATAGCTCCTTGGACACGAGGGGATCAGGTTTCTAGATGATATTATCAGTATGAACTTCCGTTGTCCGCCAGTGTCTACTTGAGATTCTCACCCCCAAAATGCTGATCAAACCCCTGATCCATGCGTCTGAAGCCTTCAAGCTTTCCCATCCTCCAACATCAACGACAGCCTTAACCAGGGAGACGGCGGCAAAACGGCCGGACGCACTCTTGCCCGTAAGAAGCGTAGTGATGTGAGTTCTCAATCTGTGAACAAGCGTAGCAGTTTCCGAAGACTTGTCCTTGGCCTTGGTCTCTGGCACGGCGGACAGGGCCTCTCCGCAACGAAGAACATGGCTGACGAGGAGGGGGCAGATATGAGGAAGATCGTCAACTGGTGTCGATGCGAGTCTGCGGCAAAGAACACGCAGGTCTGGTGGTGGGATTGCCATTTTGTATATATTACACTTAACGGATAGGTAGTCAAGTGGTGTTGGTGTTGAGGAGGTTGTGTTGTTCAGGATGAAAATGGTCCAAGTTTTTTCCCCAGTAGTAAGATTTTGAGGATTCACACGTGCGGCTGGTCTTCGAACCCAGGTTTTCAACAACAAAGCTTCGATATATGGAAAATCTACAAAGTCAATTCCCTAGAAGAATGTCACTGAGATCAAGTCCAACAATTTTTATCGAGACAAATCACGACAGTCAGTCTCTATGTTGGACAGTTGGTAGTGTGCAGTCCGTTGCCATTCCCATATCGAAACTTTTTTTCTTTACTTTTAGCTCCGGCAGGCAAATCCAGTCTTATCGCCTGCTCCGAGTCGTCACAGCAACAGTTTTACAGAAGGACAGTACAGGTAATTACAATGCTAACTTACCGCTACGTAACTAATGATGCCCCTGACCCACCCGCTAAATGAGCACTTGTAGGGCCGGGGTCCAGACCACAAGTGCAGTCAGTGTCTGAGCCCTGAAAGAACCCCTTTTATAGGGGCCGGGAGCTGTTCTTCCCAGGCGGTAAAAGCACCTTGTCGACTCCTGCCGTGTCCGCTACGCCGGGCCATGACGCCGCCACGTTCACTCCGTTCACCTTGTCGCCAGGTCGGCCGGGTACCTGACATCAATCTACAAGGCCCATCCCCTCCACTCCTTTTCTCCAAACAGGAACCCGACATAGCAACCTGACGAAGCTACTACTACTACAACTACGAAACTACAGACATTCTATATAATCTGCTGAGGATACTCAGATCACATGCCTCGTCTCGACAAGTCTTCGTAGTACGTGCTCTTTTGTAGACCAGGCAACATGGTAAGTAAACCTTGATCCATACCCGCATTTGCCTTTGCCTTTGCCTTGCCCCGGCCTCCGCCTCTTCCTTTCCCCATTGCCCGCTTCGCCTTTACGGCTTCTTTTGCCCAGACATCTTGCTGATTTTCCTTATGCAACTCTAGCCCGACGCGATAAAAGCGGCGAATTATATCCAACAGCTCGACGATGCTCGTTGCGAAGAGAACTGGGATGCTGTTCCCGAGCTGGTCCGCAAGGTGCGGAAGCATGCGCCTGACCGCATATGTATGCCTTTTACCATCTTCCTTGGATATAATGTTGTCACCGAGCTTGGAGACTGACTTTCGCCTTCATTAGGTCTCACCTTGACGGCCGAAATCGAGTTGGCCATCACCAGAGCTTGCCAGAAGGCCGCCCCGCAGGACACCGATCGGCCGAGTACTGCAGGAGGGCCTGCCGTGGGCATCGAGGTGGCAAGCCATATACCAAATCTCATCGCCGCCATCGAGAACGAAACCCAGCATCCCGAAGAAAGTTTCCAAGCCAAGGTCTGCCTAGGATGGCTACATTGGGTCATGAAAGACTACCCCATCGCCTTGGTCCGACTCCCTAAGAACTTCGACCTCGAGTACCCGCAATGCGACAACTTGGATACCCTCTCCGAATGGACCAAGGTCTGCGCCTTGAAGTCAACCTATCTTAGAGCGAACTGCCTGGCACGCGATGGGCAGCGAGATATGGCCATGGGTGCATTCGAATCCGCTCTGCCGTCTCTCAGCAGCGTTTGGACCACCAAAACGGCCCGCCACCAGCTACGGTACTGGGCCGAACTCTTCCTAACCGAATACTGTATGCTGGCAAGCCAAGCGATTCGCGAGAACGATGAGCTCCTTTCCGACCCAAACTGTCTTGCCAGCTTTCGAACGTGGTTCAAGTACTGGGCGAGCGCCAAGGGGCAACCCCTGGCTGGAGGTTATGGGTTTCGAGGCTCTGTGCCTAGGCGGCAGGTGTGGTCCGAATACTACCATGTGCTCTCCGAGCTCCTGCAACGGGACCTCCCGTTTCCCACCGGCTATTCCGAGCCCAGCAATGATTCGTCTGCTAGGAGCCAGTTGCGCGCCGAACTGAAGAAGGTAGAGGTTATCTTCCAAGGGCTGCTATATACCGAGACCAAGTTTCCAAGGGCCGACGAACAAAGAACAGAGGTCGAGCAGTTTGTCGATCGTGTCATGCAGAATTGGATCATTCTGAACGGTCACGGATGGAAAGAGCAGGATCTCGGTAAGGGCGGAAGAGATACCCTTAGCCACGGAACACTCGACACTTTGTACGGCGCCGCGACAAAGACATATCATTCGACATCTGTTTTGCGCCACCTTTTTACAGTCCACCTTGCCGTGGCCGAGTTCGACCTAGCTTTTGCGGCTTTCGATTCCTATTTGGACATTATCAAAAAGGGCAAAGCGAGAGTTGCCAAGACTGGACATCCTGAACCTGCCATGGACGATGATGCGACCATGCTTGAAACTATTTCTGCGTGTATCGCCGCCCTCTGTCGATTTGGCGGTAGAGATGCGGCTGAAAAGGCCTATCATTTAGGATTGCAGCTGGAAAATTTGCTGGAAAGGCTAGCAAATGGCGAATCGAGCGCAGAGGAGAACTTGAACGCCGCAAAAGACGGGCACTTGGTTCTCCCGGCTGCAGAATCGTTGCCCCCTCGCGCCTTAGCCCTGACATACCAGGCGGCCGGCCTCGCTAACGCGCAATGGGCGCGGATGACATACGAGTCCGAGTCTCGGACACACTTCCAGCAGAAGGCTGTTCACTGTCTGTCCAAGTCCCTCTCACCTGAGCTCGGCTTGGGCGTGGATGCAAGGGGCGTATTCGCTCTTGGTACTCTTCTGGCTGAGCAACGGAATCTTCATTACGCTATCAATCTAGTCAAGACGGCGCTCCTGGAAGATGTTGATATTGATGAGAGTCAAGAGCTGTACAGAGGACCATGCTGGCGAGAGCGATCGCTGATTCCCCTTTGGCATTTGCTGGCGCTGATGCTTAGTGCACAACAAGACTATGTCATGGCTGCTCGAGCCTGCGAAGGAGCTATGGAACAGTTCAAGGATCCATTTATCCTCTTTGGAACCAGAAGTTTGAACGGCGCCTACCAAAGTGAGCATCTCAATGAGGCTGGCGTTGAGGATGGTGGCTATACTAGCAACGGTATTGTCGACGAGATGGACGATTTCGAGAAAGAAAGCCTTCTTGAGATTAAGATGACTCAATTGGCTATTCTGGAGCTCGTTGAAGGACCGACAGTTGCCGTCAATGCCAGCTCGGAACTTCTCACGCTGTTCACAAGGTTATTTGGTGACCTAGACCAAAAGGTGGAGCTAACAAAGCCAGAACCCCCCAGGACCGCGGTCACAGCGGTGACCAAGGAGCAAAACCGAAACAGGAGAGCAAGTGTATTCGGTAGCCGGTCAGTAAGATCGGGCCGTGGGATGAGACAGAGCATTTTCGGCAGTCACGATAAGAACCTGACTGGTATTCCGCCTGTACCCCAGGCCCCCGGAGCGCCCGCGATCCAAGTCACAAACGACGAAAAACGGAAATCACACAGCCTCAGCAGGAGTGGATCTGGTAGGAGGCACAGCTTGCGAAGGAAATCTCGCAGTGAAAGCCAAGGAGCCACAGAAGCACCTCCGCCGATGCCTGTTAACGGGAGCCTGGCACATTACGCTGGTAAGGATGGTGCGGCGGCTGCTCCGCTTTCTGAAGAGCCGTCTACAGATATGGTACAACGTACCGACTCGTTTGATTCGAATGAGGACTACAACGACGGTGATGCTTCGGTTCTCGCCGAGGTTTACGGCTCGTTGCTACCGGTGATTCACTTTTCGCAGGAGCATAGCAAGAGGAAACGGAAGGCCATTCTCATCAAGGTCTGGCTGACCATCGCCGGATTTTACCGGAGGGCTGGCCTTGTTGCCGATGCACAACAAGCATGCACTGAGGCACAGAACATTGTCCAGGCACTGGAGGCCGAGATCCTGAACGATACAACAGGAAATGTGTCTCTTCGGGAGGCTGGATGGGGCGAGACCAAGAGCACTGAAGAGCTCTATGCGGATGTTTGGGCAGAGGTAAGATTATCTGGTCATGTCCTCGTGAAAAAGAAAATCATCGTACTAATATCTTTCAACAGAAGGGATATCTTTCCGTGGCATGCGGGAAGCCTTACGAGGCGCGAGCGGATTTCGAGACCGCGTTGACGCACTTCCCTGACCACCCTGTCGCCATCGTCGGGCTATCTGACATCCTTTTGGATATTTACTCGGAGAAGCTCCTCCCGCCACCTGTTGTGCCGAGCTTCAACCTGGAAGAAAGCATACTCGGCGATAACTCCACACCGCTACAAGCAACTAGCAAGTTCCCCGAACTGCCTTCACAGCCTCTCGGTCTCGGTACAAGGAAGGTAGAGGGCAAGCTGGAAAAGGAGGAGGATAACCTGGAAAACGGTATGGCTGCACTCAAGTTGAAGAGTATCTCATCACCAAACCGTGGCCCTGAACTCCCACCGCCGCATAAGGCGACCTCGCTGCCACTGCACGACCGACTTGCGGCGAGGGATCGCGCATACGGATTGCTGTCGGGCTTGACCAAGTTAGGCACCGGGTGGAACAACTCGGAGGCGTGGTTCACGCTGGCCAGGGCTTATGAGGAGAGTGGTCAAGTGGACAAGGCCAAGGGAGCGCTTTGGTGGTGCGTCGAGTTGGAGGATGGAAGGGGGGCCAGGGAGTGGACTTGTGTTGATGCTGGCGGGTATGTATTGTAGGCGATGATCATGCGAAAGCGAGTTGAGTTGCAGCAGCTCTTTCGAATGAAGCGCGCAACAAGGGGCATTTGATTGGGGTTATTATTTTGTTTAACATTTTGATCACGCGTCGGACTTTGCTTATCATCTACAGACGACGAGATATCGCTACAGTATGGATATAGATACAGGAAGGAAGTAGGAGAGAAAGATAGAAGAGGCGTGGTAATCGAGTAATGCGTAATTCTCAGTCTGAAGTCTCCCATGCGTCCACGAATATCGCGAAATGGGGAATTGTGTGCAGAAGTCTTCATTGAAGACAAAATTCTGGAGACGACGAAGTGAAACATTCAACACCAAGCCGCCCCACTTTTCACCACATTGTTTAGCATCGCTTCTTCACCCGGGCAACGGCAACCACCTTACAACTGACTCACAACAGGTCGTGAAAGAACCACGTCCCGCGATGACACAATTTCCAACAAGTAAGCCATCAATACCGACTCAGTCAATTTTTTCTCTTTCGATTCTTTAAAACATTTCTGCAGCCTGGCAAACAGAGACAAAAACAAAAATGTCAGCCATCCTCCCCTCGATCGAGCTCACGCTCATCCTCGCCGCCACGCGCGACATGGGCATCGGCCTCAACGGCGGCCTCCCTTGGAATGGTCTCAAGAAGGAAATGGTCTATTTCGCTCGCGTGACCAAGAGGTTGCCCAGTCAGGTAATTTTCTTTTTTTCTACATCTTGTCTTCCTTGCCCTTCTTCTCCGTTCTCGTCTTGTCCCTCCCCTCCCTCCCTCCCTGCTCTCCCTCCAACGCCCCTCCCCCTTTCCCCTACACTGCGACAACACAAAAACACAACCAACCAACACCAAGCTAACCCTACCCCCTCTCATCAAAAGCTCACCGGCACCAAAGCCCTCAACGCCGTCATAATGGGGCGCAAAACCTGGGACTCCATCCCGCCCAAGTTCCGCCCCTTGAAAGGCCGTCTGAACATCGTCATCAGCCGCTCTGTCACATCTCCCCCTTCCCCTTCGGATAAGTTAGAAACCGAGGAAGGGCCGGTGATGGCTTCTTCCCTGGAGCAAGCTGTTGAGTATCTTCGTGCTTGCCAGCAGCAGCAGCAGCAGCAGCAGCAGGAAGAAAGCCAACAAAAAGTTGGTAAGGTGTTTGTCATTGGCGGCGGACAAATCTACCGCGCGGCGCTGGAACTGGCGGAAGCGAAGGATGTGACGAAGAGGATTTTGTTGACGAGGGTGTTGAGTCCCGAGTTTGAGTGTGACACGTTTTTTCCTTTGGAGTTGAAGGAAGATGCAGCGGGATCGGAATGGGCGAGGAAGAGCAAGGAGGAGTTGGATGAGTTTGTGGGAGAGGAGGTGCCGGCTGGTGTGCAGGTTGAGAATGGGACGGAGTATGAGTTTCAGATGTGGGAGAGGAGGTAGATGGGGTGGAGGGAGTTGAAGGGGGGGGTTTGTGGGAAAGGAACAGACGAGCGAGTTATGTTGAGCCTTTTTGATTCCCCAAACTTTGAGTGGTATATATACATCCTGTGCTTTTTGTAGCACTTTTAGGTTCCCCTTACATGTGACCATCCATCCATCCATCCCGTCCTGCTCCCTTTTGCTTAGGGAATTCCCAATATGCTTGCTATGATACAAGGTATTTTGTACAGTCTCTCTCACTCGCCAGTTCACTATGCCGTCTCTTAGTCTACGTCCCAACTTTAAGCAGCAGTCTTGAACTTGGGCGCCGCCTTCGGCTTCTGGGACTTAGAATCGCCCTTCTGGCCTGTTACCGAAACCTGAGGCGACGCCTTAACCTCAGCCTGTCCTGCCGCCGAAACACCCTCAACATCGGCCGCCGCACCCTTACTCGTCTGACCACTCTCCAGCGCCGGGACCAGCTTATCCACCACCGCCAACTCAGCATCGGGCTTATTCTTGAACAGGGTAGGATGAAGCGCCAAACCAGCATCCTCCATGGAATCCAGATACTTCAAGCTGCTGCGCATCCAGCTAACAATAGCAGCCAGGGTACGAGCATCAATATCCTCGCTCGCCTTGAACAGGTTACGCCACACGGCAGCAGCCAAAACGGCGTCGCCCTTGACCAGCCCTTCGTCGTAGGCCATAACGACGCCGCGCCACTGCACGAACAGGTCCTGCAGGTAGCGCTGGCGCATGACGCGCGAAGACATGTCGTGGGTGCGGTCCATCTTCTCCTCGGCCTGGTGGAAGAAGTGGTCGACCAGCTGGGCCTGCCAGGTGGCGTGGGCGTCCTTGTCGAGGCAGCGCAGGCGGACGACGACGAGGTAGAGGTGGAGCATGGTTACGTGGGCCCAGGTTGAGAAGGTTGGGAGGAGGCCGAATTCTGTAAAGTAAAAGTGGTTCGTTAGCTTTGTTATTTACTTGCTTGCAATAAAGTGTTTGGCCGAGCGTATTTTCCAGGAAAGAATAAGAACCAAGGCACATTGTACGTACTCTCGTGCCAAATGCTCCCGTTACCAACACCAATCTCTTCTCCATCCGCCGTTTCCTTAACCCTTCCGGCTTTCCTGTCCTCGGGAGTGATGGTATAGTCCGCCTGCTTGGCGCAGTCCTTGTAAATGCGCTGGGTAGCGCCATAGGCGATGTAGGATGAGCTTTGGTTGCCGGCAACGGATGCCAGAAGCTTGCGGAAGCCACCGGCCAGGCCGCCGCTCTCGCCGCCGCCTTCAGCACGGCATTGGCGCGTTGTGTGTATCCGTCGAGATTGTTGTTGGAGGTTCGTGCTTCTCCTGCTGGCGGTGGTGTTTCTGGACTGGGAGGAGGAGGAGGATAGCGCGGCGCGCAAGGCGAGGGGAGTGGTGCTCTCGGCAAAGAGACCCTGGCGCAGGGTCGACGATGCGGCCGGTCCTCTCGGGAGGAGGAGGCCGAGGCCGGATCTGCAGCTGGGGCAAGCCATTGGTCGGGGTATGTTGCTCGGGCCGGAAAGCTGACGGGAATCGGTGCTTGTCTCGGGGCTTGGAGGTTGGTGGATTCGGCAGCAGTTCCGGGATCTCGAAGGTGGACGGGATGGTTCTTCACTTTCGCATTATGCCGTCATGGTGAACTGGAGAAAATGTCTGCCAGTAATTTCGCGGGGTTAGGGTTGGACGTGTTTCCATTCAGTTCTTCGCTACAGTCTTGTCCTGCCCATTGTCATTGCATCCGTTGGTAAAGCTCAAAGATAAAGCTCGTGAATGGAAATCGCTCGCCTACGCAGTTTCAGTAGGATGCCGACTTGTTTCCTCCATTTCGAGAGTTTTGTCGATATCCTACAGACTTGTAGAAGGGGTTTTGTTTGGTTTGCTCTAAGCAACCCTAACCCTTGATGATCCCTCGAAGACCAGACAGGGAGATCGACTCCGAGAGCCTGGATTTCCTTTCTTTCGACTTTATTTTGCAGGGTGATGTTGAGAAGTGGGAACTTGGTGCAGTATACACGTCACTGATATAGCGCCATGGATATGATATATTTATACAGTGAGATTTTCGCCGTTTCTATATACAATGCGTGAGCTTTATCCGTTCTGTGAGATTCTATCCGGAAAATGAACGCCCTATATGCCCTTGTGGTAATGATACATGTACAGGCCAGTGAACGGACAAACCTAGCACGGAGCCCTTCCCAGCATTGCCTCAAGCTAGGATGCCTACTCGAACTTTGAGAATACTAGGGAAGCATTGGTGCCCCCGAAACCAAAGCTGTTGGACATGGCCACCTTGACTTCCTTTTGCTGCGCCTGAACAGGGACAAAATTGAATCCAACACCGACATTGGGATTGGTCAAGTTGAGAGTGGGGGGTATGGCTCCCTGGATTCACGTTAGCAGAGGCAATAACTCTCGAGCACTACATCCCGGACACTTACCTCAGCGATGGCCAAAACCGAAAAGACGGATTCAATGGCCCCCGCGGCACCAAGAAGATGACCAATCGCTCCCTTGGTGCTGCTCACCGTAATCTTGGATTCATTGTCCACTCCTTCTTCGCCCATCATCAGCGACCGAATGGCAATCGCCTCAGCCGCATCCCCCACAGCCGTTCCGGTAGCATGGGCGTTGATATAATCCACCTCTCCCGGCTTCACATCCGCGTTCTTGAGCGCCCTCTTCATAGATAAGAACGCTCCTGAACCATCCTCCCTCGGCGCCGTCATGTGATGCGCATCACCACTGCATCCATACCCCTTCAGCTCGGCCAAGATCCTGGCGCCGCGTCTCTTGGCGTGCTCGAGCTCCTCCAGAATAAGGACAGCAGAACCCTCAGCTACCACGAAGCCGGCGCGGTCCTTGTCGAAGGGTCGGCAGGCGGATGTCGGATCGTGGTTGTACGCGGTAGATAGCGAGCGAGACCGACCAAAGCCAGCAAAAGTTAAAGGGTGAATACACGACTCAGAGCCGCCGGCGACCATGACATCGGCGTCGCCAAAGGCAATGAAACGGGAGGCGTCACCGATGGAGTGAGCGCCGGTGGTGCAAGCGGTGGTGGCGGAGTGGTTGGGTCCACGGAAACCGTAGCGCATGGCGATGTGGCCGGCCCCGAGGTTGATGAGAATCTTGGGAACGAAGAGAGGGGAGACCTTCTTGTAGCCCTACATTAACCATGTTAGACTCAAGATAACCCAAGTATAGTTCAAGGTCAAGCTTGTGTGTGCTCTTACTTCTTTGTCATACGTGACACTGGTGCTATAAATGTCATCCAAGTTGCCGATTCCACTTCCCATGCAGACGCCTGTAGCCTCAAGGTCTTCCTGCTTCGTGGGCTTCCATCCAGCATCTTGCAGGGCCATCTCGGTAGCAGCAACAGAATACTGGGCAAAGAGGGACATGCGTCTCTGGTCTGACGGTTCCAGCCAGTCCCCGGCCTTCCAAGTCTGCTCCTCAGCAACATTCTGCTTGTTTCTCAAAGCCGTAGGAACAAGGCCAGCCACAGTGCTGGTGAGTTCTTTCCATTTGTCCTGGGGCTCGAGGTCGGCGACGCTGACGATGCCTGAGTGAGAGTCCAAGAGCCGGCGCCAGGTGGGGCGGACGCCGACGGCCAAGGGAGTGATGGCACCGAGGCCTGTCACTACCACTCGTCTCATTATCTTTCCATGTTATTTTGGACGGGGAAGAGTCTAAGGAAGAGGTGCCAGGTGACAGTTGTGGTGAGAGACAACTATGTGCGGGGACGGGTGAGTGATGACGATAATAACTTTTGATATGTGAATATGCACAAAGTGAAGAGGAAGCAGCGACGTTGAAAAGATGCAGGGTTCTGCTAAGCGATACATGCATGACCGTATAAGGCTTAGCGCTGCTTTTATGCAACATTGCGGAGCATGAGGTACCAATGGGTGGAACCTCTCCTGTTTCGGGTCATCTTCAGCAGTTCAGCTCACAGCTCCCTGAAATACAGGGGTTGTTTACATTGGACCTGGCGGGAACAAAGGAGTGCCACTTCACGATATCAAAAAGCCACCTTACCATTTCCATCAAAGGTACCTGAACTAGATATGTTTGTCCGATATACCAATCTTGTATTTGTTGTCTTACATTCAAGCTATCTCCGAGTTTCCTACTTACACACAACTGCAAAGGGACCTGTATAGGGCTGAATAAGAGACAGTCAACCCACTTCACATGCGCCAACCTTGACCCTTCGTGACAACAAACCATCGAGCTATCACCACCTGCTCTCATACATCTTTACATCTAGACTATTTACATTCCTTTTCTTCCCATCGATCTTCTTTTCGTCGCCTTTGCACGTCTAAAACACCATTGACTGGACCACAAGGTCTCTTACTCTTGAGAGAACTTGGAGGATCCACCCTTTGGACGTACGGGTGTCCCGGGAGCTGCAGCTTTGTGGACAGCTTGGACCTCGTCTTCATAACTTGCACCAATACTTCACAGCTACGCACCAATCTACATACACGCCTAGATCGAGTCGAATACAGTAATCCATACCCTAGGTTCAGAAATGACAGTTCTGAAAGCATTGAGACGATAACATCTTTCATGCTCACTTGAGCGGCATCCCAAGCAATGGCCTCCTACTCGAGCCTCAGATCCTCCGGTGCTTCTATAGACGGTATGGAAGCTGTCGAATTGAAAGACAGAAGGGCATCCATGAGCGATCGGAAGTCTGGTAACTTAGAGGCCGGCGAGGAAGATATCGGGGCACCCTCTTCCTCTTGGAATGACGCACCCGGTCCCTCCCAGTCAGGCCATCGCAGACAGGACTCCCACGGCGCCGATGACGAAGATGGTTCCGAATTTGAGCTCCTCTTGGACCCAAACTTGCCTGCCGAATACAGCCACAAACTCCGGGATCTCACTCGAAAGTCACTCAGCTTCGACGACAACCAAGTAGGGGTCAAGTTCGGCGAGAGTGAGGACGAGGAGGAAGAAGAAGCAGAGAATTCACCCTATCCAGAAGTCCGGGCTGCCGTTCCCAACTTTGATCAGGACCTGCCATGCAACACCATCAGGGCGTGGACCATTGGACTATCGCTCATCTTTCTTGGGGCTTCAATGAACACCATCTTCTCATTGAGAGCACCGTCGATCAGTCTTGGGGCACTTATTGCCCAGATTATTGCATGGCCGCTGGGACATGGCTGGGCCAGGTTTATGCCCGAACGTGAGTTCAACACCTTTGGTAAAAGGTGGAGTTTGAACCCGGGGCCTTTCAACATTAAAGAACACTCCGTCATTGTTGTTATGGCCAGTGTCTCCTTTTCTGTGGCCTATGCTACCGACATCATTTTGGCCCAAAAGGTGTTCTATAAGCAGGACTTCGGCTTGTTATGGGGAGTTCTCCTTACGATATCCACGCAAAGCTTGGGGTATGGAATTGCTGGAATGCTAAGAAGGTTTCTCGGTAAGGTCTGCATGATGTTAAAGCTACACATTCATTCACTAACTTGACTATTCTCGATCCAGTCTACCCAGCTTCCATGATCTGGCCGGGAAACCTCGTGGCAGTTACCTTGATGCACGCCATGTACGGCCAGAATGAGAAGAAGGATCCCACAATAATGGGCGGCTCAATCCCTCGGTACCGATGGTTTGCCTACATTACCCTCGGCTCTTTCTTGTACTACTTCATCCCCGGTTTCTTTGCACAGTTCCTTAGCTCTTTCGCCGTTGTGACTTGGATGGCACCAAACAATCCTGTCGTCAACCAGCTGTTTGGTTACTCGACGGGCCTTTCCCTGCTTCCTATCACGTTCGATTGGGCGCAGATTACGGGATATATTGGCTCCCCTATGGTGCCTCCATGGTAAGATCCATTGTCACCATTTCTTTTGACTGTCCATCAAGCAGAGTTAACACTCCACGTAGGCACGCCATTGCCAATACCCTAGCCGGCGTCGTGATATTTTTCATAATTGCTGCCAGCTTTCTGCAGTACACCGGGGCGTGGTACGGCAAGTATCTGCCGATGAGCGACTCCAGCGTCTATGACAATACGGGCAAGACGTACAATGTCTCTCGAGTCCTTAGCAAGGACTTCACACTCGACGAGACGGCATATAACACTTACTCGCCTCTGTTCCTAAGGTGTGTTTGCTCTGAGGAGCTGCAACCTGGAAGCCGTCATCTAACTTCAATAGTACCACATTCGCCATAGCGTACGGTTTGTCTTTTGCTGCCATATCCTCGCTGATCGTGTACACCTACCTGCATCACGGGAAAACAATTTGGAGACAATGGAAGAACAGCACCAGCGAGCGACCTGATGTGCATATGAAGATGATGAGGAAGTACAAGGAGGCGCCGACGTGGTGGTATATGTCGCTCTTCGCAGTGGTGAGCACAACGTTATCCTTCACCATCCGAAGATTGGAACTAACCAGTATGCATCGAACTAGATGCTCGCCCTAGGTTTCTTCACCGTTCTAGGCTGGCAAACCAACCTCACATGGTGGGCCTTCCTCCTCGCCGTGTTCATTTCCTTCGCCTTCTCCCTTCCTATTGGTATCATCCAAGCCGTCACCAACAACCAAATCGGCTTGAACGTCTTGACCGAGTTCGTGTTTGGATACATCCAGCCAGGCCGGCCCCTAGCACTCATGATGTAAGAGGCCCCCCTCTCCCCTCTCTTCTTCTCTTAGTTCCTTCCTCACCCTCATCTCCTTCCCGTGAGCTCCATCACTAACCAAACCCTCCACCAAAAAAAAAAGCTTCAAAACCTTCGGCTACATAACCATGTCCCAAGCCCTCACCTTCGTCGGCGACCTCAAATTCGGTCACTACATGAAACTGCCCCCCCGCGTGCTCTTCTCCGCCCAAGTCGTCGCCACCACCTTCTCCTGCGTGATCCAGATCCTGGTCCTCAACTACGCCCTCCGCACCATTCCCGAAGTCTGCACCCCTGCCCAACCTCAACACTTCACCTGCCCCGGCGGGCGCGTCTTTTTTTCCGCAAGCGTCATCTGGGGCCTCATCGGTCCCGCTAGGATGTTCTCCCCGGGACAGATCTACTCGTCGCTCTTTTTGTTTTTCGTCTTGGGAGCCGTGGTGCCGCTGGTCATTTGGTTACTCCTCCGCCGCGCGCAAAAGCGGAATCCGCAGACGAAAACCTGGCTGCGCTACGTCATCGCGCCGGTCATCTTCGGCGGCGCGGGGTCGATTCCGCCCGCTAGCCCGCTGAATTATTTGAGTTGGGGCATCGTGGGGTATGGGTTCCAGTATGTGGTAAGAAAGAGACACTTTGGGTGGTGGAGCAGGTTGAATTTCTTGACGAGCTGCGGGCTCGATTTGGGATTGGCGCTGGCGACGTTGGTGGTGTTTTTCGCGTTTACGATTAATGAGATTAGTCCGCCCAGCTGGTGGGGGAATGAGGTGGTGAAGGGCACGTTGGATTTTAAGGGGATGGCGGTTAGGGAGAGGGTGGGGGAGGGAGAGACGTTTGGGCCGAGGGTTTGGGCGCTTGGAGGGGTCTGGGTAATATAAGGTAGATACGACTTTATACAACCTCAAAAGTTTGAGGGAAAAAGGAACAAAAAAAAAGAAGGTAGCCAACAGATAGCACAACCAGTTGCTCGGTTCAACTGGCCCAGTAGCCCGGCCAGTATACAACTCCCGCGGTGTACGACATGGATGGCACGCTGTCGGCCTTTGTCTTTGTTGAAAAGAACCTCATGATCTGCCCCTTACGAGAATCGAACTCGAAGTCGGACGGGGTGGGAGATGCAGAGCTGGGACGGCACTACTGTCTGCGCTATCCGGCCAGGATTGAACTGGTCGTTGGCTGGGGGTGTTGGAAGGAGGTATGGGATGGGGGTTTATAAGGTGGCCTGAGATGGAAGGAGCGGCTGCCGGCTGGGAGAGGCGGAGGCGGGAAGGTGCGAGGGGATGGTGGTGAAATAACCTGGACAGTATACGGGTGCTTCTTGTTTCGGTTGTATCTTTGAACAAGATTATACCAGCAGTATGTCTGTCCCTTACATTTAAGAGTTCGTGGTTAAGAGTGAAATGGTTGAACAAGTAGTCGGTTTATGGCTCTCCATCCATTTCCATCTCAGTTGGCCATCCGCGACAAAACCGTCACATGATATGGGCAATACGCTTCTAACAACATCGAATTACATATGATTTTCAGAATATTGTTCAGGTCAAGGTCCAGCCTCGGTGCCTATGTACAAATTAAGCCACTATAGCCACCCACCCGTCCTGCCCGCCCACAATCTCGTCCCCAGAAGTTTGTGCAACAACAGACTTTCACTCCTCCAGTCAGCCATGCATGGTATTCAAGACGAGCCGCATAAATACCCCCCTTGTCATCACCACGGTGTGTGCTGTTCCCCAGTCCGCGTCCGGTACCCGCGACACGGGGCATATCACCCGCCTCCCCATGCTTAATGCCGCTCTCATGACACGACTTGTATTTCTCTCGTACCCAGCCACTGTTTCAGTGCTGTATCTCCGCCATTACGCGGTATCTTGGTCCACTGCCATTGCCTCGACAAGGTTATTCCTGAAGGAGCGATGAAGTACTCTCCCGCTTTGTTCTTTGTGAGGAGATGCTCGAGTGCTATAAAGGTGCAGTAACTTTACTCTGTTTTGAGCAGTTGTAATGATGGAAGTATGTTTGATAGATCGTGGAAGAGAAATGGTCGATCTGTCAACAGCACTCGGTAGTTAGCAAGCAAGAAGCATCTCTCGTTGCTTAGATTCGTTCTTGGGGAGGAGCCTATCATGATCGCTCTTGAGAGAGATATCAGGAACACAAGAAAGAAAACTGTTACCGAGTACAGTGGCAGAACATACATTTCTTCCCCAACAGCCACCGCATCCCGCATAAACGGCATCGCACATGATTGCTTTTCTTCAGCAACCTTGACAGGGGTTCGTTCGAAGCTCTCAAAACACCCTGGATGATTGTCCCAGCTGCGGCAGTGGTGGTTGCTTGCCTTGAATGAACCGTTGGCATACCGACCAGGCCGACCCAACGGCCGAATTCCTCCTTGTAACTTTGCGGGTCCTTGCATGGATAGCGATGCGCTTGCCAGTCAGCAATCGACCAGCCCTTCTGGAAAAGCCGAAAAAACATGACCCCCTAATCTTCGATTTTTGTTTCAAGCCCCAGCTGTTTCCATTTTGCTTTCGGTACTTTTTTCGCCAATGATCAGTCCATGAAGCTTGTCAATGAGACCATCAGATAGTCATTTCGAATTTGGCGATTAGTGAAGAAATATCTCTCACCATCCCGCCAGTCTGGGAAAAGCCACCTCGTGGACGTCTTGTGTTTGTGTATCGACACAGCATGCTCCCAAGCGCACAAACTCAATTTCTCCCGCTTTCCCGCACCAACTGCTGTCGTTGAACGGGACACTACAGGAAAATAAGTTCTGTGTGTGCTCCTTTGGTTGGTTGGTCGACTTATCGTAGTCGATCAACCTCATGCCTCGCTCGCGAGGTGCCGGAATGAGTTCGGGAGGGTGCGTTGCGTTTGTTGTATCCGTGCTGATGGGTTTCAATGCGGAAGATTGACATCGATGAAATGAACATGGGCCAAGGCTGTTCTTTGTGTGAAGCTGGGTAGGTGGGAAGAAAAAAAGCCCATGATGCCTAATGAATGAATGCATGGCCAATTAATTTCTTCGTTTCACTCCAGCCGTCCCCGTCCATCCGATATATCCTGGCACACGAGCCGAACAAACAATCATTCCACAAAGGCCCGAACCTTTGGATATAAAACGTGCCCTTCACTCTTTCCTAGTACTTTCTCGTTGTACTGGTGCTTGTGAATGTGAGACCTTCCTGTCAACTTTGGAAACACCATATAACGTTTCGCGTGATCGATCAATATCTTCAATATCGCCAACGACTCTTAAATCAACACCAAGGTTTTGCGTGGTCAGAAGCCCAATATCGCCACCATGGAGAACGTTCTCATCGGCAAAGACGCCATTTTGAACCTGAGGATGGGCATCACTTTCCCAGACGACCAGGCCCCGGAAGTTCAGCCCGAACCGGTCGAAAATGGCCAGTCTCTCACCGACCAGGTCATTGCTGCCACGGGGCCGAAGGCACATCCAAGATTGGCACAAATCATGCCCAGTCTTGTACGGCATCTCCACGAGTTCGCACGCGAAGTCAACCTGACAGTCCCGGAGTGGATGGCAGCCGTTGACATGGTATGTGATACTGATGTTCCTGTCCGCAATTCTGACGGCTTCTGACCAGCATTTCATTTAGCTCAACGAATGCGGCCAAATCTCCAACGACCGACGCAACGAAACGCAGCTCCTCTGCGACATTCTCGGCCTCGAGTCCTTGGTCGACGAGATCACCTCGAACCTGCTCGCCAGTTCCAACGCCGGCACACCATCCGCAGTCCTAGGCCCGTTCTACAGGCACAACGCGCCTCTTCTACCGAACGGCAGCTCCATCGTCAAGAACCTAACGCCCAAGACGCCCTGGTACAGCCAAGCCATCGCAGACTCGGCCTACATCACAGGCCGCGTCCTGTCCACCGACGGCAAGCCCATCCACGGTGCTATTGTCGACATCTGGCTTGCCGCGCCGAACGGGCTGTACGAGCAGCAGGATGATTCTCAGACCGACATGAACCTGAGGGGTCGGTTTGAGACTGACCAAGATGGTCGCTTTGCGTTTTATGCGCTGCGGCCGACTTCTTATCCGATTCCGTTTGATGGTCCCGCGGGCAGGTTCCTGACGTTGCTGGATCGGGACCCGAACAGGCCGGGTCATATCCACTTCATCGTTTCGGCACCGCAGCATCGCGCGCTGACAACGCAGATCTTCGATGACAGGGATAAGTATCTGACGGAGGATGCGGTTTTCGCGGTGAAGGATGAGTTGGTGGTCAAGTTCTTGCCCCGTAAGGGAGACCCTAAGGCGCGCTGGTATCTCGAGTATGATTTCGTTTTGGGTAGGGAGAATTAGGCTTTAGAGTATGGGAGAACGCAGTAGGTCGACGGATGGTATAGAGCTTGTGGAAGGCATATAATGGCGCATAGTTGATGTTGTATATTGGTGTTCCTTGTTTAGCAAAAAGCCTTAGCCGCTTCTTTCTCAACAAACTCCATTTAGCCAGCTCGTCTTTTCATCCATCAATGGAGATAAGCATAATCAAACCTTGCCTCCTTTTGTGATTCTGCTTCAGGCGAGTTGAGCTTAAACTATGGTTATTGTCGCATTCGTAGAGCCGGAGAAGCCGCAAGATCTCGGGTATTCCAGCGAAGTTACATCATTATGATGATGTTAACCCAGATTTGACAAGTGATAGATTGGCACGCTGCCGCGGATTCCTGACGGTGGTATATGTGGATCGACCCGAAGAGGATATGATTCGTATGGATCAGACGAAACGGCTGTACTCGGGGGAAGAAACTGTGGGGCGATATGAGCCAGTTCAGGTGCTGTTGAAACATGCGGTGCGAGCTGTAAATAGTTGTTCCAGAGGTCGTCAAATTCCCACTCGTCAGATACATCAGGGGGCGAATGAGTGATATGACCAGGGCGTAGGGCGAGTGGAGGTGCCATAGGTGGAGTCGTCGATGATACTGTGGACATTCCGTTCATCACCACTTCCGGGACGGTGACTGAAGGGGTCGGGATAAAAACATCGGATGCCTTCTGTGGCCGCGGAAGGGGTGGTGAAGTCAAAGGAGGCTGGTGTGAAATACTGCCTATTCTTGAGCCTGCTGGGTCCACGGGGCTGGGGACACTCGGAGCTGAGCTACCATTCTCCCGTGACATGCGAGAACTGGATGCTCTGGTATAAAGGCAGCTAAGGTCCGCTGAGAGCACTGGAGCGGGATGTGAATGATCCTTAGTCCAGGTCTCAACCACTTGTGCAAAGCTTTCCATTATTTCGAGCACCCTCTCCGCTTGTGGGTCGATCTCTGCACAGTATTTCATGGTCAAAATCGCGTCGGTGATAGTCTGCTTATATGTATCGGCGTAGTACAGTGAGTTGAACTGATTCATTAGGACGATAAGGCTCGCAGCGAAGAGGAAATATCTGAGACATGCCAGGTAAGATTCGAATGTATCATTAAGGATCATAACGGATTTGACTTACATGAAGAAAGGATTTCTTTGTGGGAGATACCCATCCCCCCTGGCTTGTTGTATCAAGTGGATAGTCTGGTAAGATGCCACAACACAGGCTTCGGAGAACTTGGCCATATGTGACTCTCGGTTTGAGGGTGGGTTTGCCTTCCCAGAGCGTTGTTGGTCAAGTTTCCAGTTGTGCATGATGAATATCTGCCTCGTCAGGAGAATAAGGGAGTGCAATGACAGGAGATTGGCGTGAAGAGCAGCTATACCCTGCTCCGGGCTTGTCGGACCTTCGCGTGATTGCTGCGGCGTCAGGTTTGCGAGTGAGGGCCGCCTCCAATATTTGGCCATGTTCGCGATATCCTGGACGACCGAGGTGGAAATCTTCCGCTTCGAAAACACACGGAGTGTTACGCCAATGACGCGGCATGATTTAACACAGGCATCGAGGCATCCGAAGTGTAATGACTCGGATCCATTTCCCCCTACGGTTGATAAGTCGGCGATGTCATCATTAGTAGTAAGCTTGCATGAGCAATCATCTTCAACGATGGCAACGGGTCTTCCAAGGGACGCGGCTAGGAACCTGTCGAGGATAAACAACGTCTTCCATAGATTCCGTCTCACCTCCCTTTGCGTCGATTCCGGGTAAATGAGCGGATGCATCGTCTCCTCTCGATGGAGACCTAGGGCATAGGCAGACCGAACAGCCATGCCTGTTATTGATATGTTAATCATATGATCCGACTTGGGGGCCAGACTAGGGAATCTCACCCAGGTATGCATATGCAGTATTTCGTTTGGAAACCGTGAGCATGTAAACAGTCATCAGGCAAAGTGCTTGAATAGACCAGAAGTCGGCATCTTCGAACCCGTATTCGGGATCGCACATGGACTTAGCACTTCGAAAGAAGAGTTCTGCCATATCCTGCTTTGCGCCGTACAGTTTCTTGATGATCTCGTCTTCCCGGCTCCCTGGCTGAGGGGCTGAGAGAAGCAATCCCAATGCGAGCACAAGGAAAAGGTGGCATGTCGAATATGTGCTGGCAGACAGGGGATCAGCGTAGATCATTCCGACACTTTCGCAAAATGATGACTTGTCAAAAACTTCGATCAAGCCCCGTGTCTAATAATCCCAATTAGCAACAACTCAGACTGACAAGCATCGTTACTCACATTCGTAAAGTACGACTCAACCAGAACTTGCGCGGTTTCTCTGTCCGGCAGGAAGCATGGAAGCTTGGTGTTTTCTGGAAAATCAATAATATTTTCCATGATTCGGTGCCGCTTCGGATCATGGATAAAGTTGGACCCTAGGATAGGCCCCGCAGTACTCTCGACGATGATGCGGATCAGCTGTAGGATAGAGAGAGTAGATGAGTCCCCGATATAGACTAAGAACCGGTCAGCATTACGAAATCCAAGTATTATGTGAGCAACCTACGGAGTCGACCCGTCTGATCCTGTAACATCCTGGTTTCGGTATAGATAGTTGCTTCCTCTGCTTGCCCGTATGTGCTGCTTCGGCCAGAAGTATTTCCCGAGCTGTAAACGGACGTTTTTCCAGGATGTTCGAGCGAAGCTGAAGACAGCGGTGCCGCCAGGCCGGACATGGAAGAGTCTTCCCTTCTCAGGCCCCGACTCCGCACCTCATCCCAAGGCCGATTAAAATCGGTACTCCCGATGTTGGTCGGAGACCTTGTTGAGGCGTCCAAAGCAGCTGGGATTGCTTGTGGTGAAGTTTCTGTCGGCCTCCGTCTAGTAGGGGACCCGACGGTTTCGCCTGCGCCGTTCTCTGAGGCGCTGTTTGGGGTGTAAGAGCAGTTCAGTCTTCTCTTCACACAAGTCTGACAGGGCTTTTGACCATTACACTACCGAATAATTGTATTAGTGCATGCTCGAGGGGTTACTTTTCAGTGTGCATTGAGGTCCATGGAGGCGAGCGAACTTCGGAAAGACGGGGAGATCACGAATAAATAGAGTGCTTGAGCGTGAGTCTGCGAAGCGACAGTATCCTTCGGAACCCATAAAGGCCCAGAAAGATAAGAGGATGTTGTGTCCCAGCCGCATACGGAATAAAGCTGACCTAGGAGGCTAATGATAAGGGTGCTGCGATGGGTCTGTGACACCCAGGGCATTATCTAATACCCGAGAGCAGGATGCTTGTAAGGAGATTCATGGCTTGGGACAGACAATGATCCGGCAAGCAACATGAACGAAATCGGATATCTCAGCCTCTCGAACCGTGGGCGACAGAGAACCTGTGAAGATAGACAGAACAAGTCGAACAAACAACGAACCTTTTGCTTCCGCCGTTTGCAAGAGTCACAAGCCTGAGCTGTGCGCTGACGCTTGTCGTCAGGCACTTTTGGTCGCGTCATGACGAAGTAGGTTAGGGAGTGATAAGCACAGTCATCCCTTGGTCGGGTGGTAAAGACTCTTTCTGAAACGGGATAAAGGCGAGAAAGCACACAACGTGCGACAGACCGGAGGGCGGAGCGGGGGTTCAAGGAAGTCGCGGATACTGGGCCTCGACTGGTATCGGAAGCGGAAGCGGCGCGGTGGCCGTTGGGTAACGGAGCGGATGATGCACGGGTGGACACCCCGGTAGCAGAGCCGGGAGTGGAGCGAAGATGATCGGAAGATGCGTATCAGCGTATGTAGGGTCGCCCGGGGGTTGAAGGGTTATTGGAGCTCGCAAAGACAGGTTCTGGTACCGGAGGCTGGTGGCACGATCCGATACGCCGTGGCCGGGCCGGGGTGATCAATTTGGACTTGTCGTCGTCTAGAGCCTAGTTGCTTGGAAGTCGGTGCTCAGATAGCTTGACCCACGGTATAACACCTTGAGCGTGTCACGCAACATGGAGCCGTGATCAGCAACGAAGCTAGAATCGGGAGCAGGGTGAGAGTTGTTGGATGATTAAGGAAAAGCGAGACAAAAGCATCGGGTACGGGGCGGGGAAGACACGAAGAGGAGATGGGAAGAGACGGACTCGGCTCCAAGTGTCTGTTTGCCGTCTCGTATTGTCAATGGTTCGTATGTCGATAAATCGATCTGTGGTTTGTCGATGTACCTAGAACTCGGTTCTGTTGCTTTGCGCCCAAGGATACCCAAACCCAAGAAGTGCTCGCATATGCCTTGTTAGGTAGACAGTGACAAGAAAGCTGGCTCAGTTGGGCATGATTCGGACTTGAACACACGGAGGAGAAGGTACCGCCATAACAGGTACAGCCTAATGGACGACTAGGGTGGCAGCTGCAGCACTACCTTGCGGATATTGCAATCAAATACGGGAAGCGTCCAGACGTCGAGAATCCAGGTCGATAGAACAGCAGCTTTGCTAGAGGGCCGTACCAAAATAACCTGCTGCTCCCGTGCTCTGTATATTTCTTGTGTCGAGAAACCATGGTCCATGACGCCGTGCAGAGCACTCAAATACCTCCAGGCTCCGATGACTGCTGTACCGAGGTTGCAGTGCCTTCTGTACATACGTACAGCAAGTTGTACAGCAGATAGACCGAATATGTCCTTCGTCCCCGGTCACCGTCACGCATGTCTGTGTGCTTGACGGTGAGGCACCAAGCGAAAGCCTTGGTATTGGATCACGGAGAAATTATGGCACTGAAGACCCTGAGCCTGACGACGGGGAGGCTTGCCTGTGGCGTCCATTCAGAGACGGCCAATGCCATCAGCGCCACGGACATGCTTCCATCATCACTTTTGTTTTTGTCATAAGCGAGAGTTGAATACGGTGCCCGTATCGGAATCAGCACTTGCCTCGGGAATCCTGTCTCGCCTGCCTCGCCTGTCTCGCCTGTTTTCGAAGGTAGAGGTCAGCTTCGGGAACACAGCCGGGGATTAATACGACCAGGAATATCCCATATCTGGTTGCCTCGATTTTGTGTTCTCAGCTCGACCAGGCCGGCCGTCCAGTGTAAGAAGGTGTGAAGGCCGGGCCAGATCGAGGTCCGCGACCATGTTCAGTCTCCAAGTCCATGGATGTTTTCGTGTTTGCAAAGGTCGCGGCACTGGCGCCTTGCAACTGCAAGTTTGTGCAGCGTGGTACATCACGTCGGCTGAACCCGTTTCTTCTGTTCGAGTCTTGGCATCGAGAGGTAAGATCCGTCAAGGAAGCGCAAAGTACCCAAGGGTGGTTGTGTGTTGACCTAAAGAGTAGACAACCAGATACTTTGTCGGGTTGAGGTTGAAGTTTGAAGTCAAGTTGAAAATCTGAACGAGAGAAATGGAAGAACTAAGAAGTAGAGGTGAGGTTGAAAGTGGAGAGAAGATCCACCGGCCGGTCGGCTGAGTGCTGCCTCCGCTCGCTGTGCACCCGCTGTAACATAGGCAGGTACATACCTGCCAATAGCAATAGCACTATAGCAGCGCTACAGGCATGATTTTTGACGCTCTAAAGATGACGGAAAGGGTCCTGTGGTTCATCGGATAATGCACCTAGCCCGGGCTGTTTCCTCCGGGCCTTTCTGACCTTTACCCGGCATCTGACTTCCATTTTTGGAGTCACGACATCATGGATGTCCTCGAGTTCTTTAAACACCCAACATCATCAGTCCAATCATCGACAACGCATGTTGATCACATGTCCACGAGGCAAGTAAAGATCTGACTTTCAGCTTCTTATCCCGCCCCGGCAAAAGAAAAGACCGGAGAGCCATCAAGGTGTGGTATTGCGGTGGTGTAAGTGGCATCGGAATTCGGGATATCGAGGGATTCTGGTAATTAATGATGGCTCTAACAGTTTCCCGGCCAATCTCTTAGATATGCTGTTAACTGTTACGTTAGAACCACATCTAGGTAACCTCCTGATCAAGTCCAACTTCATGATCGAACGCATGAGCTTCCCATTTTTGGACTTTTGCCGGAATATCACACTTCATTGCCTACCAATCTTGATGCCCTACTCACTCTCCCTCAGGGTTAGATTTGCTGGGTCGCTTGCGGTAATAACTCATCAACAAATCCTGATAAGCCCAAGAATCCAACCCATCCTGAGCCTCTTCAAGTCGAGATTATCTCCCTCACTCTTGAGCTGACGCGTAAGTAGATAACTACCCCGTACACAAATGCACGTTGGTTGTTTCCTGTCACCCTCTTCATGCTTCAAGACATGGATCGCATCAGAGCATGACCAGCGAAAAGGAAGGAAGCCGGCAAATCACTTCCAAAGTCTCCCCGGCAGTTCTCTATACTGCTTTGACCATGTAAAACTAGTTCGCTGATACGCAAGTCTCACTCATCACCTCATGTCACACCTGAACAAGGCGAATAGAAGGCATCCGAACTTGGTCACTTCGCAGCGGAAAGTGAAAAAAGTCGATCAGTCGTTTTTACTATAGCTTCGGATCGTTCTTCGTCGTCGGATCGACAGGCATGAGAGTAGTCTCAGGTTGAATGCGGAACTCGAGGGCTGGTCGACAGGGCCTTCGAGCCTAGTTCCATGTTCTCATCTTGCCAAAGGCCAATAGTTCGTTCAGGTTTTGCTACTCTTTTATTGCGACGCAAAATCCGGCCCTTCACGGGTTGCCCCTTGGAGTCTGGAAACACGGAATGTGACACGGCCCAGCTCCGGCAAAGCGTTCCAAGCCTCCAACTCCAAAGCTTGCCGGGTTAACACACAAGAGGTTTGTCTTAGGGCGGCTCTCTCTGCCTTCTGGATATCAAAGCGCAACTGCTACGCCAGGTGTAACCGGACTTACCTTGTTCAGCCTCCCAGAGACCATCAGAGGGCAACAAGTTACCACCACGTGATGACAGCCCTTGTTACATGGCTGTTGAGCTCCCACACCTGCATCTAAACCCTTCGGGAATGCCTTTATTTGAAGCAGCTTGTGGCTTGTTCAAGTTACCACGGGCCGCCCCCAGACTTCAACTGTTCAACATGCGGTGAATGTGCATGCAAGATACCAGTCAAGTCTTCGGCTACTCCCTACAGGCCAACACTCGACATCACACACGGATCCCCCACGTCTGGGAACCGTCTCAAGCACCCAATGTGCGGGTAGATGGGTGTGGAGTGCAGCACACTCCCCGCACGTTCATCGTAGGCTGGGGTTTTTGGCGTAACCGGCCCAAGAGATCCAACAAGATAACAGCAACTGCCGCTCCCTTCCCTCCAGAAACTGACCCCCGGTCGGGTGCAGCGTAGTAGCGTGGCCCTTCTTCACCTCGTGACGGCGTTCCGAGGAACCGAGGGCCAGTATGCTGTCCAACCTCTTATAGACGGCCGAGTTACCCCCCAATGGCACCCATGTCCTGCCAGGTCCCGATGAAACTGCCGGGACATTATGCCCTTGAAACGGTATCCTGAGCCAGGTCTTATGCAGAATCTTTGTCGACGCATATTAGTCCAAATTGGCACGTCATTATGTTCATCAAAGCTTTGGACGCCTCATCAGCCTCGCCGATTCGGCTAGCTTGAGATATCCATGGAACAAGTTGGGAGTGCTGGTGGGATGAACAGCTTCTGACCGCGTCCCTTTTTCTGTTTCACCTAGCACTTGGTTCCCTTAACTCTGTTTGATATGGCATGAACCACAAGAAATAGCGTTTGAAGAGACATTGAGGCAACCTTTATGAGGTCATGACGGGTGAAATCTGTTTTGGGGGCTCGGGGTAATATCGGACCAACACAATATCAGATTTCCCTCTCGCTTTTGTCTGTTGCCACTTATTCCCTTAACCAGTCCGCTCCCTTCACCGACCAACCGGATTCAAACCACATCTTGAAGAGTGGAGAGGGAATAGGACCCTTCACTCATTATTTCCCCGCCTGCCTTTGGTCCGAAGGATGATACCTCGACATGGTACGTTCACGGGGACTGGTTAGTGAACAATGCTCCTCGGTAACCTTTGGAGCGACCTTGAAAGCGACAGGTCAAAGCGAATACTTGCCATTCACTTGGGGAACCTTGAAGTTTTGCACGGCAGGTGTATAAAAGAACCCCATGGCTGCAGGAATCCCCGAACTCTCCCCTTTTTCTTCCTCCCTTAGCACGAACTCCTCAACAGTAATTCGCACATATCCGGTCTGTGTGTCTCATCCACCCGACCCGATACTCTGAGCACCGGTGGTAGCTCAGCATCCAACAGCATGGACAACTTGACTACCCGACCTTATTCTGTCGCCATTGGCGCATCAGAGGCTTTTGGCGAGCTTTTGAAGCAATGCAAAGGTCAAATCCCCAAAGAGTTTCGCTCCTATTCCGGCAACGTCAAGTTCGCTCCTTCCAGCCATGGAGACCAAGTGTACTTCCCGAGTCCTTGCCGAGAGCAAGATGTCATAGCAGCCATCAAGGCCCTTGAGGCATGTGCTGCTGCTGCCATTGGTGACCTTCGTCATGGAAAGAAGTCACGATCGATCAAAGTGGATCTCGACAAGGCGGCCTGCTTCCTAATGTCGGCTTACCTTGCTACCATTGACGGCAAGCGCAAGGGTCAGACTCCGAAGGGTTTGATTCCAGGTAAGACATCTCCTCTTACGACTCCCATGTAGCCAGTTACTACGTGGTATTTAAGCCACACCTCACTAACTTGACCATAGACACCGACTACAACCAGGCTCAGTCGATCCAGTATCGTCGACTTTCCGCGAACCTTTACGAGACCAAGGAGGATGGCAGATACTACCATATTCATGGCTCACTCGACGCCACTACTCAACTCCGCATGATTGGCCTTCCGCCGTTTAATCCTCAATTGACCGACTACAAGAAGTGTATCGACACGATCGAAGCCGCTGTGAAGAAGTTTACTGTCGCAGAACTGGAGGATATGAACAACAAGCACGGACAAGCTGGTGTAGAGGCCCTGAAGTGGGAATCCTTCCTCAAGACCTCTCACGGAAACGCCACTTCAGCGTTGCCTCCTTTCACCGTTGAGGCCATCAAGGTACCCCAAACGACGGCACCGGAGACACCACCACACACACCCACCGAGACGAACTTCCAGAGCCATCTCTGGCCGAAGGTGCCCGCAAACGGCCCTCAGTACGCCCTGCGTGGCATCAAAGTCATCGAGATGTGCCGTGTCATAGCCGGTCCGACCATTGGCCGCTCCCTTGCCGCACACGGCGCCCAAGTGCTCAAGGTTACCGGCCCCAAACTTCCCGATGTTCCCTTCTTCCAAGTCGACGTCAACACCGGCAAGCACACAACCCATCTCGACCTTCGCAACCCGAGCGATCTCAAAACATTCAAAAACCTACTCGCCGAAGCCGACGTTCTCATCGACGGATACCGGCCTGGCGCCCTCGCCAAGTTTGGGTGTGACCCGGCATCGCTGGCCAAACTAGCCCAGCAGCGCGGCAACCGCGGCTTCGTCTACGTAGCCGAAGACTGCTTCGGCGGAACTGGTGTGCCCGGAGCCGAGTGGGCCGGCCGTCGCGGCTGGCAGCAGATCGCCGACTGTGTCACCGGCGTCGCCTGGGCGCAGGGCCAGTTCATGGGACTAGAAAACGAGCCCAGTGTGCCGCCCATGCCCATGTCGGACTACGGCACCGGCGCTCTGGGTTGCGTGGCCGCCATGGCGGGCCTGTACCAGCGCGAGACCAAGGGCGGGTCGTGGATGTGCCGGACCAGTCTCTGCCAGTACGACATCTTCTTGCTCAAGCTGGGACTGCTTCCGCAGCAAGAGCAGGAACGGTTGAGAAATATCTTTACGGGTCCGTTCTTCAAGTTGCGCCACTATGACTCTGTCGACAAGGTCAGTGGAGAGGCGCTCAAGGCTATGCAGCGCGCGTACCCGCATCTGCTTGGGCCGGAGTTGATGCTGAAGGCGAAGAGCATGGGGTTCAATGGCAAGGAGATTCGCTGGCCGAAGGAGGCGATCGAGGTGGATGGGCTGTTGATTCAGCATGAGCGTGCTTCAAGGCCGAATGGGTTTGATAGGCCTGGCTGGGAGGGCTGGGAGACTGATTTGATCATGGATGATGAAGACGACGCCGTCCTCACCACCACTACTGTTACACCTGCGCCGAGAGAGGAACAGCATCATCATCAGCAGGCCGGAAGTGGAAGTATGAACTCTGCTCCGCAGCGTCGTAATAGGATTGCGACTGTGAACACTGTTCTCGCCACGGCCTAGGAGGAGCGTGTGAGGGGTGATGCGAAGTCGACAAAATAAAGCGCGATTTTGAGAGAGGGGGGGTTATTAATGGCTTTGTCAAAAGACATGATGACGGGACAGAGGATGGGGGAGGACCAATTGTGTGCGTTCCAAAAACTCATGGGCGGATGAGCGTTGCTTTTCGTAGTTTATGACATGGCAAAACATATCTGCGGCCATGGTCAGGTAATCTGCGTTTTAACTTAGAAAGAGATGTTAGTAGCTTGGTTCGGTGTTTTGGTGACTGCGCTGCATATGAGATCGGAGGTGAAACTCGTTGATGTTGTTCTTTTCTTTGAAAGACGGATGATGTTGCCCCAAAGAACGAGATTTGTACCGTATGCACCACGCAAGCATTCATGGCCGCTAGGTGATAAGTACATGATAACGCTCGTTTCTGCAACGAGGGACCTTGGCGCAGTTGGCTAGCGCGCAGGTCTCATACCTTGTATGATCTGGCTTAACGTCAGAGTAATCCTGAGGTCGGGAGTTCGAGCCTCCCAGGTCCCACGTTTTTTTCTCTTTTCAGATTTTTGTATAAATTTTTGGGACTTAACTGGCAACTCAATCAACCATTTGGTTTTCTTTCTTTGCTTTGTGTCTTTTTTTGTTTCCCTTGCTTGTTTTATTTTGTATGACATCTTCCAACACGCAGGAACAAATACAGCAACTTTTCCGTTACATATTGTTCTAAAACGAGAAGATGTATACTTTTCGTAGATACAACAAAACAAGTCTTTCAGTATTTTGCTACTCGTATGACGCTCACTTCGGACCTCTTGATCCAGCTTTCATGGACAAATATCTGAAGGCACAAGCTATCAAGACGAGCCGCCTACCTTAGCCCAAGGCTCGGAGGCAACAACTGGATATGCTTCCAAGGTATTGAACCTTTACAACTCAACCATGGAATCCTTTTGTTTATTTTGACTCCATACCATCCCCGTATCATTATACATATATGCTACAGTATTCTATACAATGGTATCGTATCCTACGAGTCAGGGGTAGGTACATACCTCAACTCCCTCCCCTCCCAGCTCACCATCCCAAGCACGCCCGCTTAATAAGCGTTAATGTTCGCACTCGGCTTGACATGGACCAAACGATCAATAGCCCGTCCATCATCCAGCGCCCATCCAGAAGTCATATCCAACTTATACTCCACGCCCCTCAAATAGACCTTAGCAAAGCCCTCACGGTAGAACGACCTCCTGAGGCCTTCATACGCCCCACGGAACACCTTCGCCGCGTCCCTGAAAGGCAAGGTAAGAAGATGCTGCATCCGCTCCTTGCGCTCCTTCTCCCTGGCAGCCTTCTGCTTGCTCGCCGCGATGATCTGTCCCGTCTTGGTGGTGGGGAGGTTCTTCCCGACGTTTTTCTGCGCGCTGAGTGTGTTCAGCCTCTCGCACAGCAGCTGCATGCGGAAGGGCATCTCGACCTCGGAAGGGTGGTAGTACTCCTTCTTGTTGGGCAAAAAGGGGATGGCGCGGCTGTAGGCGACCTCGATGTAGATCGGGGTAGGGGTGGTCACGGGAACGGCCTTGGGCTTGATGGTGAGGAGCTCGGCCCATCCTTTGGACTTCTTGGTAGAGGCAGAGGCGGCACCGCCGCTGGTGATCTGGGAGGCGATCTGGGAGGCCGGAACGGCCTCGATGTGCCGGATGATGCGCCGCATGCCCATGAAGAAGTAGCCGCCCATGCCAATGGTCATGGCGCAGATGACGCCGTAGGCATAGGGGACCCAGGTGGCCAGGTCCGCCGGAGGGTTGAGGTGGATGTTCCAGTAGTTGTAGAGTGAGTAGGTGACGCAGAAGCTGCCGGTGGTGAAGCTGGCGAAGCGGAACCAGGCGTGGGAGTGAGCCTCGTACAGGAGGGTCCGGCCCTTCTTGGCTAGCTGTTCGGCATAGGAGGCGGGAATAACAGTGGGAGGAGCGGTTACGGTAGTGATGACGGTGGATGATGAGGCCGACTTCTTTGCTGCCTTCTTAGCCTTGGAGGCAAAGAAGCGTGCCGTTTGGGCGGAGCGGAAGCCGGAGCCGGAGCCGGAGCCGAAGACCAGGGCGAAACGTGTTGCCGAAGCTTGGGATGGAGTCCTGGCACATGGCGCCGTCCGGTGTGCAAGCAGGACGAACTGGCTGCTGAGCCTACTGGAAATGGAAGCCATGGTGTCGTGTTGGATGCCGGGCGGTAGTCCTGTACGGCGCCGTGGGACGGGGATCGGCAACGGGGTTATGTGGATTTGAGGACGAGCGGCTCCGATCCGGGTCCTTGTCAGTTGACGGCGGGGGAAACTGGATCACGGTGCGGCCCGGCCACCTGCTGCCGTTACGTTTCGTTTCGGGTCCAGTTCAAAATCGTTTGTTATCTTCGGACCCGGCCCCGCTCCCAGGTCTCGAATATTTTAGCGGATCCCCGTCAGGAACTCGGTCCGCAATGGAGCTCCGCTGGTGGGAACCGGTTCTTGGCGGCAGGGGAGATTTTGGAGGCCGAAGACGGGCTGACGAGGATGTCCCAACCCTTGCTGGCCCTAGCGCAAAGATGACAACTCCAACTTCCACTTGGCTCCAATTTTTAGCGCGTCCTACGCAGAGACGGCTGCAGAAAATGGTTTGGGGACATGGGGCGCGGGGGTTCATCGGAGGATTTGGAGGGTGGCCCAAGCTTCCTACGGTCGTTTCCCCAACATGTCCCTCATCGACCCTCGCAGCATCCACAAGCTGGCGACAGCTTTTTCTGGGTTCCCGTGCCTAACCGTTTTCTGTCGCCGCCGGGTCCGCTGCCAGATTTCTTGACAAGAAACAAAAAGATCCACTGCCCGCGCCCATCCCGTCGACCTCGCGGTGGAATTAGCATTGAACCTGACTCGTTTGACATACGTCAAGCATAAGGCTCAATTGGAGATCCAGCAAACACCACAGCCCTACCGCGATATCCACGTCAACCACGCATTTCACATCGTCCCGTCGCGACAACACCACATAAAAGTCCGCCATGGCTTCGCTAACAGCAGCTTGTCGCATCTCTGCCAGGATGGCAGGGCGTTCCGTCAGAGGTCGGTTGCCTCGCCTCCCGTCACCTGCCCGTCAACATGGTGCCTACTTTACGTGGTCTTAAAAGTCATCATATACTGACTGGGAGAAACATGTCATGACAACAGGTTTCCGCACCTCTGCCGCTGCTCTCGCCGCCCAAAACTTTACCATGCCCGCTCTGTCGCCGACAATGACGGAGGGCAACATCGCAACCTGGAGGGTGAAGGAGGGCGACAAGTTCACTGCCGGTGACGTGTTGTTGGAGATCGAGACCGACAAGGCCACCATGGACGTCGAGGCACAGGATGACGGTATCATGGTCAAGATTATGCAGAATGATGGTGCCAAGGGTGTTGCTGTCGGCACCCGGATAGCTGTCATTGCGGAGGAAGGAGACGACATTAGCTCTCTCGAGATCCCGGCCGACGCGGCCCCACAGTCCAAGCCAGCCGAGTCAGCACCTTCGGCACCTCCCCCACCGACCACCGCGGACCAGTCTAACGTTGCCGTCCCCGAATCCGCTCCTCAAAAGGCTTCGTCCAAGTCGGTTCCCAAGCCCCCGAACAGGCAATACCCCCACTATCCTTCCGTCGCCCATCTGCTCAAGGTCAACAACGTTGACGCCGCTGTCGTTAAGGATATCACCCCAACCGGCCCCGGCGGCCGTCTGCTCAAGGGTGACGTTCTTGCCTACCTTGGTAAGATTAACGCCCAGACTCCGTCCACCGTCTCCGAGAGGTTCGAGAAGCAGTCGCACCTCGACCTTAGCAACATCAAGGTTGCCAAGAGCACCGAGGCCGTCAAGGCCACCACCGAGAAGGCTCAGTCCAAGAAGCTGGATGCCCCTGCTCCTCCTCCCGTAGCCGTTGTTACCGCTCCCATTTCTCTGTCCGCCGTCATCGACGTTCAGAATAAGGTTCACAAGACCATCGGCGTCTTCCTCCCTCTTTCGACCTTCATTGCCCGTGCCACCGAGATCGCCAACCAGAAGCTCCCCCTTCCCGCAAACTACCAGCCTACTGCCGATGAGCTCTTTAACCAGGTTCTCGGTCTTGACAAGGTCACCCGCAAGGAATCTCGCGGCTCCTATACTCCCACATTCGGCTCCTTCCTGGCCCCTCAGCGGGCAGCGCGCAAGGCCGATATTATCGATATCCTTGCCGCTCCCTCCAAGCGCGCCGCTCCTCAGAGCAAGTCCGCCACCCCCGGTCTGACCACCTCTGGACCCAACGTTTTCAGCCTGCAGGTTCCCAAGTCGGAAGAGAAGAGGGCTCAAGCCTTCCTTCGTAAGATGAAGCTTGTTTTGGAGCAGGAGGCTGACAAGCTTGTGCGGGCATAAACAACCTAATGATCTGTTCACTCTTCTTCGCTTCATGCGCTCCCTCATCAGCTTTTTATAGAGAGGGGACAAAATGCACAAAATGCACATGGGGTTTACTTGTTTGACATATGTTGGTATTGGATTGTATGGAGTAACTTGTTAGCACTAGACTTCCACTTTTATGGCTTTATGATCTAGATTCTCTTCTCAAGATGCTCTGGCGGAGACATTCGGTAATGTGCGTACGCCTGAGTGTTCTCCCTACATTTCTACCGCTATAATGGCCGAGATCTGATTTCATGTGGCTGGTGTGCTTTTAGCTCATGAGCTGTACGGTACGTTCAACCGCTCAAATATCTGCGCACATGGACCGGAGATGGTTGCTAGGACATGTTCCGGTCACTTGATCAACTCGTACGTCAAACAGCTATACATCTCCTATCAATGAGCAGGTAGACCGACCTTACCTTCACAAGTCATCTATCACAATCTCAAGATTCAGGAGGAGCCGATCCAGTTCCAACACGGTGGTAATCAAGAGTGAGAGCTAGGCGCACCGCCACACAGAGATGAGGTATATGGTGTATCGGTCACAGCGAAGCCTCACGGTAGAAAATTTATATGTTCGGGTACACTTCCCATCTGATCACGCAGGCTCACCTACCGACTATAGCCCAGAGTACGCGTCAGCACAGATGACAAGAAGACACTAGGTGGTCTATCTAGACCTCATATCCCCATTTTACTCACTCATTGTGGCCCCAAGACAAAGAACAAAATAAGTTATGTAATACCTTTCCCACAAAAAGTCTCACTTCCAAACACTACCAAAGACTCGGATTATCTCACCTTGCTATCTCGACACGGTAGAGGTATCCATGCCGCCGGGGCTGTCCCAACGAACAACAAAACAAGAGCTTTCTTTACTCGGTGGATACAACCATGCCTACATAGCTGAGGTCTATAGTGTGTGCAGACTGTAGGTATACGTCCAGGCGTCCTACCTACATCTGCGAGAAGTTCCAAAGAATTGCTCCGTGTGCCCACCATGTCCACCCACCCTCCATCCTCACACGGTATAACATGTAATGTCATACACCTCAATCGAGCATATTGATACCGTCCCCCATCACCAATCACATCTCTCTATTTCCCTTATATTCCCTCGACCTCTTTTGCCTCTCTGATGAAGTCCAGGCCGTTGATATTTCAAAGCCGACCACTGTGCCAGCTCACCGGCTTCAAGTACTGCGGCTGTCTTAGGGTCGGGACCCGTAAGACCCTTAATGCCTTGGCCGGTTTGCTTTTTTCCGTTATCGGATGGTCAGATGGGGCGAATGTTGGGAGGAGATACATAAGCATGAGATGCTTGTGAATGCGTGTGATAGAGATCATGGAATGTGTGTGAACGGGCGGGGGGATATTGAAGTCAGTGAGGGGATAGCGGCAACGAGGGGGAGGGGAGGGCGACGTTCTTTTTGATGGCCTGTAGGTTTTGTTTTAGTCTTCGGTTCGGGGCCCGGAACGAAGGGGCCCTGAAGACTCTGGAGACACCTGATGCCTTGGCCGGTTTGCTTTCTTCCGTTATCATACTCCGGTAAAGATTGGGAGGAGATAAATATGCATGAGATGCTTTTGACTGCGTGTGATAAAGATCATGGGATGCGTGGGACGGGCGGGGTGACGTGAAGATTGGTAAGTACTACCTAGGCGAGGGAGTGAGGAGAGAGGGCGGCAACGAGGAGGGGAGTGGTAGGTTGTAGCTGCTGGTTTTCTTCTCGATGGCCCGTAGGTGTTCTTCTCTGAGTTGGTGAGGCTGAAGGGTTAACCAGAGCACTGCACGGTTAAGCGACCCGGAGGTGAATACAAGTTTCAAGCGTCCGAAGTCGCAAAGAGTTCCATCTCCTGTTATTGATGGCCGGCCCTGGGTTCTTCACTTCGGTGACTACCTGATGCTAAATAACCTTTCAGAAGCCTTTATCTTCTATTTTATTTCCATCTCCGGTCTTCCACCAAGCCTTTCCCAGGTAAGGCCTTCCCGTTTTTCACTTACTACTACAACTATCGATGATCTGAATCAGTCTCACGTCCCCGCAACTTTGTGTCCCCTTCCAATCTTGAACTGAAGGCGGCAACCGTCCGCTTTACAAAGCCAGGCCTCAAAGTCCAAACTTGGTCTTACCAAGCTTAAATGTGCAACTTGATTGAAACAATTTCAAGACCAAGGGCCGCGCGGCTTGTCTTAGACACTCGTGGATAACGAGATTCTCGAAAGAGGGTATCTTGCCCGGTTATACTATGTTATCAATCGAGGAGATCTAGAACAATGCTGATGATCGAACATGTCAACAACAGTCGATGAGGTTTGCTGGGCTCTGAGACGGCCAAGATACGCACGCTCAGAGCTAGAACTGCAAACAACAATATATGAAGTGATGAAGCAGTGTTCACTGCTGTACATCTCATCTAATCTTCTGTCTCTCAGACTATAATCCTTCCCAGGCTGGAGAACAAAGTGAAGTATCCTGGCATAAGTCCGCAATTATCAGTGCCAGTTAAACTCTCTGGCAAGACATAACTTTAAGCCCATGTCAACACATCACGTACCCGCAGAAAATAGACACAACCAAACCCATACTGCTGTGACACAACCCACAAGATCACAACAGGCAATTTGTTGAGCGGTGCATAAAAAAGGTCGTACACCTACCCGGGGTACCCCATCCGACCGGGGACATATCAAGCAAGTGTCAAAACCACAACAGCAACAGGAGGAGATGAGACGAGAAAAGACCATACTCGGTTCATTATCAGGCCGTGCCCCGGATATGTCGGTGACGTACACAGAAGTTTCAGGATCCTGACTGGGATTGGCATGTGCATATATCACTTTCAAGATGTTTGATTTGCCGAGTTTGCGCCGCGGGCAGGTTTCTTTGTGACTCCCTCAGAGTCAGACACGTGCTGGGAAGAAGTACATCAGTCACTGTTGCGAGGGTACCCGAGTTCGGATAAGGTGAAGATGACGGATAGAGAAGAACGAGAGCAAGATAAAAATATAGTGACGGAGGACGGACTTTGAACTTATCGTCCAGACGTTGTAGAGGTAGACTTGTAAGTTACGCAACTAACGCAAGGCAGTCATCTCACTAGTGTGGGTATCGCAACAGTAGCCTTATGTGCGTAATGTAGAATGAAGTGTTATGGAAAGATGAGGTGTGTGTAAGTGTTAGCCTGTATGTATACTCTGTATAACTTCCTTCTTCACTTGTCGTACAATGCCGTGTGAGTTGTTGCTTTCCGTCGTCCCATGTCAAACCGAAAGACGTCCGACTTCGGCAACCCGGTAGGTATTTTCTTTCCACTATCGCTGTCTGTGATATCGTCGATATCCCCTCCATTGTGAAACGCGAGTCTTTGTCACTTGACCACTTCAATAGCGGAAGGGTGCGGGAAGAAGCGAGACAGCGTCGTCTTCGGTTTGAGGTGAGCAACCTTGCCTTGCCTTACCTCACTCTCAGCCTGCGGTCCCATGTCAACGGTCGATGTAGGCATGTATTGACTTGACAAAGAGTTCATGGCATGGTGCCAGCTACTCCCGGTAATCGTACGTTATGGAAGTGGGATTCAGGGAATGGCTTTCCATCATCGGCATATTTGTTTGATATGCGCTGTTTGTGATCGGTGATTCTTGTGACTTTTCCCTCTTTCTCTCCGCAGCGAGAAGGCGAAAGAAAAAGGCTCTATGGAGCCTCATCCGCATTCCTATAAACCTATCATCCGATACATGTGACGATGTGTATGCGAGCGAAGGTCTCCGCGTTCACGCATCAAGGAATAGCCTTGCAGATGAACCAGATGATCGCTAACGAGGGTCTAGATCCCCTCACAGAGTCTGCACTCATGTCGCTAGATTCAAGGCTCTGTAATGTTCCACTGTCGGTTTGGCAATGGCCAAGGTAAACCATCCGCTTCAAGGAAAAAAGCACGTCAGACAACAGATGGAACATGGAACGACAGCAAAAGGAAGACGGATGAAGTTGATGAAGCTCCCATGACCCCCGGAGCCCCGTTCTCGCCCGTCCTCACTATACTGGTCCGTGCACTTCGACGGGATGCATTAACTCAAAAGTCCGCTAGCGCAATGCAGGAAAGGCGCATCCACAACAGCAAAAGGGAAAGAACCCACTGCATGTCCTTCCTGCACACACTTCGCCAAAACATCCAGATGCTGCCCGGCACCCACACTCAACCATCCATCCTCTACCATGCTCTTTACACCCTCACATATGGGACGATACGCATTCGGAGGGGCACTTCCCACCACCCTCTTTCACCATCCATCGCGGAATATTGTCTGTGGCATACATCTAGCGAGATGAGCGGTGAGCGGATTCGAATTGGCGTATCATAGCCATTGAGAATCCAGCCGTGTATGTGTGTGTAACTTGGGGCTGGGGCGCAGGGAGGAGAGGAGAAGAGGCAGAGAAAAAAAAAACCCCAAAATCAACAAAGAGGAGGCTGTCCAGATCCGCCGAGCGAGCGAGGTAGGAAGAGATCCTCCCGCGGGGTAAAAGAAATGAAGCAAGGGAAGGAAAGGTGGGCGGGTGGGTGTTGAAAAAGTCCCAGTCCAGCCGTCAAGGTGCATCTCGCAAAAGGTGGGGTGTTTTTGTGCTGCTTGCTCGGGGCCCGTGGTACCGTTCGTTCGTGGGGATTGCCCCAGGACGACTGACGAGGAGGAAGAACAGAATCCGAATCGAATCAGATGAGGAGTCCCATCGGCATCAGTCCAAGTGTCCAGTCGCGACACTCGCGAGAACAAAACGGAGAACGGAGGAGGACATTGAGTGACTCCGGAGCCCCATGTGCTGGGAATCCTTGCTTGTTGCGCATTCCCCATCATGACTTGAGGAATCAGCCGCCCTTGGCGCCCTCGCAGACGCTTTTATGGCTTGGGAGCTCCCACCTCCCCAGCTCCCAGCCATGGATGACAGACAGCTGAGACAGGGCCTCATGAGGATCTGCCGAAAAATGGGTCATTCCTTGATGGAGATTGGAGTAAATGGAAAAACACACATCGAGATACTGCTACTTACTACCGCAGGGGTACTTCACTGCCCTCGGCTGTACACTAGTCCTACGATCCAACAAGTGCACACCAGTGGGTTTTGAAGGGACAAGTGCCGTATGTACGTCATTGTGGTCTTACTCTTCGAGGATGAATGCTTCCCAAGAACTCCCAAAGATCCACTCTTTCGACCTGAGCCGTTGATTGATCTGAAGAGCATGGCACTCTCTGAGATTGGCAAGGTTGCAAAGTCAGGAAAGTGTCAGGGCCCAACCGTGATAGAATCACCAGCTTCCATTGGAGAAACCCATTCGCCTTGGCGCTTGAAGAGGGTTGCTTGTGTGGGCCATACGTGCTGATGCCGTACATGCCCGCCGTAGGTACTGCCGTCGGAGCCGATAGGTGTCTAGGTGATAGGAAAGCTTCTTGCTAGAGATCATCGGCACCGGGCAGAAAGTGGCGCGCGGGGTTGTCATGAACCTGGAAAATCACTTGACCACATGGGCGTCTCAGCAATGTCTAACATGCCAAGGGAGCAAAGCAGTCTGGCAGTTGATGAATGAGACTCGAGGTCCAGGATCCGATCAGGAGCCCTTCAAACTTTCCGAGACGGGGGAAGCGAAAAAAGGAAAATCTGACCCCAGTTCTGGAATCCCCGAGGTTTCAATCGGTTCGGCATGATCCAGCAAACATCATGGCCGATCTGTCCATCTGCTTCCGTCTTCATCACCCACGCGGAGCTATGGGTTGAGATGAGGCGGGAATGGTAACCAATGGAAGCCTGGATTTGACCACGGTCAACAGAGAGATGTAACCATCTTGCGCGCCTACCTTTGTCCAAGGCGCATTCATGGGCATTCATTCCGTCCAACGGCGAGACAGCATCTGAACGAGGGGGGCTTGTTGGAAGCGTGTCCAGTGAAGATCTGGTTGAACCCCGAGGTATAGCGGGCGGGGAGGGGACGAGTGTGCAAGTTGACCACCGTCCAACGATGATTTTCTACCTCCCGTCTATACTAGGGATATAGAAGTAGCAAAAGCGGGAGGCGGTGAGCGCGCAGGGCTCTTCTCGCATGCTGTAACGGCGAGGTAGCAGCGCCGGCACTTTGGCGCCTTTGTGATGATTTATGTAGGTGGTGCAGAAACGATAGGTAGGGGAAGAATGGGGGTTATAGTCGCATGCATTTCGGTTGTTCGCAACGACTTTCGAACATTGCAACATGTGTGTTTCAAGGATTGTGATAAGCGACAGTCGAATTGTTTTCGGCGTCCTTGATTCGGATCCTGAGATTTACAACGGGTCTGAAGTCGAAACATGCTGATCACAAGATCTGATTCTCTTCCCCGCTCCAGGGCATCACGGCTTTTGGATGTTGATTTGGCCCATGCATTCAGTGCTATAACAATCACTTTTTGGCGCTCGCACGGGCCATATCAGCTTCAGATACATACCGGCGGGGGACTTGACGGATGAGCTTGTAGACAGTCCAAAAAGATAAAAAATAGGTACACATAGGACAAGCGACAAGACCTCGGAAATTGTAACGTCAGATTTTCTCGTCACTGTCACCCACTAAAAGGCCACAATTGACGACCTAGCCTGGGTGCCTGGAAAAGCTACAGGTACCCGGGGTCATCAGAGATCAGATAGGCGTACTAGCCATACCGAGTGGTAACATGGCCCGACCCAAACCTGGAGACGACTTCCCGAGAACTCCACCAAGTACGCCAGAGATGAGTTTCAACAGCGCTATCTGCGATAGAGCTAGGGACTATCACATCAGTTGAGCCCTGTCATCACAGCTCTACCAAGCATACCTAGCGAAATTTGTTCCTGGTTCCTGGGGCTAACGGTACGGCGGCTGTGAAGAATGCCCGGCTTCCGTCACTCTCTTCATGGCAGTTATGCCCGACGAAGGATTCGACACACCCAAGCGGAGGAAACAAACTGCTGGGTCTCGACAGTGTCAGATAACGGTATTGATTGACTGGGTACCTGATCTTCCTGTGGCGTCAGAACTTTCCGGTGCTTGAGGCCATACAGTGCCGTAGATAGCCCCGCCTGAGTTCAAGTCGTTCGTCTACCCGCCTGGCATGTGAGAGGGGTCAGTCCGAAGTCCGTTGAAGTTGCTTCCCATTTGCTCTCCTCTGGGAGATTGTTTGCCGGTCATTTGCCCTTTTATCGAAAATCGCTGTGATTCTAGGTTTCCCCACGCATCTTACGTTCCTGTTGCTACATGATGCGTACCGAGTATCTTTGCCCAGGCCACCCCGGTAGACATGGATCACTGAGGAAAAGCTCCTTGGACCCTGGACCAAGTCCCTCAGAACCCTGAGGCCTTGGCTCTTGGGACTGTGGACCCTGAAGACTTTGGGTTGAATTCCATCTTTTAGGGCTCTGATAGAGAATCGCATTCGTACCTGTACAGGTATGCAGTCTCTTTATAGTAGGAGAATCAAGGGATATTCCATGGCCTTTTGTTCGATGTCATGCAGCATTTGTCGGAAAGTGGGAGTGTTACGCAGTCAGCCGAGTTTTCATCCTCGGGATTTGCCAGGACGACCGAGTTGAGAGAGATTCCATCTCCGATCGTACGGTCGCCGGGGGGAGGGGACGCAACGCAATGGCCTCGAATGGCAGACCCAGGGTGGCAGACCCAGGCTATCACCCTGTCGCCATGCTACGCCGCGATAAGGCGACCGCAATTTTAAATTTGAGGCAGATAACCACTTAACGTCAAGGTCAAGGCATAAACATCCTTCCCATGGTTAACCTCTCGGCTCGGGCAAGGGGCGGAACGAAAAACTTTCCTGCCGAAGTGTTAGCTCAAAGTAAACAAGGGGGGCTGGACTGTTCCCAACGTAAACACACGGGACAGCGACCCGGCGCAACTCCTCTTTGATTCAAAGAACTTGGGAATGTTCTCGGATGATGGACTGAAACCGTGAGCTGAGCCACGACCACAAGATGCAGAAGAACCATCATGACGGAGCGATCATGGATAAGTATAAGAAGAGCAATTGGAATGCCAGCCTATCTCTGTCGGTATCAGGAGAATGCAGCTGATCTGCCACGCAAGTCTGCCAGATGGTCAACAGCCCAAGTCGTTGCGCTGCTTTGAGGCTTCAACAAAACACTGGAGCTTGGCTCCTCGGTCCCGCACAGTGTCTCGCTACTGTGATCGGTCTCTGGGAACCCAAATGAGCCAAAGTCACCCCGCATAACTGCCGTGATAGCACAAGAGATCGTCTCGACGCCTTTTCAGCTACTTAGGGCGTGTTTGGATGCTCTGAAATGGCTTTCTGAAGCGGGTTCTCTGAAATGCGTTTTCAGAAGTGTTGCACGGGCCTTTCTGAAATCCTGATTTTGGTTCAGAAACGTTTTTGGGCCTTGTCTGAAATTCTGATTTTGGTTCAGAAACGTTCTTGGGCCTGAATGTTGGCTCTGAAATTCGAGGATTTGATGAAATTTGATTGGATGCATCTCAAAGAGTGGGGCTAGAATTTCAGAACGGGGATTTTGGAAAGATTTCAGAACCGAAACGTTCAGAGCGCTTCCAAACAGCAACTGTGAAAAAACAGGATCTGAACATTTCAGAACCGAATTTCAGAGCATCCAAACACGCCCTTATGCGTCTGAAGGGGGCTCTTGATGTCCGAAAGATCGGTCAAGAAAACGAACAAATATGTGAAAGTGAAAAGCGGCTCTTCAGAATTGAGGCTTGGACTTGTTGTGTTTGGTCCGATCGCTGTTGTCCTCTCCATAACAGGTTCTACTGCGCATTTTGGGTAGGTGAAATGAGACTTGCATTGCGTCCTGCACTGCATCTCTGATCTCGAAGCCATCATTGGGTTGTTTCAGGTCTGCTTTTAGCCCGGACTGCTTGAGCGGCTGCTTCAACACAACATAACCAAGAGAGCCGAGAGACAGACACACTGGCGCGTTGTATGACAGCAAATTCTACAGGATTCTATTGCAGGATTGCTACCTTTTGGCTTGGACTCTGAGTTTACTGGCGCTGTACATGTACGACGATGCTATGTCGGAGCGTAGCGGTCAAGTCAGCATCGATGGAGCACGATATCTGCGAGGGACGATTAGCGGCAGTCAAGCACCGAGTATCTAGGCAGAGCAAAGCAACATCGACAGAAGATGAGCTGTACCTAGGTAGTGTAGGTGTAGTGTAGAGAGTAGGTAGGTCCAGATAGGCTATAGGCATGTATATTTGCCCGCATATTCTCCAATGAGACAAAGGCTTCGAGCTCGTGCTTCCAACATTCCAAGTCCAAGTTGAAGAGACTCCGTTCCAAGGAAGGGATCCAGATCAGACAAGTCGTCCGGAGTGTCTTAAGGTCCCTGGGTCTTTTCGGACAAAAGGACTCTGACACAGAATGCCGTGAAGCACCGAAGCAGCAGCTCGGCGATGCAAAACCACCTGAAGTGAATCATCCACGCCGCCTAACCATCACGGTTGACGATCATCGACCGAGTCACCTCATCGGTTCCCGGCCTCTTACCTACCAACAATCCAACCCTGAGACAGTGGAGAGATGTAACGAGGAGGACGGCCGTGCGAACACTGGACGAAGAGACGAAGATGGGAAATCGCATTGCTGAAATTGCCTGGGGTAGCAGTGGGCAGTTCAACCCACGGCTGTTGGTCCAGGTTTCCAAGTTTCGTCGCTACAGGTCGGGTAGGGACCTTCAGGTTAGCCCCGCCCCCAAGCTGGGTAACAGTGGTGTACCATCTTCCCTAATTCTGTTAGCGTGCCAATGTGCCCCGCTACAGAGAGCGACACGCAGGAAATCAACCAAAATTGCACGATGGAACTGTCAGGGCACAATGGCACCCCCAAGACGTAATTATCACTGTTGAGGCTTCCTAGCAGCGATCCCAAAGCGTGGGAAGCGGAACGCGTGGTGGTTTCCCGTTTGCAAGTGAGGCGGGCCGCTAACAGAGAGGTACTCGCGAAGCGCAGGCGGCTGCCGTCCTGCCCCTACCTCGTCGTGCTGCTAGCGCCGCCAATCTCATCTGCCCAGTCACGACCCAAAACCCACTTGCCTATTGGAGCCCAGCGGTCGACTGGACTGGACCGACGCCTGCTGCCCTCTTGCTGCTAGGGGACGGGGGGCCCCCGACTGTGTGAAGGGACTCGCAGGTTCGCAGCCCGCCCGTATTTTGATTTAGTCCCGTCCGCCCCCCCCCCCCGACCGACCAACTATCAGGAAGACCCTTCTTTTTCTTCTCCCTTCCCCCTCCGGTTTTGTGGTTGCGCCGGACAGCAGCACCACCCAACACGCAACATCCCGTCGAGAAGAGTTCCATTGTGTAGACTGTGCTCGTCCACGTCCTCGTCCTCCCGTCTCTTCACAACCCCGATCTCCAGCAAGGTCCCCGCCCTTGTCCTGCCACCAAGGCCCTACCTTACCTTTGTGTATTCCCGTCGGGCACCTCACCTCAACAACTTGCTCAGCTCTCTTCAGCTCGCCCACCCCCCGAGTATCGACTTCCCGTCGTCGCCTTCCTTGTATTCACTCGCGTGCGTGTCTGTCCGCCGACACGTTTCGCGGCCGCATTGCACACAAAAGTCGTCGAGTGCGCCCTCGGGATTGGATCCGAAACCTCTTTGGTCTTTGTGGGAGACTGGTTACCGTGAGACGGTCGCGCCAGATTGTGTGGACTCGGTGAGTTGCCTGATGTTTCCTTGGCCTCCTTTCCGCCCGTTCTACCCAGTGTTCCCCCTTCCGCTGGGCCAGTGCCGGCCAGCCAGCTTGCTCGCATCGCATCGCATCGCATCGCCGTCGCATCATATCGCTCCCAGCGCATCGCCGTCGTCATCGTGCTCTTCTTCTTCGGCTTCCATTCCACAACGTGGGCTTTTCGGTCGTTCTTGGTGGTTTCTCCAGCACTCCCCATGGGATCCCATCGTCCATCTTGCAGCGGAGATCGCCGTTCTCGACACACTGTTTGGTGCTGCGACCCAGCAGGCACACCACAATGGCACAGCATGGAAGGAAATCATCTTGTGACTGGCCCGTTCGCCAAACCTCAAGTTGGCCTCTTGCTAGTCCATGCGAGTCCATGGCACCCCCCCATCGGTGTGCACGCGTGATCGGTGGCTCATTCCGTCCTCGCATACCTGCTGCACCTACTGCTGCATCTGCGTGGATTCCACCTTCGGGCTCTATTCCAACCATCTTTTCCGCCATTTCTGCTGCCGCGGCATCGGTGTCCGCGTCGTCTCCAGCTGCTGGGAGATCACCGCCTCGATACCGCTACTTTGCTACAACTACTACTACTACGAGTGGCCCGCCTTGAAACCGCCGAGCACGACCGAAACTGTTGGATGAGGACACACACACCGCAACCGGTGGCCCGACAACAACCCGCCTTCAAGTACCTACCCGTCGCACAGAAACTGGAACCTCTGCTTGCCGCCGAACTGAACCACATCTGCACACCTTACACACCTACATAATACGCGCCGCATTGTCGCCAGTATCCCCGCACTCGACATATCCTAGACCCGACTTTGATGCCGAATGGGCTCATTTCCACCGGATATACGCCCACTCTACCGACCCATAAGGACTGTCATAACCTTCTCCGATCTCGTCGGCCATTACAAATACCGGACCTGCTGCGATTTCCGCATCTTGAGCGAGCTCCAAGCGGTCGCTGTGCCAGACAAGAAGGGCTTGCCGAAAGAACGAGGCGTCTGTGCCTGTACGAGGTGACGGCTCGACTAACTAACATCTGACATTACGCAGACCGACTGCTGTCCGACTTTCGCCACGACAGACTCCCGCAAACTCCCTACAGACCGCACGATCACGAGCGCAGCCTTCCGAGTCCGAGCTGCACATAAACCCTTCCCAGCGCCGTCACCGTCCTATCTGACACGCCTTTCCCCGCTGTCCGAGCCCGGGAACGCAACTCTTTACATACAACGCCCCAACCCGTTATGCATATTAAATGCTAAAAATGGATTCGGAAGACGGGGAGTTCTTCATCAAGGTACGGGGATTTTTTGGCACATGAACTGCAATGCATTTCCGATTCAAGGGGATAATCAGGCTAATCAAGCATATCGGCTTCTAGCAACTGGCGAGCTTCGTGCGGACCCATGAAAAGGCCCTCGCCAACGCGCTACAGTTTAGGAGACAAAACACTCCTCGCCATGCATCTTCACAGAGCGTTTCGGTGCTCTCCACCTCGGCCCCAACGGCCTCTTCCCTGCCAGAGCGACCTTCGACGTCTTCATCGCCTTCGAGCACATTAGCTGCAGCTCTATCCCTAGGCTCCTTGAACTTCACATCCCACAACGTAAAGTCGGCAAAACTGGCTCTTACCGCCCACCACCTGTTTTATCTACTCTCCCGATTCGAAGAGCTGGCTATTCCTGTCGGTCCCATGAAGGTTCGCCTGGAGAACCTGCACGACAACCGGAATTCAGGAAACTATGTATCGTTCCTCAGCCAAACTCAACGGTCTAAAAGCCGTGGCTCCGACGTTGGCTCAATCCACTCCGTCTCCAGCATCAGGAGTGTCATGTCGGGCATGTCTGCTCTCTGGTCGAGTTTTGGAATCGGCTCTAGCATATCCGCCGCTCGTTCTGAGAAGCAGAAGGCTGCCATCCAGGCTGACCTCAAGTACTTGTACTCTGCCTTCACCAAGATTCCTTGCCTACGCCTTGCCCCCGACTTCCGCGCGCGGTTGATCAAAGGATACGAAGAATTTCCTTTCGACTCGGCCGTCCCTCTTTATGTCTTCAAGAACGTTCAGGCCCTAGAGGTGAGCGACACCGACTTCAGGCAATTTTTCGGCTGGGACCGGCTTGCCGAGCAGCTTCGCTCTCTCACGCTCAAGCGCGCCAGTCTCGATGACCCTGCAGATGTTTTGATCGATATCGTGCTGGATGACATGGATAAGCGGCGTCGTCGCTCGTCGAAAGCGCAATCATCCCTAACCGGACCTTGGTCCGCACCAAGTCCTCGGAGAAGTCCCACAATCCCGCAGGCGGCGCAGAAGTCGAATTCCCCACCTAGTTCTCCAGATGCGAGGACGTCCAACACTGAAATACCGGTTGGTTCTCTAAACAGTGAATCTGGGCCTGACCAGTTGGGGGCGGCTTTGCATAACCACAGGCGGCCGTCCGTCGTGAGGGTAGACAGCGATGAGTCAAGGACACCGGCAAAGGACGGGCGACCACGAAGTCACTCCCCGCGCCGGCCTACCAGCTCTAGGAATGGCTCAAGCAACGTCCGGGGAAACCACAAGATTCGCCGATCCGGATCAGGAAGCTCACACTCAAGCCTCTCGGATTCCTGGTATAATTCCCGTGGAAGTTCCTCCAACTTGCTCGCTATGGGAACGCTTCCTCCCTCCAAGTGGCGTTTCCTCAAGCATTTGAGCCTCGCAGACAACTCCCTTGCCTCGATCCCGGCGGCCAGTCTGGGGCCACTTGCTAATACTCTCCACTCTCTCGACCTGTCAGCGAACCTGTTCACCCAAATTCCTGATAGCCTTGCAACTCTAACAGCCCTCCGCGCCCTAAACCTGGCCCATTGCATGATCGACTCGCTCCATTCGCTTATTCGGTGCCCTCTTCCTGCTATCACAGCCCTCAACCTTCGCGCGAATCGCTTGACGTCGATCGTGGGCATTGAGAAGCTCTACCCTTTGGAGAGACTGGACTTGAGGGACAACCAAATTGCCGATCCTATGGAGTTAGCTCGTCTGACTGGTATCCCCGAACTCCGGGAAATCTATGTGGAGGGCAATCCTTTTACGCGAACCCACCGCGATTACCGCATTACCATCTTTAACCTGTTCCGTCAAACACCGGGATACACCGAAGATATCACTATCGATGGGTCAGGGCCCAGCTACTCGGAGAGGCGGTATCTGGTTGAGCGTGCGGCGGAGCCACCGGCTGTCCCCGTCATCAAACCTGCACCACAGGAATTGCCTGCGGTGGATGTCAGCAAGCCTGCGTTTGTTTACGAGCCGCCCCCAAGAGAACCGGCTGTCCTTAGGAAGGAAAGGCCCATGCCCAAAAGCGCATCAAGCGAACTCAACACTGCGTCTACGCGCCGTCGGAAAGCACCCAAGCGACGCATTGTCGATCTCGCTACTAACGAGACACCCGCTCCTGTAACTCTTGTCGACAATCGCAATAGACCTGGTGATAGAGCCGCTTCGGGTCATAACGAACATTATCGTATTTCACAACCCACTGAGGTGCATGCTCCTCAGGAGACACTTGCGGCTAGCCCTTTGCCCGACGCCCGAGCGCCTGCCGATATCCCCAGGATTGAATCCACCGTCATTCCCAGCATACCTCCCCTTTATCCCTCCCACAAGGGCTCTTCCGAGTCCCAGTCGTGGAGGGACAACGACAACTGGGATATCGACGGCGAACTGTACCGTCGGAAGATCGAGTCACTTCGTGACAAAGTGGGAAGCCGCTACCTGAGTGCACTCAACGAGGAAGGATGGGATCACACTTCGCTTCCGCCCAATTACCGCGAGGGCAATTTTGGTGCTCCCTCTCCCTTACTTGCGGACCCGACAGCTCCTAGAGCCGCATCCGTGCAGGCGATCCATAGTGGTCGGACACTTGGATGAAGTCTTGATATGATATACCCCAGGCTTTACAAAAAAAGCATGTTTTGACTTCTGGGGCGTTGTATAAATTGTAAGCTGTTCGCTGGACAATGCTGCGCTACCTACCCGCTACCTCTACGCATTCCCTCCCCAACCAAAACCCTCGAAGCACTTGTGTAGGACTGGACTGGTGTTTGCATTTACACAAAAAAGAGATATCATATAAGCATAGCGTATTGGCGTTTTGGAACGGAAGGGCGTTGAAGGAAGGGGAAGAAACATTATTCTATTGCATAACCCAACCCGCCACACCTATCTGCCATTCTTCCTGTGTGTTCTTTTTAGCTAAGCCCCGTTTTGTACTGGGGCTGTCTGCATCTTGACACTGTTGGGAGTTTGTGTCTTTTGGGATGGTGGAAGTCTTGTGCTTCTGCAATATCGATTGGCATTGATATCCACATGGCCATGTATCCATCTATGGACACAAGATTTGGCCACCTTTTTTCTTTATTTGGACGAGTTTCAGTTACAAGCGGTGGCGGCGGCATTCAAGTTTGAGAGTAAAGACAGACAGAAATGGTGGGAGGCTTTGCGTGTCCTTTTTACAGTTTCAAGAGATGAGGCATGATGACGACGACGACAATGATGATGGGTGGTAGTGTCTTGTTATCCGGTATCACGAGGTGGTTGGATGATGATGATGATTGGCGTTATTTCCGATGGCATTTGAGTGAGGTCAAAAAGCAGAGTACAGCAGCAAGAAGCGAGAAATTATGCATACTGGTCTTTTCTGAAATCTCATGTCTACGTTTCTACTATTTCGGTTGATGGGTATTATGTCTGTTCTTTGCGTTTTGTGCATCAAGTGTACCTCGATGACGGTTTGCATTAGTTCGAACTTGGTTTATTCAAGTCATGGGAAACTAGAATGTCTTCCCGTGTTATTATGCCTGTTGGCATTCAGTAGCTGGCTACCAATCCTTCTATTATATCTATCTCATTGCCCACATACCTGCACACGCGTGATCCTAAAATATTGTGTGATCCCCATAGTGAACATGGGGGCACCTTAACTCCGGCAACTGATTGCTATGTACCCAGATGTATCCAAGGAACCGGGAAGGGTGATTTGCGCATGTCGGAGGGTTTCGGTTTGTGTCGTTCAAACTCGCGATTCGTTTGGTTGGCATGGAATGTCAACATAGCAGAGTATGAAAGCGGACTGAGGAGGAACAAGTTTCCTAGCTTGGAACTCTGAACCCCCACTGGCAATGACGTTAAGATTCAAGAAATCACAAGCTCGTGGAATTCTCGAACCAGGATTTAATCGCAGAACGGTGGATCTCTTGTGCGTCTCGGCAACGGATCCGAGCGGACGGATCATCGGATGGGTTCGTCGGGGATTCATGGGTTGCTATTTTTTTAAGCTTAAACTTTGGACAGTGTCCTTGTCGATCCCCTCACTTGGATCTTCTGTCAGAAGAAGAAGGTGTATCTTGACTAAAATGTTTTGGCCTTGCTCGCTTGATTTGTACGTTGTAGTGTTTGTTCGGTTGCCGATCTAACCGGTCCCTGATCAGAAGTCTGTATACCTGCAATGAAATGAATCATGATAATCTGATTGAACACAAACGAAGTCACGGGCATCAATCAGGATGGATAAAAACCAATTGGACAGAAAACTTTCTGTGTATGTACGGTACGCATCTCTTTTCTGCAGCCCGTCATTTCTTGGGAGTCGGGATGCCCATCAGATAGAGAAGAGGCCAATCAAACGTTAAGCGCACGCGCGCGAATGTTACCTAGAAAATAAGTAGGAAACATTTTTTTTTTCTGACTGTTGATGAGTTGGCGAGGCTGAATGGTCAATTCGAAAATGCATGAACGGATGGGGGCCGGGGGCCGTGGCCCGTGGGAAAGGTGAGTGGGGGAACCGCCAAGACAGTGCAACTAATCGATACTACCACGCACGAGACTGGCGGGATTCGCATCTTTGTTGAAGAATTACATCATGGTTTAACAGTGGACATAGCTGTTGTGGTCTGGCTCTTTTCTATGTTGACCTAGGGAAAGATGAATGTGGTTTCTTTTTAGGGGAAGTTTTGGCAAACTAGTATGGATTTCTCGTTGAGAACGCACAGGGAGGAAAGAAAGAAGAGCCAAAACTCACCGCAGCGGTCGCCGGAGCCGACGTGGTCGTCGTCACGAGCGAATGCGCATACCCAACCAACCAAGTTCTGTTGTTGGTGTTGGTCTTTCATCCTCCTCCCTGTGATGGAGACGGTTGGTTAGCATCTTGAATGTGCCGCCAAACAGTTCGGTCTAAAACAAAGCGACGTTCGCCAAACAAAAGGGTTTGCCACTAAAATTGAAATCGTTTTTGGATCTGCCAAAGCTTGAATTCTGGGGGATCTTCTGGGGTGGTTGGGATTACCTGTAGGAATCGAAATGTGCAAAACCGTTTGGTGACAGAAGTGAAAATGACCCACGCACGCAGGCTGCAACACGGATTTAAGCTCAAAAGGCTAGGCCGAAACGAGCGGCAAGCCCCTCCCAGCCCCTGGAACCCCCTGTTCTTGTCGATTTTAGGGCCCGTGACATGCGTGCGGCTGTCGTTACGTAAGCAGCTAGCCGGTGGGGCATCAGTTCCACCCTTGCCCGCGGCATGCTGATTGGCTAGCCGTCACTCGAGCCTCGCGTTTTCCAGAACGTCACGTCTTCAAACCTACCGGACTCCCTCACGCTTCCCGCATCGTTGACCATCGCGCAACCGCTGTTTCCTGTCTTCTAGCCCACGGTCGCGTATCTACGCTTCCTCCACCAATGATCGAGCCGAACCGCCGACCGTCTCGAGTGATTCCTCAGCCACCATCTCCGACGCGGTGATTCCCCTTTAACCACCGCCTACCCATCACTTAGCCGTCACCTTCGACTTATCCATCAGCTTTATCGCTCCTCCATCAAGCAGCCATGGCCCCGGTGCCATCAACCCCGCGGCGGCGACCTCAGAGTAGGCCCAAGGCTCGTTCGAGGGCCGGAGGTTCTGCGACCACCTCCCGCAGCAAGAGACACGCCTCGGGCGCCCCGGCAACCGAGCCACCCCTTAAGAAGAGACGATACGTTCCTGGCGGCCCCGGCGGTGGCGGACGTTTCATTGATGAGGATGGCGTCGAAACACCGGCCGAGCCATCGGGCTCCGCGTCAAGAGTACGAACATCCGCCGCCCATGCCTCCCCAAGCGTTTTCCCGAAACGAGAGCGAAGTACAAGGATACGGACCGCCGTAAACCGCGACAAACTCGATGATATGCAATACAGTTCGGCTGCCGCTGTGGTAGCGGCCGTTGTCCAGAGCGAAGGCTACAAGCCCCGAGAGGAGCGTGGGTGGGAAGAGTTTCACCCAAACCTGGATATTGAGGGAACTTTCATGGTCTTTCAAGCCGACGAAGTAGACGGTATCTTGAGGGAGGCACCTCCAACACCTGCTGTCCAACAACAACAACTGGGTGGCCAAGAGAATGGCGCCACTACTCCTACGAAGAGTACCAACAACAACATAGCGTCAACGGACGCACCAAATGCAACACCAAGCGGGCAGGATAGACCTCTACTTGTTGGTTCGGTCACGGATACACCTAGTAGGCGTAGACCACTGCGACCAACGAGGGAATCGTCTTCCCTCTATGCCAACCGTCCGTTGGACTTTGGCATCACACCAAAAACACCAAAGGTGCTTCCGATCCACAACCAGACGCCAAAAGAGCGTCTGGACCTCAAGCAACCATCATACCGGAAAACCGACCGAATAGCCCTTTTCGAGAGCAAAACTTTCGGGCAAGCACGATATGTCGACAAATCTATGTCTAACGTGGGCTATCAGGAAAGCGACAACTTCATTCGGTCAGATCGAAAACTCATCAAGGCCACGGATGCGAACGTCGAGGAAGACATCGATCCTTCGACCATCACACAACCAAACGGTGAAGCTACACACACTTCGGCGGGGGCTGTTGGCAGGGTCGAATATGACATGGATGAGCAAGATGATATGTGGCTTGAGACACTCAACAGGCGCCGCAAGGACTCCAACCTCGACACTATAACCCGCGAAATCTTCGAAATCACAATAACAAAGATCGAGAAGGAGTGGCATGCGCTAGAGAAGAGGATACCAAAGCCAAATCCGAAACCACCACAGACTCATAGGCCAAGGTCGAGCTCAGCAGCGGCAGTTAACGGCGAACCGCAGACCGGCGAGGAGCAGGATAGCAAGTGCGCCATTTGCGATGATGGGGACTGCGAAAACACCAATGCCATTGTCTTCTGTGATGGCTGCGATCTTGCAGTACACCAAGAGTGCTACGGTGTACCGTTTATTCCAGAGGGCCAGTGGCTATGTCGAAAATGCCAGCTTATTGGGCGTGGTATTCCAACCTGCATCTTCTGCCCAAATACCGACGGCGCTTTCAAGCAGACAAACTCGTCAAAATGGGCACATCTTCTGTGTGCCATGTGGATTCCAGAAGTGTCACTTGGGAATCACACCTTCATGGAGCCGGTGATGGAAGTGGAAAAGGTCCCTAAGAACAGGTGGAAACTCGTGTGCTACATTTGCAATCAGAAGATGGGAGCCTGCATCCAGTGCTCTAACAAAAACTGCTTCCAGGCTTTCCACGTCACATGCGCCAGACGAAGTCGGCTCTATCTTAAGATGAAGAATAGCCAGGGTGCTCTCGCAGTGTTGGAAGGCGGTCTCCCGCTCAAAGCATACTGCGACAAACACTGTCCTCAGGACTACGCGAAGGAGAACGATGTGGTTCAGGCGACGAAAGATGCCAAGCGCTTCTATAAACGCGCCATGAAGGGCCGTATTTGGGCCGACAGTCAAGCTTCAGCCCTGCAATTGGCAGCCACCCACCGGCACGCCATCACTGAACACCCCCCTGATGAATCACAGATGACGGGAGCCAAGGTCTCTGCTGTCCTGGGGGAGAACAAGAACGGCCAGCCAGGAAAGCCTATATGGAAGCTGCCATCTGGAGCGCCAATTATCCCACAAGCAGTCTACGATCTAGTGGAGAGCGCTCTAGCACGCTTCACTATCCTGAAGAGGAAGGACTTTGTCGCCGAGGCTTGTCGTTATTGGACCCTCAAACGTGAAGCTCGCAGGGGTGCTGCTTTGTTGAAGCGACTTCAGCTCCAGATGGAGACATTCTCGTCCATGGAGTTGACCAGACGGAACTTTGCAGCTATGGGACCATCGGGCAAGACACGGTTGGCTAGGCGGATTGAGTTTGCGCGGACATTGTTGAAAGACCTTGAACACCTCAAGGCCTTGTCAGAAGAGATTGTGCAGCGCGAGGCTAGCAAGCTTGAAGCAGTCGAGATGGAGCGCGATTTCGTGGACAGCTGCTATTTCCCTGTCTATGAGATGTTGATACCGGTGCTCCAGAAGGCCGTCCAGTACGTCTCTTAAACCGCTATCACGAAAGGAATCTTGCGCTAACAAACGGGAATAGGTCAGATAGGGACGTCTTTGCGAAGGGCTTGTCCGAATTGCAGGACAAAATGGACAAGCGCTACTACACCACAACTTTGCAGTTCACCCACGATCTCTGCCAAGTCATCAGTGCTGAGATCAACTCTGCAATGAACCCGCATGCTGGTTTAGACCCAGATGTCGAACCATCGCATGCTTCACCTACGAAACACGGCGCCAATGCTGAAGTTAAGAAACGCAAGCAGATGGGCAAGAGGATATTGAAGCAGGTCCAGCCATACCTCGAAGCAGCACTACAAGCAGAGGCGGATATCTGCAGCAAACCCTACGATGCCCTCCATCAAGAACTCGAAGGTATGCTCGACGCGAGCCTGGAAGTCAGGCAACCCACAATCACTGTGTCCAGCCATGACGATGTCGCGGCTGAGGACGTTGAAATGACCGATGCTCCAGAAGAGGGCGGCCAGATCATCGTAGCCGATCAGAGCGACGGCGAGGCAGACGGGGAGGGTGACGGGGACGCGGACGACAAAGTGGACGCTGGCGCTAATGCCGACGATGAACCGGATGAGATGGACGTCGACACCTCTCAAAAGAAGGCAGATGTGGGCAGCATAGAAGTAAACACTTCATCGGTCGACGACGCACAAAAAACCAACGGCACACTGTCAGC